TTTTTTTTTTTTTTTTTTTTTTTTTTTTTTAGCATATGGAAAAGTATTTCTGGTGCGGAAGAGAACGGGGGCTGATGCGGGTCGTCTTTATGCAATGAAAGTCCTAAAAAAAGCGTCCATCGTGCAGAAAAAGAAAACGACGGAACACACGAAAACGGAGAGACAAGTTTTGGAAGCTGTTCGGGACAGTCCGTTTTTAGTGACGCTACACTATGCTTTCCAGACGGATGCCAAGCTTCACTTAATATTAGGTAAATATACCGTCACGCGCCAAACTTATTCAATTTAACGTAGGAAACCGCGGTACACTTGAAGTTATTGCACCATTGATCGTTCAACTTGATTAATGAGTTTTCGTGTTAATAATCGTATTTTAAAATTAATTTCTGTGCTCTTTGTCATGCAGATTACGTTAGCGGCGGCGAGCTGTTTACACATTTGTATCAACGCGAACATTTTACGGAGGACGAGGTGCGCATTTACATTGGAGAGATTATTTTGGCCCTTGAACATCTTCACAAGGTAAAATACTCCGGAGTTCTTATCGAGTAACAATTATCTCGTTTAATTATATATTGCGATAACGAAGAACCGATTGCTATGTTACAGTTGGGTATAATTTATCGCGATATTAAGCTGGAAAATATTCTTTTGGATCGCGAGGGTCATATCGTGCTGACAGATTTTGGACTCAGCAAAGAGTTTCTGCCGCACGAGAGGGACAACAATGCACGTGCTTACTCATTCTGCGGTACCATCGAGTACATGGCACCGGAAGTCGTGCGAGGAGGATCCGCCGGACATGATATCGTAAGTCAAACGAATGATCCACCATGATTCTTCGTGCTGACGATTTCAGGATTACAAGTGTTTGTCACTTGATTATCGCTCTCATGTGGATCCTTATCAGTTGTTATTTTGCACGAGGAAAAAATCACAGGGTAATATTGAGATTTCAATTTGTCAGATATTTATCTACTATTTATGAGCTCAGTTATTATTACAGCCTCTGGTTTACTGAGTGTTAAGTGTTAATAGTTTTGAAATGTTTCTTTCTGTTTACATTGATTTTTTTAAGGAGTCTAAATTAGTACTAACGTCTTTCCTCCACGTGTCATTTAGGCTGTGGACTGGTGGAGCGTCGGCGTCCTGACTTACGAACTACTGACAGGCGCCTCGCCTTTCACGGTCGAAGGCGAAAGGAATACTCAACAAGAGATATCGAGAAGAATCTTAAGGACAGAACCGCCAATTCCTGGTCACCTGAATCCGGCTGTACGGAATTTTATAACACGACTACTGGTGAAGGATCCGCGACAGAGATTAGGCGGTGGTCCACGTGACGCTAAGGAACTTAAGGAACATCCCTTCTTCAAGAAAGCGCCACCGCCTTTCAGTTGGGAAGCCTTGGAATCTCGACAAATCACTCCTCCCTTTGTGCCTCGCATCGTCCATGAATTGGATACCAGCAATTTTTCTGATGAATTTACGAAAATGGTAGCGGCAGACAGTCCCGCGGTGGTACCGCCCAACTATGATAAAATCTTTAGGGTAAACCGTTTTATATACCTTGAGCATGTAATTATGGTACACTAAAATGACGGCGTTTAGTTCTGTGTTAATGCCTGGGACATAAAGAAAATGTTTATACTTCACAGGGTTATTCGTACGTCGCGCCATCTATACTCTTCGGCGAGAATGTCGTCAGTGAAGAAATCTTCAGAGACGCAGCCAAAGTCAACCCTGAGGTACAGCGTCCTTCGGCGTCGGACGTCCTGGCGGCGCGTTTCGAAGAATCAACCTTCTTCCAGCATTACGACTTGGATCCACGCGAAGAGGCGTTGGGCGATGGAAGTTTCTCCGTTTGCCGAAGGTGCCGACACCGTCTGTCGCATCAGGAGTTCGCCGTGAAGATCGTTAGTCGAAGAGTAGACTGTGGTAGGGAAGCCAGTCTGTTGCGTGCTTGCCAGGGTCATCCTAATATAGTTAAGTTGATAGAGGTCCATCAGGACAGAGCACACACATATCTCGTAATGGAGTTACTTTCCGGCGGCGAATTGTTACGACGACCAAGGCCATTTTCTGAGAGTCAAGCCAGTCGCGTGATGCGGCAGTTAGCCTCGGCCGTTCGTTTCATGCATTCACGCGGTGTCGTCCATCGGGATCTTAAGCCAGAAAACTTAGTCTTCGCGCACAGTGGTGAGGACTCGTGCATAAAAATCGTAGACTTTGGATTTGCGCGATTAAAGCGAGGACGGGAATCGCTGCATACGCCTTGTTTCACACTTCCTTACGCGGCGCCGGAAGTCCTGGCTAGACAGGGTTACGACGAGAGCTGCGACCTCTGGAGTCTCGGAGCAATTTTGTATTCCATGCTAGCCGGAAGTCCACCGTTTCGTACAGGCTCACCCGACCTAGCCTCTCGCATAAGAGCAGGCGAAATAGACTTCGAGAGCAATGCCTGGAGCCACATCTCAGCAGCCTGTAAAGAAGTAGCCAAGGGACTTCTGTCGGCAGATCCAAGTAAAAGATTAACCGCTTCCGCCCTAGCTAATCACGAGTGGCTAATAGGATCAAATGAATCTCCCGATGCAGCCAACAGCGACGTACCAGCCGCCATCGTGGCAGTCGAGAAGCACGAAGGTTTCCGTTTGCGCGAAGTCGACGGTGCCAAGCTGGCACAAAGACGTAAATTGCACAAAAGATCAACCTCCAGTTCAGTATCTTCTTCCACGTCCACAACGTCTTCGAGTCCCTCGGTTCAATTGTTACGACCTCCCAGTGCGACCACGACGACCACCACCTCAGCCTCCCCGGCACAGCCGAACGCCTTTGACTTTGGAGAGGACAAGGTTAACGAATATCTGAGTTCTCTGTCTTCCTCGTCGGATTCCAACTCGCCCAGGATCGTTCACCAGACGGAAAGGGGCGAAGCTGTCGAGGGTCCCAGGTCGAAGAGACGTAAACGCGAGCTAGAGTCCAAGCAAAGCGACAGCAGTAGCGGTCCGGTAACTCGTTCAAGGAAACGTAAACTGGAGCAGAATGCCAGCGGGTCGGACAGTTCGGTAGAGTCGGCGGAATCGACGTGCCGTCTCGTTAAGCACGATCAGGCGAATGTCCATCGAAAGCAAAAAACCGGAAAGCGGCCCAAACGCCTTGCCACAATTATAGTCGAGTAGAAAACTAAATTGCATTCGTTCAGTAATTATTCATTTCGTTTCCTATGCATTTTCCGTGACGCGAATTCAATAACGCTACCTTCTCTTCTCGGCACTTGCGCGCGCAGAGAGGACGCGGACATTGCATCATTCCTATCTCGAGTACTTTTCAACGTTGTACATAGATACGTTTGATTTTATGCTCCTTAATGGTCTTTTTGCCCCTCGCCAGGTCTGGTTGTATTTACGATTTCTAACGATTTACTCGTGCGCTATTCATTTTTATAAAGGTTCCTGGGCGGAGTGAGGGAAGCGGATATGGCTGTTGTATTATAGCATAGAGGCCAGGGCCGTATCGTTGCATATGAGAACCTCTCCATATCTCGGCGGTTAACATTAATTACAATAATAACGATAATAGTGATTTACATTACTCGTACAGAGTCAAGTGATCCTCTTTACATTGCAATGAGATGCAAGCGCTTGGGAAATAAATCACGGATTGATCTTCCCGTCGTTCTACGTTCTTTTTTTTTCTATTTCTTTTTTTTTTTCGTTCATTCTCAATTGGATCAGCTGTGATTGGCAAATTACGTGAAACGGAGTAACGATTATCGCAAATATTGTATACGTGCCTCGGAAACGATATTTAAGGATGATAATGTCACACGCGGTTGTAAGTGTGCACAGGGAAGGAATGAGAGAACGATGCGACTGATGCGACTGAGGAAAGTGGGTCTGAACGGATAATAATATTTATTCTTAAATACTTTTCTCTTATCGTCTGCTAAGGGTAACACGACACTATCGTAGCATAATGAGAGAATTTCGAATGAGAAAATTATAGTGCGATTTCAATACGATTCTATAGCGAGATGCTTATTCAACTCGGTTGAATAAATCGTTAAACAATGCACGAACGACTGAGGTATTGAGTCCCTAGTGAAGATTGAGTGAGATAGAGAGAGAGATAGATAGAGAGAAAGAGAGATTACTCGCTCGCCCTATTTTCTTGCGTAATGGTTACCTAAATTAAATTCAATACCGAGTCACAGAATTTTACGAACTCAACGTTCCTTCCTCACGTTTAAGCCGCTTCGCACGTTTATCTAATTCGCACGATTTAATATCCCAACATTCAATCCGAATAATGAATTTATGTGCCTCTGCGTTCCCTCGTTTTACCTGACGCGCGGTGACGATTGTGAACAAGTGTATTAGGAAAAGAAAAAAAAAAGAAAAAAAAATGGCAAAGACTGAAAAGGTTGTATTACCAACTCAGGGAACAGATATGCTTACAAGAGACGTCTTTACGATATCTATATGAGATAAGCGTCCACGAACGCCGTACGCACACCTCTACCAAAGACGACTGAAGCAATGCTGCGCCGTAAGACCAAAAAAAGAAGTTAATAAAAAAAAAAAGAAAGAAAGATATAAAAGAATCGTATATAGCTATTGAAATCGAAGCTGTGTACATAAGTTATTATTGCATCGCAATTTTGGCACGTAATGGTTATGCTAGTACAGATATTTAAAAGAAATATAAATATATATATATATATATTTAATATAACGATTATATTATATAAAGTAATATTCTTTAACAAGATGATATAAATATATATTTTTATTTAGGAGAATAAAAAAGTCATTAATCATATTATCAATTGCATCAGAGGACGCTACGTAGGGAGGGGGGGAACCAATTTTTTTTCTAGTGATATACCATTGTTACGTTACGATCGATTGTTTTAAGAGCGCATATATGTATATATATATAAATTTATATATATGTATAGTGAACGAGTGAGAAAGATACAGAGAGAGATGGAGATACGTTATGTATAAAGAAAAACTTGCTTATACCATACGACGAAGAATGCTGTTCTGTTACTAGAGGTACGCAAAAGAGACACCTAACTTTGTTACTACTGGTTGTTAAATATATCAATATTACGATGTTTATTTATTTCCAGTGTTGTCTGCCATTTTTTTTTTTCCTTAAATTCATTAATGAAGTTCATTGTATGATCCTCGTCATTATTGTATTTAACGATATCTTGACGACGACCAATTGGTGACTCGGCTTCGTTCGGGTATCCTCGTGTTTCTCCGTAATATATTTTACTCACCCGAACATCACGGATGTCGGGGCGACTTATGTCATTGGAAACCGGAAGACGTGATATCTGTCTGCTCTACTTTCATTATATCCCCGGTTAGCGATAGGGACACTCCTTCGCTTTTAGCGTGTGACATTACACCATTTTTAGTGTAAATATTTAAATTGAGACAATTTTTATTCAAATTCAACCGTATCGCCTTTATTATCTCGAAACTGTACAGTAATAACTAATAATTTAAATTGTATTTACAGCTATGATGGACGATACGAATTTCCGCACGATAATTCTATGTGCGTCAGTGGCATCCTAACTTATTCTAAACTTAAACGACCAGCTGAAAATGCATTGGTTGATCTTTTAAATTTATTTTGTCAGGATGTCCTTCCCCTTAGTCAACCGGTATGGCAGGAACCCTCGTAGTCCGTGTTAAGGCGCCGCAGGATGGCAGTCAGCAACAGCCATATCGAAACATCTGCTCCTCGTGCCGGAGACCTTGGCACGTGGCTTTCTTTGTGCGAAGCCTTGAAGAGGGTTTTCACGAGTGCTCCCCATTCCTCACCCTATATATGATATTTAGTAGTGAGCGACGGAGTTGCGCCAGATGTACACGGCAGCTACTACCCGATAGGTTAAGTACAGCCACAGCTAAACCAAATACGTCCTACTTCTCATATGTTCTTTATATACGTGTATATAGCGCTGGATAAACTCAACCAGGATGCGGAAGACGTGAACTCAACTGGCGGACACATATGGTGATTTCCATAACCTATAACAGGATGGAGAGGTTGAAAATAAATATAGGTCATAAAGACTTAATTTAAGATCCTCTTTGGTTATGTTTCTCATTAGCAACCGTTCGAGTATGAACTCTGATCACGATGGTTAAATCAATAGAGGATCGTCGAGTGATTGTGATATATTAAGAGTATTTGATAGTCGTGCCAAAAGCGGGGACCGTAAGTGAAATTTGAATGAATCAAAACATTTTTTTTAATTCTTCAATGACAAGTTTATTCTATCCTTAGCCTGTATGGCGACCAACGGTTTTCAGATCCCAATTTAAATTATTGCAAAAACGATCTCGTGCAGTGTACCCTCTTTTCCTCTCTCAACCGGAGCACGTTCCTTCATATGTAAATACATCCAGTTCGTGCAAGGTATAGTAATGATTTTGCACTCGAAGAATTGGACACCTACAGTGTTAGCTATGCCATTCAATGGCACAGTACGCAAACAAGTTCTATGGTTAATAAAGAGATTATAAATAAAAAACATTTTTTAAACTATTTTTTCAGGAATTCTAATTAACGTGAACGACAGCAGAAAAGGCCAGTCGTCAATTTCATGTCTTTTAATGACGGCTTAAAAATATTTACTGATGCCAAACGGTGAGACGTTCACTCGAGTTAGCTCGTACAATTTTTCTTTTCTTTCCTTTTACCGTCTTTTTATTTACAGCCAACTTGTATCAAGAGCCATTTGTAAGTGCTCCAAGCTACATGCTCGCCGCTTTAAAGTACAGACGATGATTCGACGGTACAAGAACCTCTGAACTGACGCATCTTGACTTCCTCAAGGACGCTGCCTTCACTGTCTTTCAATCGAGTTGCGTCCAATCGCAATCGAAGAACTTTTCCCGCTCGACAACGAGAACGAGAATCGATCGTATCGTTCGATTCGATCTACGTGACGTTTCGAGAAGTAAGATCTGCAGATAATAATTACAGTCCACCGGACACCAAGCGATATGCTATTTACAATGCGAAGACTCTGCCTCGGTACGAGTCAACTACATTTTCTTATTACAAATAATAATAAACTTCTTGTGACAATTTATCAAAGAGCGGAACACTCTTTGTAAAGCCCAGTCGACGCGGACGAAAACGACCGGGATTGGCTCTTAGGTTAGCATTCCATCGTCTCGAGTTCCAATGACGCCATCAGCGCTTTTCATCCTGACTAAGTTAAAGGCTCTTCAAAAGTTTTCGCTTACTCAATGTAAGTAGATACGAGTACTCTCGCTGGATCTATTAAATCAAAGAGGCGTCTATTTTCAGGCACGATTAATCAGTGAAAAGGTGGCGGACTTTATCCATATATAATTCTCTATATGGCCTATCTGTACCACATAACCAGACACATGTGTACGAGTTCGAAGGTTTTAATATCTTAAATAATCTCGTTTCTATAACAATGACAAGAGAAGTGTAAAATAATATTTTTTTCACCCAGGAACTGATGGCAGATTCTCTCAAAATTATTATCTGAGCAATTTCTTGCCATTAAATTTCTCTTTACACATAATCATGCCAATCACGCACGTCTTACGTGTGAGACGATACATGCATATGAGTGCATGACCATAAAGAGTGCTCTCAGGTACGTGACCTCGACCTTGGTGCATTGCTCGACTATACTGTGCATTGTCCCTTGGCAAAGTGTTTCTCAACTTCGCGTTTGGTGTTATGCTGAACTTTCTATCAACAATACTACTTCTACAGGTAACAAATGAATAATAGATCGTTGTTTTGGATAACATATGCAAATTTCTAGTAACTCTGTCTACGTCACTGACAACTGACTCTGGGTAGAAAAACGTGTAAAGACAAGCTTCTGTGATGGATGATTGGCACCAATTCGATATCGACGTATTCAGCCCAAGGAGTCACATCGAAAACGAAATCGATGATTCACCATCGAGAATGTGAAAATGTCAGTTGTTCAGATGTAATTACGTGCCATGATGTAATCATGGCGTGGTTTGGCTGTTTCCGTTGGCTTCGTCTCGTCCTCGTTCGATAACCACGTCACAGCGGAGTGTGCTGAAGCTTCTAAGTCGATGCAGCAAAGAAGGTTACATTTTAATACACTTAATGCGATAAAAGATTACTGGTGAGCCATCGTGGTATTGTCGAGCAATGTTTGTAACATTGGTCTCGAAGCTTAATGCTATTGGAGTATTGAAAATTCTAAAGATTTCTCTTGCCCTTTACTAAGAGACCAATGATCTGTTAATATTATATTTTTTACTTTTCTTTATAGCAAATTGAAGTTATGGACGATTGACCGGGGTCGTCATCCTGATAGATCACAAATCACCATTTCACTACCCAAATGGAACGATTTCATGAGAATTCTTTTAATCATCTTATCACTGCAACGCCCCTTAGGCAATCATTGGAATGATCTTTTTTCTGTATATTTTAACCATCATCCTGGAACGTCATAAATTTCACGGCGGTGAAAATGATTCATCTTTTGGATAAGTTTCTCTCTATGTACACCAGCCGTGTGAAATAAGTCATGGAGAAATGTCAGTTAACGTAATTCCTTACGTACCACACTTAATACTAGTTTTCTTACTACAGTAAGTAAACAGCAAGATAAGAGATCTTTTTATTGTTCCTCGTAATACGCATTGATGCCCAATCCTATATGTTTACGTATTAACTGTTCTTTATTATTTATGACAAAAATATAATAATTTATTAAATTTTTTAAAAATATCCCTGCAGGACGAATCACCTGAAATAAATTTTCAGTCCACCCTAGTGGCTAGATCCAGATATATAGATATACCCACCTGGATGCCTAATACCTGTTCCGTTTCCAGAACGAGTTTGTCGCTTCTTAGTTCTCCCTAGAGATAGGATGGTACAGGTTCTATCTAAATACATTGAACTCACCAATGGCAGGTTCCATGACCTATTTGTTATACTATAGTACACATGAATCGAATACAATTCTCAATCAGAAATGTATGTTGTCTATCGATTTCTTATTGCAGCAAATATGCCTGAGTATGAGGAAACTATTTTCTGTAGCATTTGCACTAAAAACTATTAGCTGTACCGATCGGTTTTAGTCCGTGGCAAAATATGATCAAACAAACCACATATGTCTCGACAGAGTCCAGAAGGCAGGTTAATATCTGAGAAAGTCAATCATTTATATCTGCTCTTATCAAGCGAAGAGGAGAGTCTCGAAATCATTCGAAAAATTCTTATCGAACATTCTGGTAATCTCGAGATAAACAGTAGCCAACAGGTTTCCGAACGATGACACTCTTCATACCTATTTTTAAATATGAATATATTTTTCATTTCTTTTTCGTATACGAACATACAAGAATTTACTTTCTCGCGGGGTAACACTTCGTAAAGACATTGGTTTCCAGTGGAGCCTCGTGGATCATCTCTTTCGTTTTGGATGCTGACGTCATCTCCGGCTAGTTTCTGGAGAACGGAGATCACGTGACACCAAAACTCAATACTCTGGCTCGTCGGCAAATGGGCGGGGAAGTTGCTGTCACCGGCTCCCTCTGCCTCAGCAGTCAGTACAACCGCGACCGTCGACGAGCTAGGAGCTTTTTTAACGGTGTTTAACATTCTATATCCTTCAAAGGACAAGCCTTATCGTGTTTTCTTACTATCACCGATACTACAAAAATTCAAGAGAGCCATGGCCAGTCACAGGGCTACCAAGTCTGGATTCGCTGCAGAGGCACAGCGCAAGGTGAGCGAATTTTTACGAAATATTTTATCACTCTGACCTTTACCAGTACACGATAACGTTACTGACCTAGTCAACCCGGAAAGTTTTCACACAGACGAGTCTAAGAAGTAGAGAATAAAAATTAAGACAGACTCTGTTCGAACGAATTTAGGTAAAAAGTTTCATTCGAAGAAGCAGTTACCGGGTGGAGACTATAAGATAATATTTTTGCCAGTTGCATACCTTCGCGCATTCATTTAAACAGCTCGTTTCATTATATCCCAAATACGTACTGATGATATGTTATTATTGCTACAGTGTCATTATTTATTTGTACAAACCGTCGTATGAAATATTCATACATATGCTTTCTGTTATAATATACAAATTCTTCTTCTCGAATCTTTTTTTTTGTGTCCCAAGGATTACATACCTTTGAAATAAATATTTGGATCGTACAAGAATTTACAGTCCTCTCGCGCTACTCTGCTACTATATCGTACTAACCGGTTTACCACAATAGGACTCACGAGTCTACAACACGGGGAAAGTTGTCCGTTAAGTTCCTCCATAGTGAAGGCAGAAGATTCACAGTTAGTACTTATAAGGTATATTTTAACCCCCCCCCCCCCACAATAAATAATAATTAAGGTGATTAAAACTATTTGAAAAAATATTGATATCACCTGGAATATTTTCTATGTTAAATGAGGCATGCAACAGAACCAACTGTCGTTCCTTTAGAACGGAATTAAAATGAGACCCACTTGCCAAACATGGGCCCATCCACGCAAAACTCGATGGCCATGGTACACTTCTTCAACATAACTTTAACATATCTGAATCGTTACTCTCATTGCATATGGTATCGTTTTAGTTATCCAAAGAGGTATCTAGCTACTTCACGTTTGAAATACCTGTTTATGGTATAGAAGTCTATCCAGTAATTGGATTAGACTTTATTTCCATAATCTATATAAGTCCATCGTTCACGTACTTGTCTCAATTCGGTTAATTTTGCACCCGTTGGATTATTAAATGTTAAGTTTTAATTATACAAGCATTGCCATTGCCTTGTTTAATTACAATCAATTTTTTAATCCGATAACTAATATTAACCTGTCAATGTTAAATATGTCTTCCCGGAATCGTACGATTCAATTTTCAGGCTCTGGCATAGCGCTGTAAATATTATCGGCAGTAGAAGCTTTCGCACGCCGTGATGTTATGGCCAGGAAGCTGTTACACGTTGCTTATCGCGCTATTACTAGCCGGGGAAAAAAATACGGGTAGCTTATCGTATTCTTTACTGTTTGTTAATCTACTTACATTGAAACTTTTTCTTGGATCGTAGCGAACTCGCTAATTTTTTATATTTCGTATACCGTTTTATTTCTTTCAAAATTCGCTCTATATTTACCCACTGTTATTCTCGCGTATCCGGCTGCAGGTACTAGTCCTTTGCGAACAATGCACTTAACGTTCATAACGGACGAAGATACGGCTTATCTTCATTGGAATGCAACATGCGTTACTTTGCCCCGATGCTTTTCCTGTCTTTAAATCATTTACATCAACACTTATACTCTAAAACATTCTTCAAAATCGCATCTTCCTTCGGACTAACTGATAGATAAGAATTTTTCCCTTTGTACTGAAGCACGTATGGTTCCCTGGGAATTATTTTTTGGATACTCCTCAAAGGTCCGGTTCACAGTTTATTGCCTTTTATGATAGACTCGTGTCACTGAATGGATATCAGAGTACCGATAATAATTAATGACTGGTATATTACTATACAGCCAATTAATGTTCAATTATTATATCATTATTAGACCTATAGACTAGGGGACTAGAAGGTAAAATTATTAGTGGAATTTTTCCCCTGTATTGCCATTAAAACTCGACGAATCTTTCTAATGGCGTTTCCGATAACGCGCTCATAACTCCCAAAACGAATTATCGTTAACCTTCGAGCTTTCAGGCTTGTTTATCCACATGGCGACGCATCTACAATGTTATCCTATCGCGTTTTAACATCTCCAACGAATACCACCTTATGGCCATAGAGATCCAACGATAATCAAATTTGCTGATTTTTCAACAAAAGACAGTAATAGAGCTAGCTATGATTACTAGGAGTCCAACTGCAATGTTCCAAGGATTCGTGTAGATAAGATAAAACGGACTAGGATAAAAATCAAGAAACAGTCAGTCTAGTCGACCTTATACGGATTCTCGTCCTGCGGCAATTTTTCTGAGTCATCCAGACATACTTTCTTCCTTATGTCATATTTCCTGCTGTCCACCAGGTCTATCCAAATTTCATGAACCGCTGAACCGATGAGCTGCTACTCAATGGCAGACAAAAGACCCATTACTCGTTCTCTATAACGACAGAAAATGAACAGTCAAGAACAGTAAAGGTTTATAGGGTTCAAAAATGATTTTAGCAACTCAAGAAAAATTACCTCGAAAATTTGTTTGAAAAATCTATAAAACCTGGACAAGACTTTTCCCATGTCCTTATATACATATATCCATCTGGTTTTATTTTCCTTTTATACGAGCGGCGTCCCGACGTCGTGGCGTCGCTGTCAGGATCCTGCCCGTAATCGGGTCAAGTATCCCTCCTAACAAGACTCCAAAGTAGAGAGCTGTAATGACGGAATTATTATTATTTTGTCAAACTGTATTTATCTAGCACAAGTATTATAAATAACGATGAATCGCCGTAAAGTCCAACAGTAAAATTTCAATTTTGCCTTATAATTGCTTGTGGTAATAAATTTTAATATAAAATACTAGAAAACAAGAGTTACCATTGATAATTTATTTTCTAGATTTACACTTCAACATAACCTATCTCGAAGTACTTGATCTTGTTTCATTCGATTTAACGCGAAAAACAAGGTTACCCTTGTATGAAATTAAGTGCCTCGTTCAAGTAGTTTTCAAGGATCTTATTTCTAGTGCCTTACACAGTATTGAGTTTATAAGTGAATTCTAGTTGGAATGAACTTTGAGTAACGCGGTGGTCACCCTTCCGTTATTCTCAGTATGGCGAATGATTCATGGAATAGAACCTTATCCGACCCCCCTGAGAAAACCCTGGTATGAAAGAGAGTCCTACATTTGGTTCTACGAAATACTAGGCGCAAACCAGTCTGGGCTATTTGGAAGAGAAATAAATGATACGGTCTTGTTGTTAGAGGCCTGGCCATATAAGGACAAACGGCTCGGCAGCCTTCGGCTTACCGACGTGTTTGGAAAACGTATGTAACGACGTGCCTGTACGTACCCGGCTAACGCGTAAGGATTATGCAACGACACGACCTCAGAAAAGTGTGTCAGCCATTTTGTTGAGAATGCTCGTCGGGAGAATTTTTTTAAAACAAATTCGATTGACCATAATAGGTTCTTTGGTTCCGTCGTGTACTCGGGTGATATTACGTCCGCACGTGACAGGTAAGAACGTGCCGCGATACGTCTAACCTATAAATTGTGGATAGATAAGGAATAAAGAATGCTGTGACAATAAAAAGCTACGAAAAATGAATGAGAAAAGAAGGTTATGTTATAGGAAGAATAAAAAGATTATAATCTCGAACGTCTCATAGCTTCAGTTTTATTGCTTGTTTGGTGAGCGGCCCACTTTTTTGATTGGACTCTGAATCGAATCGACGTGATTCGCTGGGTCAACTGCGTGGATCATTAATTGAACTTTTTGACCTATAATGTCATTTGATGAGTGCATTGGAATCGTGGGATTTTTTGGAGTGGTAATTATTCTTAAAAATTTAATTTTATGAACGGATTTACCGAGTAATAACATTTCTTGTGTATACAGGGATATTGAAGATATTGAGGTGTTTATTTAATTAATTAATTCGGGTATGGCAAATGTGACCTAGTTTTTATTCACTTTTACAAATGCAGAAGGAGTTTATCTGTATTGACATCAATGTCTTCTCGTGGCCGACGCATACCATAGAAATACTGGAGCGTTGCTTAAGCACTTGCACTTGTCCTTGACTGTGCTACTAATTTGCTTAGATTGGCAATGCTGACCTGTGGTTAACGCTTACTTGTACAATCGCTTGAGCAAATATGGCGAAAATGTAGATTCGCATTGAAGACAATTGAAACTGTCTGAGAATATTGTATGAAATATTATTTAATGAATAAATGTGATACATTTTGATAAGGTATAAGGAGAGACCTTAGATTTTCAATTTCAACGTCTTTTTCCAATAATAATATGGCTAACATGAAAATAACAGCTGAACAAACATTTTTTTCATACTTGAATCGAAATATGTACCGCTTTGGAAAGAAAGACAAACGAGTCGCCGAAGGACGTTGAATATTTATCTCGTGCACGGAGACGCTTCTGGCAATGATCTCATAAATTCATAGAAATTCTCAGTACAGCAGACTTAACGAATAATATTTATATTCTCTATGCACCCCATATTTCTTACAATGGAATGACTATTCCTTCATTACTAGATTAATTCCATTTTAATTACTGCCCATAGAACTTGGAAAGGCTTTTCGTTTGGTTCAATTGATCGCTCCTTAATCTCTAATTAATTATCAAAGTCTGCCGGATGCGGATAGGAGGAGCTTTTTAAAATTCAACCAACCGATCGCTCGGTCAGTAGTAATACGTGTGATTCACGAATCATCGTTTAATATTCCCGCCACGAAAGCCAACTGACTTGAGAATTGCGTCGATTCATCGTTATACTGATTAATAAAAGAAAAAGATTCACTGTCGGAATACGAGAAAGAAAAACGAAACGTACGCATAGATAACCTTAATATATTTTTGAGATTAGACACTCTGCTAGCTGTCATGATTATATATACCTTTATATATCTATATATTATAATGTTACTTGATACATGGTTTCTACTGGGGCCCGTATCCTTAGTCGCTTCCAGGTATCTGGCTAGACGACAGTCTCCTGTTTGGGTTTGTGACCGCGCATAATTTTTAACACAATGGCTGCCTGTGCATCCCACGTTCACGTTCTTCTTCGAAACCTCCTAGACGGGTAGCAAACTCCTTGAGGATGTTAAGGTATGCAACGGAATCTATATAACGCCACACCCTATATTCACTGCTTTCCCTTCTTCAGTGCACTTAGGGTTAATTGTACAGACAGTAAATTTACTTTGAAAACCATACGAGCCCTCGTAAAAGCGCAAACTCAGTTGATCAAAGGTATCCGCGAAGTTAGCGCTGCTGTCACTGGGAGCGGCCATATTGTGTATTCGTATTCGATTTCGATAAAACTTCTGACAGCAGACGATGAGTACGATAATTTGAAAGTAATGACTTTTGTATAATCTGTAATTCATACCCTACGGGATTACTTATGAAACTTCCGGGATGTCTGTGGCAACACAGAAACATTGCCTCGAATAATAAATATCCCAGTGTAGGAATTATTTATTTGACAACTTCCGTAACTGGTAAGTCGAAATATCAATGCCTCTGGTTACTTCTTATAATCTTTCCGTGTTAATTTCGTTCCGTGTAGTAAAGAATACATTTGAACTAGAGCGTAATATTGTAAAAGTTTAATAAAAAAATTTCATTACGTCAGACTCGGTGATTGCCATTACTTAAATTACTCGAAGAAATAGTCTCGTGTATATCATCGGATAAAAATAATGATGCTACAATTTTACCATAAAATTAGTATGAGCCTACGATGTAATGTAGCTAGATAATATCTCGTGGTGATTTATTCATAACTAATTGAGTGATCCTATTATTTTGGAATTCTTGAGAAGAAAAAAAAATTTAATAATTTTATTCGTCTTCTCATTAGGACAAGATCCGTTATTATATACATATCGTGAGATCTAACATGTGAATAGCACTATGCATAATGAACCTACATATGTAGTTACATACATATATATGTACGCGCACTACCGGGCATTGCGTTAAAAAGTAACGAGCGTATGACGCGTTTCCATTCAAGTTAATAAAATTATCTTGCTGTTAGTTAATGTCTAAATATAGACTTTGTTCCCATGTAAAATGCCGCTTTGAAAGCAGACTCTGTGTCAGAGTGTCAACGAACGTATTTCATGCTCTGGCAATCTGCAATTTCACGCGTCAGGCCGACAACAGAAACAGCAAAGTCACCACAGATGACTTACCTGGTAGAGATAATTCGAGTAAGAGGAATGCGTGGAATTTAAAAAGACACAAGACGGAGGACAAAAAACAGCTTAAGGATGCTGAACCTAAACTCGTTGAAAATCGATTTTAACTTTTTTCGCGAACCGACGCTTGGTTAATGTTTTTCGTGACGATGACGACGATTTTTTAAAGCGTTAGACTGATTGATATATTATTTCCTAAGAAAATCCGACATTCCGTTGACGCCTCAGAAATTACGAGAACGTGCTTCAAGAATTATCGCACGCGATTCAGACTAGTACGTGTTGTTGTTCCTCTAGCGATTTTCCCTTTTTTTTTAATTCTTCAGTCCAATCATCTTCCTCAGCGAAAGTGTATTGCGCGATCTGTGAGAATCCGACCAGTGGATGCGCTTTAAATGCATTGTTTGGTTTATTGGGTTCGCCTCTAACAGGCAAGATACTGCCGTTTTAATAACACGGCGGGATAATTGTTAAGGATGACGCAATCCCTCGAGTTTGAATCGGCTATCACAACGCGCAGTGTACATATGTATATGGTATTTTTTTATCAGTATGGAATTTCGTCGTGGAAAGTAAAGTGCATTCCCGAAGGGAAACGTGTCTCGACTTTGTGAAAACATCGCGGCCTCGTTCTCATTTGTGTATGCGCCCATATATCAGTTGCAACGAAGAAGTGCTGGTGATCCTCGAGTTATCAGGGTTCAGTTTTCTCTTTTAAAAAAAAGTAATCGACAGATAAGAACGGATCTATGACAAATTTCATCATTGACGTAATCACTTACTCCGATAACGATTCTCGACCAGGCGATATATTCGTTCAATAAAGGTTTGCGTGACTTGCCGATATCACACCTTGTGACATTTTAATCTTGATAGTTTGATCGTCTATTTAGGTTCAGATAGACTTTGGTTCTCTCTCGATAATCCGAAGGGAAATATAGTTTTGTGTTCTTAAAGAAATATAATTCTACTTGGTTATTACTGGGAATGACGTGGACTACGATAACAATAACACAGAAATATAATAACGACCTGTTGCATGGTCCGTTCACGATTATTTATCTCTGGTCATTCTAATACTGTTTAAGATTTTTGAAAACGGTTTCAATATATTAAATTCACATTGCAGTCATATTGATGTAAGACACTTGAAATCGTCATCTAATCAATGATATTTAAGAGCGTCGCCTATCATATCGCTTATTCGATTCGATATCGGCAAACGATAGGAATTGCAATTCAAAAATGGAAATTGATGCTCGGAAATTTATTCGACGCTATTGCTAGGGCGCTTGCCAGATGCCACGTTCCATATATTCTTATAATTACTCGTGAACTTATGTATACAAAATCTCATACGTGCATATGTATACTTATAGGGGTATGGATAACCCATGTATCATTAAATGTCGAACGAGCGTCCCAGGTATAAAAGAACGTGCACGTTTTATGATGGTAAAGTATGTTGCGCATAACTTAGCCACTTCCTAGTCGAAAGCTACTGCATGAAGACAGTAAGGATGAATGTACAATGGATATGAACTGTAAATATAATTCCCATATATATATATATATATATATATATACGAGTCATTTTAACGGTTGTAACGATACTGTAATTCAGCACGTGCTTTTTTTTCGATGTATTTTCCTTACTTACAACATGGATGCTATGGACGGTTTCCTTTTTTGTCTTACACAGTATTATAATATTTTTAGTTTGAATTTTATTAGTTTCGCGTTACTCATTTTAGTAGAAATTTGATTAACGCAGTGGTCGACAACTTGAATCATTTCTGGCGGTTCAGCCCTACAGGATGCGTCAGTTGACACATCGAATAATTGATCGAATGGCGTGTGCTGTTTTAAAATAATATTAGACAGAGAACGACAAATAATATTGTATCGAATAATTAGTCGTTGAATCGAGTTGAATATTTTGCATCGTTATATTTGTATCTGTTAATTATAGCTTTGACGAACGTGGGACGTGGTTATGAGTGATTGCATATCGATAGTGGAAATGGTGGAGGTTTGATAGAATTCGTTAAAGGAATTATCTTGAAATATGGACGAGTACCTAGATAATATTATCGAGTGAGGCAGGTGAACTGAAAAATTGTGATGTTATCTAGAGATATTACATGTGAGCTGATGTCGCTCTTATTATTACCTACCTTTATCATTAAATGAAAATTTTTTCACGTGATTCCTCTTACCTGGTAATAACTTTTGTCGTGTATCCACTGTATCTTTTTCATGTTACTCCTGTCACAGTCAAAGCGCCGATGTTTAATCTGATCGAGTAAATTGCATCAAGCATCCTTTTTAATTCGTCTTGATCGTGGGTTCGATATCGTTAATGCCTATTGCGATCGAATATACATACGTGCAAAATCTTGTTGCTGCAGTCGACGTAAATATTCTTCGAAGTACTTCGAACGCTATCAGCGATAAAGTCCTATCGGCTTAGTTAGCTGGATTTGTACGATCGTGGTATATGTATGTAACCTCCATTCTTATATGGATGGGTGGTCGTACCCTTGATATCATTTCTAATTATTAAGGCGAGTTGTCAATATCGTTTTCAATTGTTATAACAATGGCGGTCCATCAGAGCAGGGCTGGTTGGGTGAGCTGTTGATTGCATAAACGAATTGACAATTGTGATAGAAGCAAAATTTAATGTGAACTTTTTTCCTTGTTGCTCCTTACAGATTAACAGCAAGTACAGTGAGGAATTGGCGCAGGAATGTTTGGAATGGATCAAAACGATCACCGAGGAGGATATCAACACCAATGGCGATATGGACAATTTCTACGAAACTCTTAAGAACGGAACCCTTCTCTGCAGGTACTTAACTCTTGGTTCGTAAAGAGTAATTAGTTCGTTGATGAGAGAAAAAAAAGAAAAAGAAATTACTGGATAAAAGAGTTCGTTATTCTCGTTAACCCTGGCATATTTAAGCAATTTGAATTCTCGATCATCTTAAATGCTTTTAGTGTACACAGTATATGTATGTATGTTTATATTGAAGTAGTAATATTGAATCTTGTGTGATTCTCTGTTTTGTATAATGTAACATACATACTTATTCCTATTGCATTTGCCCAGGCTCGTGAACAACATTAAGGAAGGTTCCGTTAAGAAGATCAACACATCGACGTTAGCCTTCAAGTGCATGGAAAACATAAACGCATTCCTCGAGGCCGCCAAGACGCTTGGCGTCCCTGCTCAGGAGACTTTCCAGACCGTCGACCTCTGGGAGAGACAAAATCTCAATTCCGTCGTCATTTGTCTACAGTCTCTTGGCCGAAAGGTAAAGTTCATTGTAACTGATAGTTTTGCAAGTAACTGATTCGCTCTGAGGTATGCATCAAAAGTAATAGCCAACTAATCTTTATATTTGTATTCTTTCAGGCTGGAAACTACGGCAAACCTAGTATCGGACCGAAAGAGGCGAACAAGAATGTTCGTAATTTCTCTGAGGAACAATTGAGAGCGGGTCAGGGTGTCATTAGTTTACAATATGGTAGCAACAAGGGTGCCAATCAGAGTGGCATTAACTTTGGCAACACTCGACACATGTAAAGGGTCCATTCCTCATTGTCCCTCTTTAATTAAATCAAACTCCTTCATCGTACTTTATCTTCATAATTATTATGTAATTATACAATACATACTCTATCGCATAATTGTCTTGGGAAGCTTCCGAGTGCTGCATTCTGCTTCAAATTTACGAGGCTGATAATAACGGAAGATTTGGACAGAGTATTGTGAGGATTGTTTATGCGGGACGTTAATATGATGCATTGTGTATGGTCGTGTACAATTAATTGATGCGATAGATTAATTAATCGGCGCGCAATTGTGATATGGCCTATATTAAAAATTAGCGTACTTTGTGAGAGAACGAATTTTTATGAAAGTATTAATATACGGTAATATATTTTTCATGATGTCCGGGGAAAAAGGATAAATATGGCCATAGTCTTCCGATGACAAACAACTTATTCGATAGGGATAAACATTCTTCACGGAATTATATGCAGAGTATATATATACATATATATGTACGGTATCTAAAAAGTTTTATTACATAGGTCACGCAATCACCGACTCACTCACTCGCTGGATGAATATACAGAGCAGGAAAGTAAAGTTACACGTGTAAAAAAAAAGGAGAAATATAAACGTCTCGTCCTTATAACAAACCCTTGGGATTACTGTAATTGGACGTAAGGCGTCGCATATTTTTTTTTGTAAATGTCAGAACCAGAGATTTTGCGCGATGATTGCACAACAAAATATTAGGGAGCATTGTTTCGTATTATTGCGGATGGATTATAGTAATATAGCTAGACATTCTACTGCTGTTACTATATAGTTCTTTGCGCATTACGATTTGACCAAAATGTTCAACGAGTTCATCATGTTGTACGTGAGATAATTATTATATGGTAATAATAAACGATATATAGAAACGATTATATTAAGTATTTTGTACAAACATTTTTTGGTGGTTATACTATATACGATAACAAAATTTCATAATGTACTGAGAATGAGAATTAATAAACAAGGCATCGTAAGGAACACTAAATGTCTTTGCAGTATTCAGTTTATGATTAGTTGGTGTTGCCATGAAGGATGAGTGACAACTTGAATGATTAAACACTTTTTTTTAGAACAAAAATCTATATTACATACTACTGTGACAGAATGTACTTTATATAATGGTGAAATATTCAACGAAATTCAGACTGGTTTTTATCTATCTACTTCTGGAATGGATAATAATTCAATCCTGATTTATAAGAGAACTTCTTCTTTCTGCTTTCTTGTCTTTCTGTGATTTTCAATAACTTTTGAACGTCTCGCCTGAATCAGAAATATAATTAGTTGAATGATTTTGTTTATTGAAAGGAACAATTATTCTGGAAAATAAAAATATAAGTAATACATGAAAATATACCTGTATGGTGGAGGTTTTAATTCATCTTCCAAAGTGCAGGGCTTGTTGTTGACAGTTAGATCGTGTTTATATATTCTGTTTCTCACAATATCAATATCACGGTTAAATATATCCTCCAGATTGGAAATATGTTTTGGTGGAACATCAAAATATATCACAAAATAACTGAAAAGAGTATATAAATAATGTGACAATTATCTGCTTAGAAGAATATAGTGACACAAAGAATAGATTGTTATGAATGGCAAAATACTTACTGAGCCTGACGACTTACAACACCATGAGAACTTGTCTTGGCTGGTAAATCTTTTTGACCCAAGTTTTCAATTTTTCGAATGAATCCACCTTTCTCAAAAATTGCAGTAGCTGCTCTCTTTAGCGTGGACACAATTTCAGGCTGGAGAACATAGTATAACATAAAATTATAATTTATAAGAATAGTATAATATAATCCCTACTGTCATCACGTTCATATATTTTATGTAGAATACTTATTGGGTTTGATGCAGGGTAAAGGATTACATACTTCATAACTAACATTATGCATTATTCCGAATTTAATATGGAACATACTTTTGGCATAATACGAAGAAGCAGTGGTAACTCGTATATCGGCATGTTTAAAATATTTTATATCCGTAAACGTGGTCTCTTTTCGAATTATTTTAATATTGCCTATTTAGTTAAAAATTAACTGCAAACAGGTTAGCTTTCTGTTCACAGTAAAATCATGGACGCTAGACCAATAACCGATCCGTACGCCAGATAGAAAGAGACAAAACTGAGGATACCAGGAACAAAAAGGAGTAGGGAGATGCACGACGCTACGGTTTCATGCACGTGGTCTCTTTTCGAATTATTTTAATATTGCCTATTTAGTTAAAAATTAACTGCAAACAGGTTAGCTTTCTGTTCACAGTAAAATCATGGACGCTAGACCAATAACCGATCCGTACGCCAGATAGAAAGAGACAAAACTGAGGATACCAGGAACAAAAAGGAGTAGGGAGATGCACGACGCTACGGTTTCATGCAATACCAAAATCAAGCCGCTAAATCGTAGCGGCGAGTCTGGAAATAGGAGTTTGTGATCATCGCCTCCGTCGACAATGCAAATCCCGTTGTAGCCGAGCTAAACGTGAACACGAACCCGTAGCTTGGCGGGCAGAGGTTCTCCGCTACTTACCCCTGGTTCCCAAAAGCAACTCTTAAAACGAGATCGGGAACTATAGAACTTCTCAAGAATTATTGAAAAAGCCTATTGTTGAAATATTTTTAAGATATTTTTAAGCACCTCAATTTTTAATAAATATTATTGGATCTTGATTTACTTTCAAAATTTATTCAAAATATAAAATTGAGGCTAAATCAAAATCTCGCAGAATATACGGAGTAGATAAAATTTGAATTGAAAATGTAGAATATTGAAATTAAAGTACATTCAAATTGAAATATTAATAAATTAAGTGTTTGTGACATTAAAATAATTAATTATATCAATAAAGTAAAATAGTAACATTCAGAATTCGGAAATTCAGGCCAAGCATATTTAGAAGTACTGGAAGTTGCCTAAAATTGTGTGCGCGCAAATTCGACGTGCAGGACTCGGTGAGTGGGAGCAGGCGGAGAGTGGGGGAAGCGCTCGAGGCAGTGCCCGGACTCGGAGCGCTCATTCTTCCTCGAGCCGGTCTCCTATACTGGTCTCTTCGAATCATTACGAACCTTCTTCTATTTTTATATTTATTTCTTCTTTACTTCCTTCTTTCTTTATCTTTCATTCTTCACTTTCTTATTTATCTCTTTCCTCATTTTTATATCCATTTACAACCTTCTTCTTCTTTATTTATTTCTTCTTTACTTCCTTGTTTCTTCTCTACTTTTATAACTCTATTCCTTACTTTTCTACTTTTTGACTTCTTTATTCCTATCTTCCTTTCTGACTTCTCGTTTCACTTTGTTCCCTCTCACTTTCCATTGTGCTTGTCTTGTCTGTTGTATTCCTTTGGTCGAGTCACCCTGTTAGTGCAGCTACACGTAAAGACCATGGTGTCGGGGGTTGCCCTTCCGCCTCATCCGCTGAGCTTGCTCAGTGGGTCGGGCCCAAGTTGTGGCCTCAACAGGACCTTATGTATTTAGTATATTTGTATTTGTATATTTGTATTTAGTATTTAGTATAATTTGTTCGTTTGGTTAAAAACGGGAGTAGCGACAAAAGAGAAGACTCGAAAAAGTAGGAAAAGTAGGAAGTATAAGGGAGCGAAATGGGCCCCTCCTCGCCCATTTCCGTGAGGTCCTGCAAAGGAGCTACGACCCCTCCGAGGCCCCATAGGGGACCGTGTTTTTGTTTTTTTATTGATATAGGCTTTTCAAAAGGATAATAGGCTTTTTCAATAATTCTTGAGAAGTTCTATAGTTCCCGATCTCGTTTTAAGAGTTGCTTTTGGGAACCAAGGGTAAGTAGCGGAGAACCTCTGCCCGCCAAGCTACGGGTTCGTGTTCACGTTTAGCTCGGCTACAACGGGATTTGCATTGTCGACGGAGGCGATGATCACAAACTCCTATTTCCAGACTCGCCGCTACGATTTAGCGGCTTGATTTTGGTATCGCCTAAAACCGGAGCGTTGTGCATCTCCCTGCTCATTTCTGATGAAAAGCAGGTCTTCGGCAATATCCCTACTCATCTCTGATCAAACAAGAAGTAAATTTGCTTCAAGTTATTTTGATATATAATGCGATTTTTATGGGAATGCTAAGCATGCATAACAATTCTTGTGCGATTATGATTAAGGGCGTACATACTGATATTGCCCTGAAAGTATACAGGTATTTCACAATTATTATATTGTAATTACATTTATACATTAAGTATTAATTAAATAATTCAAATATTTACTGTTCAATTATCTCTAGCAATCGCATACTCTTAATCATCAGTCAGGTCAAAAAGTTTGGGTCTATGATAGCTGTGAGTCGTGAAACTACTGTTCGTGACTTTAGTAGCGACGTATATTCTATTAAGTAAGTATGTTAGATTACGAAATTGTGAAGACTAACATTTACTCACAATGTATTTTTTCCCATAGAACTTTATTTGGCAAGGATGATCCTGATAGTCATGTAGCAGGTAGATACATTGCTGAACACATTGACATAGACAGAGCACTGTTATTATCAATTTGTATAAAAGATTACGATATTGAAACATTGAAGCCTATTGTGTTTGCTATAAATCAATTGAAATCTTGGTAATAATTTAAATCATTATGAGTTCTATATTTGGTCAGTTAGTTATTGGACCTCCAGGTAGTGGTAAAACTACATACTGCAATGCCATGGGTAAATTTTTGGAAAAGATGGGCAGAAAAGTAGCCATCGTAAATATTGGTAAGTGGAACAAGGGATTGCTCTGTTACATTCTGATACTGACAGATTAGTCATTACAGATCCAGCTAATGAGAACATGGAGTACACATCAACAGTAGATATATCTGAGCTCATCAAACATGATGAAGTTATGACTACTTATGGACTTGGGCCTAATGGTGCTCTGATGTATTGTATGGAATTTTTGGAAAAAAATGTTGACTGGCTAATCAGTAAAGTGCTCAATCTCAAGGATCACTATTTGATATTTGACTGTCCTGGCCAAGTTGAATTATACACACATCATAAGTCAGTGTCTAATATAGTAGAAAAGTTGGGACAGAATTTAATTAGATTATGCAGTGTGCATTTAGTAGATTCACATCACTGCAGTGATCCTGGTACGTAGATAATAACAAGTAATCTTGTAACCAAGAAGTACAATGATACTATTCTATTGACAGGAAAATACTTATCAGCTTTACTTCTTTGCACAAGTACCATGTTGCAATTGGGTTTACCTCATGTAAATATTTTAACGAAATTAGATCAAATGAAAGAATTCAGTGATCGCTTAGCATTTAACATTGATTTTTATACAGAAGTGTTGGATTTGAAATATCTTTTGGAGAAACTTGAGGAAGACAGATTTATGGCTAAGTAAATAATTTTTACCTTATTAGTATTGTTAATAATTGTCACACGTCAAACAATATACTGTTGCTTTTCAGATACAAGAAACTAAATGAAGCATTGGTTTCTTTAGTCGAGGATTATAGTCTTGTAAGTTTTCTACCGTTAGACATTTCAAACCAGGCTTTACTTTTACAAGTAAAGAATGCTATAGATAAAGCGAGTGGTTATGTCTTCGGAGGCAACGAACCTCATGATGTTCAAACATTACTTGCTTGTGCTGTAGGAGCAGTAAGTGAGACTGAGAAAATGTCTGGTATCGATGATTATTTATAAACAGAAGAGGCACAATTAAATGATATAATAGATAAAAGTAATTATATTTTGAAATGAATATTTGAATCATTCAAAATTCGTATTGGTTATATACAAATAGCGCATAAAGGTTTTGTGTTATTAAGTAACTTTTTTCTTTCAATAATCACTGGGTCCTTACTACATTTTGCTGCAGTAAATGCACTGTTTTAAAATTTTCAAAATTAAACGTACGCTCTGTATAGTGAAGTATTAAATACTGCTTATAATTAAAATATACTTAACTATAAAAACTGTTGATATATTTCCATTTTTATATAGAGATTATTACTATTCTTGGTAAACATAAATCTGTGCTAGATCATCGTAGTCGTAAACTCGTTTCAAAAACGTATCCACTAATTTCACGCCAGAAATGGTCTGCAAGAGAATTGTTGTCGTTAAGCGGAGTACCATAATGATTAATAATTGTACTACTTATACTCCATAGTACTTGATAGTAAAGAATACTTACAATAAGTCCAGTGACTAATGGTATGAGGCACAATGGAACATCAATAGAAGCACCAGGCTTCACAGAGCCTATCATAGTTTCAGATATTCCACACCATGCTATCGAATCATTGGATTCTAAACCCAATATTATGTCCATAGATCGTTCTCTGTAAATATTATGGATTATTAGCCAACGTAAAGTAAAATATGATTTATTATATAAATAATAGATATTTTCAATGATTACGATGTATTTATTATGTGGCATTTGAAATTGACTTGTTTTTCTAAGTATACTTCTCCTGGAATATCCTTCATTGTAACTCGCAAATCGCCACATTTGGGTGCCTGTAATTTGGTTTTTATATGAGCTGTCCATTGGATGTAAGACTACATTTATTTTATATTATTTTTCTTAAATGACTAACCAGTCGCTGCAGCTGACTTGTTTGTAAACGACCTCTTTCTCCTAAATTTGTTCTCCAGACAATATCAAGTTTACCAATATTTGTTGCATTATGCATCATTTTAGGATCCTTCAATAAGGTAGGACTAGGCTTCAAACAGTACAGATATTGGCGACTACATTCTGCATCCAGTAGATTTACTCTACCATAAACAGACTCTCCCTTTTCATTTGTATTTAAAGTTGTCACTAGATTATCGACAAATAATTACCATTTTAAGATATAATGTTTAATTAATTATAATTTAAAAAACACTAACCTGTGAATAAAGTTGAAGATTCAAGAGCAACCTTTTCTAAACAAATTGGTCCAGCTGTTAGATTTTGAATCTGCGCTTCGAGGTAAACTTCATCTGACTAAAAGAAAATGCATTTATATTAATAATATTGCTATATAAAATAAAAGAGCTAAAGAAACAAATTAATACCTCCACATTGTAGAATTTCGTTTTTACATCGAGTGGCTTAAAAACAAGGAATTTGAAAAACTTTCGAAAATATTGCACAGAACCTGTCGGATTTACGGGCGTATAAGACACCTCACATACAAGTCTGAAAAATATTAATACATAGTACTTGTAACGCATATTGTTGTTGTTAAAAATTATTGAAATTTCTTACATATGAGCACTTAATTCTTTAACTTCATGATGTAAAACTTTATCAATTGTACTGTCTGGTGCCAGTTCCTTATTTTCTTCATTATGACAAAATAAAGGAATTCTTTGAGATGGTGTTTCCAAGTCAGCCTATAATGATAAAACCATAATAAATATTAGACATTAAGATTATTGCCAACTGTTATATAAAGAGAATCGATTTGATAAATTCAGCATACTTTTACAACAACATCTTTAACTGCTTGACTACTGCCATTATGTACACACAAATAGCATGAGAAAATTTCTCCAAGATACGTATTGCTGAAAAATAAAAATACAATCATACTATTTCTGTAAGATTCTGTATCTAATACCACGTGCACAACTTACCCAAAGCTTTGTGGTAACAGCATCATTTGTCCTATCGCAAGAGTCTCCATTCCTTGTAATGCCGTACAATCATTTTTGAGTTCATTATTCAAAGTATTACCTGGCAGATCACTTGAATCGCATGTTACAATTACAGGACTCGCAAGTGTTGGTCTAGTTAACCTCATTACTGAAAATAAAATATTATCTCGATTTACCACGTCACTTAATATTTCTAATAAGTTGTTACAATCACAACCTAATATTATTGTTTAACTGCATCTTAATGACTAAAAGAGTAATTGCAAAAAGAAGACAACGAATAATCTCCTAATAAATACCTTTTAAAGCCAACAAATGTTCAGTTTTAGGTTTATTCTCCATTGTGATAATTAAATCTTATATTATTATACAAAAATATCGTTGTAACTGTATGCTATACAATTTTTAATGACAGCAGTATCTGTCAACCAATCTGTCAAAACTCAGGATCTGAATCTACCCATCGCTATAGTACTTTTGTATCCTACGTGTATACGCACCCAGATCGCATGTCAAACGCAAAGCTAAGCGAAAAAAGCTAATGCAGTGAAATTGGTGGCGCTGATAGAACGCACATGTATGTACGAGTTTGGATCTGACAGCATACTTATAGCTAATAACACTGTATGTATGTATAGTGTCTGCTGCTTGTCAAAACATAAGACTAATTGTAAGTTCACTATTATCGGATGTTCCGTAAAAAATGTAACTCTGTTTATAATTCACTGTTTAAAACATTTAAAAAATAATATAATCCTTATAAAGTTGCTGTTGTTGTAGTTGAAGAGCACTTTTACTTTTTCTCCCTTTTTACATTACTCAGTATGGGTTATGTGGCATGAAAATCGCACAAATAAAGTACGTATTACAGCAGACAGAGAGAATAAAAAATAGCTAGGGTTGAAGGTAATTCTATGTTTCTGTAAATCGCAGCAATAGATTTACGTACTTCCTGCAATTTTACACACTGCAGCCTATACTTACTGCAATTGTGTTGCAGTATTAAATATTTAATTTTCACGTGCGCCATCGATTCATCCACGCGATTCTTTCTATTCCTCTTATTCTCTCACATTTTCCCCATGAAGAATAGAGCCTTTAGTACATCGAATATCTTGAATACTAACATATTGTTATGGCGAACATCAATAATTGTTTTCTTTGCACAAGTTTCTTTTTAAGAACCATAGCATCCTGGCCAGGCACAACAAGGAGTATTTCGAATTTCCGCAAACTGTTTAACGCGTTACACGTTTTTCTCGTGATTTCTCTAATAACTTCGACCATTCTGCAAGTTTCAATGTATATAATAAAGAATCCTCTGGATGCGAAAGTGATAACGGAAATCTTAAGTGCACAGGTACGTTTCTATCAATAATCGATATATTTTGCGAATATATAAATTTATACGATAATTTGCAGTGCGTATACTTTCATGTTATTATAAAAGTGATCATGTACAACGTGCATCGTAAAAAGTTAATCAAGTTATTGACATCCGTTAAGACTTCACTGGAAAGTAATGTAAAACCATTAGTGAATAACGTTGAAACATACATGAAAATTGGCATAATAATTTATGGAAGTTATGCGTTAAGCATTGTTCTTCTGGCTTTGGATTATATACTTTCACCGATTTTACAAAGTGAAAGAGTCCTTCCGGCACTTATGTGGTATCCATTTGATTATACGAATTCGACATTATTTTATGGTTTAGCCTACGCTCATCAAATAACAGCAATACAATTGAGCGGCTGTACACTTGGAGTTGAGATTACATTCGGAATGTTAGTGTTTCATTGTTGCGCGCAATTACAATATTTGCAATATCTTTTGCAAACGTTAATCCTCGGTTGTCACGCAGAAAGAAGTCGAAGAACAATTCGTGTAAGAACTGCTAAATGCATAAGGTATCAGAATGAAATTCTAAGGTAAGATCAGCAGGTAATTTGATGACAAATAAATTAATAAAAATGTTTGCATCTTTTATCATATCTACAGAGTCTTTATCAATTTCAATTATTAGTTCGATAAACGATATTGACGATGTACACACGTATATTGTACTTGTACTATTTTGTACAGCGACTGTAACGGTTTCTTGTCTTGGATTTCAATTGCTAAATGTAAGTTCTATCGAGTGTCTGCACGACCAGCTGTACGTGTATCATGAATTTTTCATGTAATTTCGTGATATCAAGTATCTGGGACTTATAGTAAATGCCATTTAATTACAGATAGAAACTTTATCGGTAAATTCATTAGCGAAATTCATGCTGAACGCCGGATGCGTTTTGTTGCAATTATTATTTTATTATTTACCAGCTAGTATACTTACTTCCGAGGTACGACAATGAATGCGCGGTAAATATAAAACAATAGGAATACAAATATTTTTTTTCCATAGGCAATGAAGGTGGAGATGGCGGTGTATCGTTGTAATTGGGAATCATTACTGCCTGATCAGCGTAAAGATATTTTATTTATATTAATGCGCAGCATGCATGTTCCGAGATTAACAGTTGGACGAATCAGTTCTTTACATTTGGAGAACTATATGAAGGTAATGTATAGAATAAATGAAATTTGATAACAAATAAATGAAAATAACACTGTATATCGCTTAAAGTTCTTAACGACAACTGCATCTTATCTGACTTCTCTACAAGCTGCTACAGGTGCAACTTCTTAGGTATGTAAAGCAATACTAACCATAAGTGGAACAGAGCAGGATTATCAGTCAGCAGGATTCATTTTAATTCCAGACAAATGCTCTTATGCCCAAGACATGTTATACTAGATTTAAGTAACATTATTTTTCTCTTATTTTATAAATGCAATGTATTCTTTTTTTTTAATGTATTTTTATAATATTATATATATCAATCCATATATATTAATATATATCAATATATTATATATTATCATATATATCAATATATATCAATATATTATATATTATATATATAAATCCCATTATGACTTCTTTCTTATAAGCAAATCCAAATATGCCCCTGATATTAAATTTTCTTTTTTAACGTCCAGTTTCTTCATTAAATCATTAGCTATTTCTTCTCCTTCACTAACGTTTTGATTGTCGCGCAATACCACCTTGGACAAAATGAAAAATAATATTACAATCCATACAGAATAGACCACTGAAGTACTACAGTTCCATTAACTTACCTCCAGTTCCATGAAATCTCCTAAACCGTCAACTCTGTCGACGTGAACACGAGTTTGTCCGATCATATACAAGTGTCTTGTTTTAATAACATTTCCTAGAACACCATTAGCCACAGAGAGGACTTCCTTTATTCCTTGAGCAGCTTCTACGTTCAACGATGTCTTTTTATATGAAGAAACTTTCGGTCCATCCGTATCGGGGCGTTCATAATATATAAGTTCTCCAAAGCCATCCTAAAAGGAGAAATGACCAGATAACAAACTAAAATTCCTCAGAGGTTATGCCAGAAAGATGTATGTATGTACAAGAAAACAAAGTTAAGAATTCCTCTATATTTACATATACTCACTTCAAATAACCGTAACTTTAACCTGCCATTTGGTACGATAAAAAAGATATCATGCTGCTTGATAACAATGACGTCACTCTTGCTCAATTCCCTCACTTTTTTCTCAAAATTCTCTACACTCCCGACGAACGCCTTAATTTCTATGTTCATTGTCGCTAGAGCAAAGCAGACAAATACAAATTATACACAGATAAGTTAATACAAAAAAATTTCAAAATGCCTTAAGTTATATTCTATGTATATCTTCGAAAGCCAGACTAATCGTCAGTTGGTAAGGTATGAACGGATAGAATTACATCAGACAAGTCCAAAAAGTCTTTCACACCCAAAGAATCTCGTTACCGTACAAAGAATTCATTTGCGATAAAATTCAAAATATATACTTACTCTTTAGCTCAGCATTTGCTTTGCACAATAATGTGGAAATTGTACTCCTTTCAAAAGAATACCCACGATATCCTAAGAACAATTTGACATTTGAATATTCGATAAACATATAATGACACACCTTACTAAGTACGAGGATTCTTATAAACTCACATCAAGCCCATTGATACAGGCGCTCAGGCAATATATAAGAATATACCATCCAGCACAAAAACCGGCAACGAAGAAAGATATTATAATTAAAATGAGTAACCAAAGAATAAAATTAAGCGGATTGCACTGCATCTCAGAGATTCTTGATTCAACGTCTTACTTCGTTTGCTACGGATCTCGACTAACAAAAAAATGCTGCCACACAGAATCAGTCACGTGACGCTTACGCACCGTTAAGTAAGCAGTCACGTCATGGCCTCGGCATACCTGTACATATATATTTATATATACATTTTCGTAACGGGAATTTTACATCAGATGTTCTTATTGGACAGAAAATAAGAGGGGATATCTTATCACACAAATCCCTTCTTCCTCTATTATATTATGGTAATACATAGGCGTGAAGCAATTAGCGATAATGATTAAATAACTTCTCGGTGTAACCTTTTATTGCTGTAGCTATTAAAAAGAAAAAGAAAAAAATGGCTCCAGTGACAGTCACACAGGTATAGTTAACTAAAGCTTTCACTTCGCCTCGTCGCATGTGACACGTAATGAGATACTCAACGATAAAAGATCGCCATGTATCAATTCGTGGCTACTACTATTATTATTTGAAAACAAGAGCAGAAAATACTGCAGACTCGATTTCCCAGCGATGGGCGTACGTAGTACGAGATCCCGCGAGAATAAAAATAATTACTATTTTCTAATGACACCAAGCACGATTCGCTGTTCCCTTTTTATGCTTGTTTTTCTTTTCCCTTTTTATACAATACAATCCGAGAATAAATTCATCTAAATCCGCAATATATTGTTCGAAAATGTTCACCAGCGTGGGTGGTAACGCTGCGTTTATACAAAGAGCTGGAAGTAAAGTATTCGTTTCGATATAAGTATTTCAATGTAATTATAATAATTAAAGTAACTAATAATGTTATTAAATATTTTATACATATACATAGTATTGTATTTATAATAATGGTTTGTAGTTCATTATTAGGTAGATAGTTATTAGTACTTAGTACACGCAAAGATTTTATGTAAGTAGACAAGTCTTTTTTTCTTCTAAATCTTCCGCAACAGGTGTCATACCACCATCTTGATTACCTTGTACTATTTTCTTGCCATGTGACTTTTTATTTTCAAATTGTAGCTATCGATTCTATTTTGATTGCTGATGCGATAAAAAAAAGAAAATGATATGATAAAAAAAAGAAAATTCTAGGCGCATGCGTGAGATGTCCCATAACTGCACAGAAGTAAAATTTTTTCAAAATGCCTAGCGACAAGATCCTGCATTAATTATCCACGCGGATTTCTTTATAAACGCCAATAAGATGAATGCGTGGTTATTGATCACGTAGAAATATGATCTACATACCTTTATTAATTTTTATCGGTTATGTCGTTTCGTCGTATTAAATAATAGTATTGTATAACTCATTTCTCTAAGCGAGAGAGAAAAGGATTATACGATATTATCGTTCGATAATACCAAAGAATCCGCGTATAATTTGCCAGCAGGAAATTTCGATTCGATCAGTGCGGGTATCGGTTTCAAATACTGATGCATCACCAGACCGAAACACCATTTTAATATGTTAATAATCTATTTACATAAAATCTTTGGTCAAGGCGTTATTAAACTTAGACCCATGGTTTTGCAAATAGATATCTAACATTGTTACATTCGATAAACAGCTACTAGCCATGTGTGTCAATTCGCTTCCATTCCTTTTTTTTTTTACATAATTTTGATTTCCTCCATTATGAGCATCCAACGATTACAGGATATGCTCTGAAATGCACCAGATTAACACAAACGATTAACGATGACGTATCGGCTGTATCAACCCACGCTGTCTCCAGCCTCCTCGACTTCCGTCTCCACGTCGACGCTCTCAGCTTCAGTTTCCGCTTCCGTTTCAGGCTCGCCGCGTGCGTCTACGAATTCCTATGGACAAGTAAATCGAATTGTTTTCCAGGGCAATAATTTACAGTGACTTTAATAAATATTTATATTCACTTGGAGACAACAACGATAAGAATATTTATTGCTACATGAGATTTTATAAGACACTGTCAATCCTTACATCGCGATTGAGGTCATCGGAACAGCTTTCTCCGTTCAAGGGCTCACCTGAGAGAACAGGAAGAACGAATTATTAGTACAGAAATAAATTTTGGACGTTACTGAAACGTGTTTTAGGATGGCTTCGGCATTTTATTGTGAGAATATGTATTTATTATGAGATATGCCATGTCATATTTATTTTTAACAGTGCGTTTAGCCAATATGTGATAACGTGGACGTTTATCCACCTACGCGTATAACGAGATTGCGCAAAAACACTAACCGAGTTCTGTTTGCGTTTGAGTTGTGGTTGTAGTGACCTGAATGACTTCGCGATGCTGAGCATCGGCGTCGAGAGCATGGAGACGTTCTCTATTTCTATGTAATTCCTTCCGTAGCCTGTCCCTTTCTTCCTCCCTGTCCTTCACTATTTCCTGTAGATAAGAAAGATAAGATATATGTTCCCGTTACAAGACTGATAATTGTTCATTATGCCAATTTATTTTGTCAAATTACCAAGAGTTGCGAAAGCTGGGACGTTAAGGAGTGACATATTGGCTGTAGCGATGACACTGGTATTGCTGGTTTGTGGGAATGAGAATGAGTACGTTGCGTGGGGCATCCTGTGGCTTCGCAAAGTGCCGAAGCCGACGCCGAAGCCGACGCTCCTCTTGCAGCGAGGACGGTCTCGGTTTCACTGACAGTCAGTGCAGAGTTTATCATCGCCACCAATTGATTTGCTGTAAAACGTAAATTATGTAGAGATTACGGTAACTGGATATAAATATTTATATTTTCCAGAGATATCTAAAAAATATACCTTGACTGACAGCAGCGAGTATCAGTTCAGCAGGTTCTTTTTCTAGCCCGGTTGGTTCTGACGCCATATCCGCTACATGCTCGAAGTCCTCTCTCGGTATATTTAATATATCCGCCACCAATATTTGTTTCTCAACTAAAGCTTGTTTTATCACTTCGTCCTTTCTTCTCAGGCATTCTAATTTTAATGAAATAAAACAGACTATTAGATCCAATTGACATAATGATTCGTTTATTATGACTAGTCTGCCATAGAAAATGAATTATACCAATTGGTGTCAGGACAGGCTCGGCAACGTGAACAGGTCTTACTTCCACGTGAACTTCTACAGGATCTATTAAGGAGGACTGTGTGCAGCTGGCCATACGTAGAGGTTCGCCAATAGCTAAATATTACAACTCGTTATAGCATATGGACCAGAAAAAGCTAATGTCAAATAATAAAATATTTGTAAATTAACAAACCTGTTGTAGACGACTCAGACGGTTGTGGTGGTTCTTCAGGAATAGGTGGAGGCGCGGATACAGGAGTATCTGGAATTTCATCTTCCTCTTGCTCGGTATTGCTAGTATCTTCAAGAGTCTCCTTCGTTTCCGGTTCTTCTTCAACTTTCTCAATTCGCTCGGACACCCCAGGTTCGGGCTTAGGCGGCGGCTGTGGCGGTGGTGGTTCCTCGACAGGCGGTGCTGGTTCCTCGGGTTGTATCGTAGGCGGTGTTGGTCTTCTGCCTTCACGATCACGAGCCTTATACGTCTCAGCAGCTTCCGAGATATGTTTACACCAGAGTTTACGCTCAGCCGGCGACGTAGCCACCAGGTCATAGATCTGCGCTCCGTTTTGTGAGGTATTCACTAGGTAGAGCGAGTTTTTATCCACAGCATTGTGCCTCACGAGAACCGTCGATACTTTCACAATGGGACTCAATACGATTTGATTAGTATTAATGAATTTCAATAGGTACTTCTCGTCCTGTCGATGCAGTAGAAATATAGTATCGTCTAGCAGCACAACATGGAGATCAACAGGTTTTGGACGATGGACTATCCGCCATTGTAATGGACCCTCGTAAACGAGTCGTCTCTTTGTAATATCGATATTTTTAAATTCCTGAACTATCGGATGATCAAATTTATCAAACGCCGATCTATCGATCGTACGCTGAATCTCAGCGAGACGCTGATAATCCTCTGCCTCACGTACAGCCTGGTTCACACGACTCAGGATCTCTTTGCTGCGTTCAAGACTTCGCAGAACCGAAGCCTTCTCCTTCTCATTGCTCTCTGGACTATACTTGGCGAGTTTCTCGAAGAGGAGAGGATACTTCGTCAACCTCAGCATCCCCGTAAGTATTTGATCTTTGAGTTGCAATCTCCGACACAGAGGATTGGCTTCGACGTCATTTAAAAATGCATTAAGCTTTGGATCCTTGCGACGTCGGTCCCGCAATGCGTCCAGAGCAACCTGCTGTTTTGCACAGTAGGTAGAAGCGGCGCGCTCGAACGCTTCACCAGCCTCTCCGTCGAACATGTCCAGGAGTAAGTCGCCGACGTCGCCAACGCAAGGGTTCTCCTTCTTTTTCTTCTTCATTGCTTGATTGAAGCACGAGTGAATCGTAACCATCTCATCTAAATTAGAGAAGAGTAGCTGGATCTGATCCAGTGGAAGTACTTGGGATTCCAATAGTGGCTTATGGAAGACTTGTGAGAGGACCTTCAGGGCACGTACGTGAGACCGTTCAGTGTGGAATAATTCTACAATAACAAAAAAAAATACATATATATAATTACAATTATTCAAGATCATCCCATAATATTCTCCATATAAATACTAATCGACCTACCATTAATAACCTCTTGTCTCTTCTTCTCAGAATTACTGAGACGTGCAAGTACGTCCTCGGGAACACTCTGACTCCAGTCAGGAGGATCAGGTTCGACGTCCACATCGCTGTCCCAGGACGTCGATGAGTTAGCAGCTGTGACTGCGGGATGCACCTGTTCCAGACTGGTGCTCGGACTATCCAGGCTCCTCGTGGACAGACTGCTGTTCGACGAACTGCCCGCCGAGTTTCCAGGAAACGTTCCGGAAGCCTCGGAGTCACTGAAACCAGTCCTACAGTCAATCGTTAGCGGATCCTCATTTGCACGACGTGAAACTACTCTGCCGACAGTCTCATCTGTCCTCAAAAAGACGAGCGCAAAGATACGAGGTAAAGATTCAATATAAAAAGGTACATGAAAAAAAAAATTATTAAAGACATTCACATAGTGAAAAGTAATATATTAAGTGAAACTATGAAAGCTCATGACACCCTGGCAGCGTACCCAACAAATATTACAAAGACCAGACTACCAGGGTGACATTTACCAGTAATATCCTTCTAGGACATAAATAAGATACCTATAGAGCATTTCATAGCTGACGCAAAACCGTCGCCTTTATACATTCCTCAGACTCTCATCTCCATTGTCCTAGCAATCTCCCAGAAAGCATCTTCAAATCTCAACTCAAAGAACCGTTCAGAATACGTCTGCCAGCATGAAGGTCCATGAGAAACTTAAAAAATAAAAAGCATTCGTCAAAGTACCTTTCCGATCGTGACCGTCGCTCGCCGACAGCCAGCGTCTTGGCCGTCGCGACGCCGCGCTGATCGTCGTCACTGTTATCATTGAGATTCGTACACTTCTTAAGACTATCGTTCATCCGTTCAACAGACTCCGTCTGGTTTACAGGACTGGGGATATTCTCGTCCGTACGTGAATGGGATCGAGGACGTCCTCGTCGTGGGCCACGTTGTTTCATCCCTTAGCCTCAAAAGGCTTCTAAAAGAAACGATCCTTCGTCACGACGTCTACGACGCGCCAAGCACGCAAATAGACCTCGTAATTCCGAGCGTCGCGTCAACCCTTTACCAAGCAATATTTTTTTCCTTTTTTTCCCTCGACAAGCACACAGCGTCCTTTTGACATTTGGTATAACAGAAGCCTCCCTAATTATTTCACTGTTTCACGTAGTATCGACCCTCTGACGGATATCACGACAATGGGCGTCGCGACGCGTGCGTCCCCTCTCCCTTTCCTCTCGCGAAAGCGATTTACATCAACAAGCTATTTATGATCTACGCGAAGATATTGAGCCCTCTGGATGTTAATGCCGAGACTTTGCATATCCGGTAGAAGCGACGCCACGTTTATCTGTCGTTCGTCCGACGCCGACGACCAGACGTCGTCAAAGATGTCATTTGAGCAGCCGTTGACATTGAATTTATAGCGTATCAGCCGACGCGTACAGACATCAAAGAGAATCGGCCGAGCGTCGGTTGACCAATGGGAAAAACGTGGATGAAAATCTTTTGGTTTTTTTTCTTTCCAGGTATCTTCCAGGAGGTGAATTATTTTTCTGGATGATTTTCAATGATGATAACTAATTGAGAACAAAAAAAGAAATGTATGAAAATACGAGCGAGATAGCCAAGTACATACAGGTGTAACATTTCCTATTTACTCTTGGATGAATAAGAGTAAACCGATAACCCAATAGAAGTCAGGGACACTCCACGAACAATGACTAGTCGTGCGGCCCGAGCCTGAAGAATCATCACAACCGTTACACCCTCTAGAATGTATTATCGACGCATAAGTAAATTCACGAGAATAGTATCACGAGGAACCGTGCCGAACCCTAATGCCACTCCATTAACCGGGATAAAGTTCACGGCGCCTCCCGACGTGGCCCAGTAAAGATCGAGGACATTTTCTCAGTCACGAGTGCAAAAGGCGCCCGACAGATGCCACGAGAGAGCACGGACTTAAATAAACGTGATGAATTAACAAAAAGTTCTCGTTCAACGTGGGCGAAGACTGAGTAATTTGATCGAAGAAACACATGCGACCACTGGTTATCCTCAGAGCCATTCTGCAAAACGGTATCCATTTGGCAGAACAAAGAAGAGCACGTTAATTATTAATAGAAAATTAACAAAAAAAAAAACACTGCTCGATCTTTAAGAAAAGTTAAACGACCCTCGAGAATCTTATCAAAGTCGCTTGACCCCTACGTGATTCTAGCGAAGCTTTGCCACGTCTACTTGTCGATATTATAAGTTTCCGGACGAATTACAGAAGCCCGTTTTCGTCCAGGTAAGCGTCAATCGGTGTAACGCGTAACGTGGCAGGTGTGTTCGCGCGACAGAGACCGGAGGCTGAGCCTATCAAAGGTATTGATTTGAGGCTATCGATTGCTTCGGAAATAAAGGCCAAGACGTCTATCTCCGGCCTTCCTATCACTAGGCCCATTCGCGTCCACCTCGCGAGCGCCCTTCCTCACGTTGATAACGATCGCCGCTATTTTATCCTTGTTCTCATCGTGTTCCCAACTTTCGTGCCAAGTCGCCGTCTCTCTGTACCAAAAATCTCCTCGGAGCGTTTAAGTCTAGGAAACAGAATGAAAGAGTGTTAAAGATAATAAAGAGCAGAGAACGTCACAGTTCGGTTAATTAGATTTGTATTAAAAATTGTCATTTCCTTTTTTCCCAATCTTCTTTACCCATCCATTTCATTCCATCCCGCTTATGACGTTTCACGCTGAAAACCCTCAGTAACAAGCTCCCCTTGCACACCTAATCGACCATGGCTTCTACATCGAGTTCACTGAATAAAATAATTTAAATTACACGATAGCCGACTACAAGTCACCTGCATCCAACCTGTGTATTTCTAATGACGATACAACGGAGAAGGAATCGATAACCGACCTAGTGACAAATACAACGTGAACTCGAACGAGGCACGAATCGATAACAACGCTCATGCACTTTGACTCCCGAGGGAACATCTTTTAATCGGCCTCGGTGCAGTTGGCTAACGCAATTCGCACGTTAGGTCTGAATGTCACTCCGGCTGAATAGACAGTCGCGTACGTTTTATCGTAATTGACAAGGGAGAAGCTCGACACAGTTCTTGTGCATAGAAGGAAAAAAGAGTTTCTGTTACGTTTATAGAAAAATTGATTAATTTCTTTTCACCTGCCCTCGTTCTATTCTTTCAAGTAATTCTCTGGCTGGATGGAGAGCAATGCAGCTTCGTAACGTTCCCTTTCAATGGATGAACAAATAAATGATGGCGCATAGGTAAATAACGTATCGATATTCTACACGTCCGTCATTCGATTCACATCTCTATTCTTGGTATGAAAACAAAAAGCTAACCTAACCTCGGCGTGCCGTTGGTACGATCATCCGATAATCAATAATCGGAATAACTCCATGCAGACTCTATGGAAAGCCAGATCGTAACCGTTAGGTAAGCTCGTTGGGGAATCCTTCAAAAGTTCAACGTAACGCCCTGGCAATTCGTATCCCCTTTGCTGAAGCGTGAGATATTATTCCGACGAAGGATAAATAACACGCGAAACGATCTTGACGAATGTTTCTGCTTTTGATTTTTTTTTAAGATACCGGAAGTTGTCCCTCTCTCGTTGGAATACCAAGAACTGTCCGTATCGTTTAACTTGGCAGAACCGAACGAGGCGATTGATCCGTATCGATCGATCGATTTGTAAGTCGTCGATCGCGGATCGATACTTAACATTGAGCGTCGTAACATCTACGAGTCGGTATTAATAAGTTTCACAGGGGGTGCGACTGAACCGAGAGATAAAAGTGAAAAAAGAAGAAATAATCTAGAGGCTATTTATGGCAACTGTTTGACCATAGCTGCCGGCTTTGATTACGAGCACCCGACGTGCCTGTGCATTAACGTTTATTTATTTAAGAACCGTGTCAATCCTTTTGCAATAACTCCACCTCCGCGCCCTCCCTACCTCCTCTTGCAACAACACCTTTCACACGGGCGACTGAATTCCACTTACTGTAATAACTAAAACTTAAAGAAAAATAAAATAAAGTCAATCCAAAACAAAATTTTACCTCGACAACGCATTCTCTCGTATGGGTATAAAAATAGTCATTAAGTATTCCCTACAGACACTGGATATAATAAGAGCGTCAGTGTCAGCCTACTTTTTAAACTATCTAATTACACCGAACGTCAATTTCCGTTACTTCACACTGAGACCCAGAGTACAGAACGTTAGTAAAGTTCTTAAGCGATTAATTAAGGTAAATGATATTCACGGCTCTCCGTCATACGGAATAAAGGTAGCCAAAGGATTGGTTAAGGGTAGTACATAGGCACCTATTGCTCCTAGCGACAGTTCTGATTACATGTACAAGATTGACGCGATACTCCGTCGACGCTGCGAAATTGCGAATTAACTATCCACGTCCGCGGAATTGAACGTTTAACGTCAAACTGACGAGCAGCTATAGGCACCTAATACAACGTCGAACCAACAGCGAGGAGTCTGCGCATTTCACACAGTGTACTTAGTCACCTTGGCGGCGCGTTCTGCCAAAAAATCTATAGCTAAGGTCCGAAGGCCGAGGGAAATACCGAGAGCTCGAAAAAAAAATACAAACAAAAATTCATGAAAAATTTTAAGTAGTAGAACGCGTTCTTGAATCGGGTGCCAATCGATACAAAACATACGAAATAACCCAAGGCTCGTGGCTTATGGATCGAAATATCGAATTCTAATAAAATCCGGTACTGTACGAGGTCGTTTCGCCGGTGGATACTATGTACATATTTTTTTTTTTTAAATTTACATCCCTTACTGCTGTCTGCACGATCAGACGCCATGGTGTCTGCAGAAAATGCTTATTCGAGACTCCCGAGATACGACGATAAATTGTAAACATACAACTGTTATGAGAAACTTGATAAACCAAGTAACTGGCTACAATTAAGTAATAACTTATTCTATTATCTTATTTAAGACTAGTGCGGATACCAGTAGCGTACGTCGAACGGTACTTGCGTATGATTTGGCATAGGAACAAACGTGAGTAACATGTCGATGTCTAGCGGAATTAAATACAGCAGACCAAGCAAGGAAACGCATGCGAAATCCAGTCACGTCTTCCATTTCTACACGCTGTTGACAATTGGTCGAGCCTAAGCATTTCGACGGTTAATTAATCGCCGAACTAAGATCGAAGCGATACCAGAGAGAGATTGCTAGAGAGCCAACAGAGAGAAGATCTGGATTCCTGGAAGACAACTCACTTCGTTTTGGAGAGATTCGGGTCGCTGGTTTTTCGTTTCTCGCGCAACTGTCGCTGTAATGAGAACGAAGTCAATTATTAAATATACAGGATCAACCGTCTAATGGATATACGCGTGAAAAGAGCCTTAAGGATTCTCATTGCTATTCGCATAGGCAGACTAGAGCTGAAGATTAAATGAGTCTGGCTCGGAGCTGGTTACGACAAGCGTTTATGAAACAAGAAGTGAACACTTGAATGCGTGTGAGAGAGACAGAGAATCTCAATTACTCCTTATCACGAATAACTATGCAGAATGCAACGCCGAATCCTCTTTGTGAAAAATCATGAAAAATTATAGCTCACCTTGTGGTGTAACCGCTCCTTGTAACTTTCAGACCTGTTTATGTTTGACGTCTTTGGCTTACTGGAAATATTTTGCTGCACCCTATGTAATCGTAATATCAAAGCGTAAATTAATGTCTATATAACGTAAAGTAAAAGACGAGTCGACGTGATAGCACGCGAAGTAAGCAGCCCGAGTTACTTCGTAAGGACAGAAGTTCGAGCATTGGCGCCAGGGCCGTGACGGCCTTGAAAAATTTTCTAATGAACGATAAACGCGCCACGTTGAGAACGTCGATAAGAAAAACAAAAAAGTCACAGACCGAAAAGTACGCGGTCTCTATTTCTCGGGGACACATCGATACGTACGCGATTTCGAGAAGTTCGTAGCTAACAATTTTATCCATACAAAAATATACTTCATTTACTACAACTGCCTGGCGCGTTTACTCGATTGATACTGAGCAAACAGCGTTGAGGATCCGGTACTTGGAATTTACAGGAACTTTTACGATTGTTTGTAAAAGCCAGCAGGGGCGTGAAAGAGAGAGAAGATCCTCACCCATAACCAAGGCAGCCAACGTACAGACAGTTAACGCGCGTGCTCTTGCACGTGGCCCACTTGATTAAGAATTACTAATTGATATCGCGTTATACACTCTATACGTAGAGACCTCTAAATCAAACCCGACCAAGGTGGTAGGTTCACGGATAATAAAAAAAAAAAAAAAAAAAAAAAAAAAAAAAAAAAAAAAAAAAAAAAAAAAAAAAAAAAAAAAAAAAAAAAAAACGAAAAAAAAAGAATGCCAATAACAAAGGAAGATACGTCACTCAAGCACTGGCAAAACAATGAACCACTATGAATGACTACGATAAGCGAATCGTCGTGGCCTGATACGAGAGGAGGGCATGTACCGAAGAAACGAAGTTGACAAGAAATCATGCAATGACGAATCAACGGGTCCATCCCATAAACGTGCGTCACGTCCTTCGAGCCAATAAATGAATTCTCTTCGATTGATCGTCGCGACTACGAAATTTCTTCTCCCTGTCTTCTTCGGTACAGACCACCGCCAATCACGTGCGCAACATACATTTCAGAAATGTCCTCCCTCGACGAGGGATCGTCCATGCTATCGGCGTGATCGCCAGCTCCGCCATAAGCGGAAACGCGTCCCCTTTCGCTGCTGCTGCGTGCGTTTCCTGTTGCTCCGCCTCCGCGATGCTCTCCTGAAATCACACGAACAATACGTCGTTATTAGATATGAACCGAAAGGTGCATTCAGAATGTAAAAAAAAAAAGTCAAACGACCAAGTGATACTGGCACTGTTCCAGGAAGAGACACAGCGATCTGACCAGATGGAGTCTTGGGTATGATCTGGAGTCAGTGAAGCCATACAAGAGTATTGGAATCTTTTGAAAGACAAGGTCGCATCCCGGGGCCACAATGCATTCTGGCATTTGGAGCCTGAGACCGTACCCGGCAGCTGAGTTTTGAAAGGGGGTTAACGGTTTTCAATGAAAATAAGAAAGCCATCTGGCGGAGGGTGGTGGGGAGGTAGTAGACTGGAACATTTAGTTCGGGGAAACGTGTCCGGTACTAAGGGTACGGTCGAAGAAGAAGAGGGTGAAAGAGGAAAAAAAAACCATGTTTCAAAGATAAAAATCAATTGGAGCCAGATGCACTCTGCAACACAATAGGAAATTCCTCCGGAAAATACATGACCAGGATTCGTTTCAGCAAATGCGAATTTTCCACTGGTCCATTTAATCCGCGATATTTCTGAATTCAGTTGCGCGTGCTTGTGGACATAGCTGCGTGCATGCGTGTTGTGTATTTGGAGAAAGAGGAGCGGGGAGGGTCCGGTTGGGGTCTGGGGGTAGGAGCTTAGCCGGCTACGTGCATTTCGCAGGTTCTGCATAATTTGCTAGGAGGGGTTGAGGAAATTTTGCAAAGCACGCTCCTATATATATATATATATCGAATTCCATTACGTTGGGGATACGATCTCTGGAGGGACTGGCCAGACTCCAAATATCTTTTTCCATACAGCGCCTTATCACTGGCTGTAAAGTGCGGTAAACACTAGAAGCAATTCCGATGTATGGTGAAATAGTTTAAATATAGAAAGTTATATCTATATATGATCGGCATGGAATATGTCTGGGTATGTGAGACGGGAAGGGGCGAAGAGAAAGAAAAAGAATAACAAGTCATAATAGTCTTTGACTCAGTGAGAGGACGAGACGGTATTACTGAACGGATGGCAGGGTGCGAGGGGGAGAGGGGTCGGAGGGGGAAGAAATTCTGTGTATTTGGTTTCCGGCCGACGGCGACACACGTAAATTTCTATCTAAAAATACGCGAATGCTCGAGTTCGAGCTTTTCCTACATGCACGTGTCGCGCATGTACCCGTCTAATCCTGGGAGGCAGCGATTAAGGCTCCGTTCACATGGCGCGGTGTTTTCACGGCGCTGCCGAAACGGCAAAATGGTAGGGAGGAATTTCAAAATCTCACGCGATACTTCTTAGTTGTGTATAGGAAGTTGGGCAAGGCGAATTTTCTAGCAGAGTCGAGACTATAAATTCGCGTCAAGAGAAACCACGTGTGGTTCAATCGTGACGCGAGCCAAACAAGGCTGACTTGTGTTTTTACCATAGTTTTTTTTTTCTTTTTCATTCTATCTCCGTCTCGTCAAAAAATTTCCAAAGTGACGGTATTCTCGGCCACGATAACTCGTCTTGTTCTATCTTCGAAAAATAATTATATTGACGTCTTATAAGATTTTGATAAGTACGAGCGAGTGCGATCGGCAAGCGTCAATTTTTCCAAAAATTTTACGAACCGTGTAAAAACTTTTTAGCCGAAACGAAGTCGATTGTTATCAGCGTCAAAGTAGATAACACGATAATTCTCTGTAGCAATGCTCGCCGACACGTTAACAGGCGTGAAGTCAGCAACGAAACTACAATATGGCGTTCCTTGTGTCAGTGCGATATATATTTTGAAAATAAAGTTTTTTTTTTTTTTTTTTTTTTTTTTTTTTTTTTTTTTTTTTTTAACAAAACACGAGTATAGTGCAAAGATTACCAAAGTTGACGGATACATGAAAAAATATTTTTTTATTAAATTAATTGACGATTCGGACAATCGACCTAATTTTTTATCGCTCGAAGGACACGAAATTTTTTACGTCACGACCAAAGTGTTTTAACGAACCTGCGTTATTCCCTGCGAGATCCGTAAATATTTCTTGCTGACCACTCTCCGCAGTGTCGTTCAAGGAATCCCCATCACAATTTTCACTGCCCTGCTTGACATCCGTCAAAGACGATGGACCAATACGGTCCAGATGTATTATGAGACCGGAGAGGACGATGTCGTTCGGGCCACAGACTCTGGATCTGACGCCTTCAAGAGTCTCCCAAACTCTGCCGGCGATCGTGCTCTTAACGTGTGGACGCGTCTTGAGTATCTTTGGTTTTGCCTTTTTAGCTACTTTATTGTCTCTGCACAGTTTCTCGGGCACCGTCGACAAACCTACGCCTGAGCAGAATCGTCGTTTCTTTCGTTTCTCGAAGCACAAAAAACCAGTACGGGTCTGTTTCGGTTGCTCGGCGAGCATCCGACTCAGCCAACACTTATACAAATGTCGTCTCCTAGTGAATTTCATGAAATCCGGCACACTTACGGCTTCCGCTATTCACGATCGTATCGCGTTAACACTATACAGACGCGCCCTATACGTTAAACGGTTTCATACTCTTCGGAAAAAAAAAAATTAAAAAATTTCACCCACAAATAAAATAAGCAAAATCGATCTATGGTCGCAAAGCATGCATCGGTCATTGATAAGAAATCGGATATAGATCACTGTCAAATTTCGTCACGTCGATCAATCGATCCAAGCGCAAGCCGTATTTATCCTTGCCGAATTTCACGTTAACTTCACAACTTATTACCATCCGACTTGAACTTCCGGTGGAGTCTGTTCCGACACTTCTCGGACGAGAGTCTGAGGTTACTGAAACTGCTGATCAGGGGTGAAAAGTTTGTCGAGGGGTGGGGCGAAGCCCGTTCCCCCTCCAGTGTATCTTGCAAATGTATTTCCAACATGTGCAGACTTTTTGGTCCCGGACCGAATTTTCGTTCCACGCTTCTTCCTCCTATCAACTCGACCACCAAGACCCTAACGCCTCCTTTCTGGCGCTTCGTTTCCTTCTGACTCGCGCACCGCGCTTCCGGTACTTCCACTAGCGACGTACGAAAGGGATCCCCCTGTATAACAAATCCTCCAGCTAGAAATCGACCCCCTTGCACGATCCTGTCGCCAAGGCACAAGGCAGACAGTCAAAATCCAATAGATCCGCGCAGAAGGCACGACGTTACAAGACTGTCAAAATCAGAACTGAAAATTCTCTCGGTATAGACATACAATAGAACCAGTGGAGTTGGACGGAGGGAGGATATACCCAGCCTGTCAGAAATATCAAAGAGCGAACGACAGAAATGAAACTTCCGGTGAGAATGAAAGCGAGTGTAAATGGAAGCTGCTCGAGCTTTTTCCTTGATAAACAAAAATGAGAGACACAAAGGAGTATCGAGAGAAAATAATATACTGCTACTTTGATGAGTAAGAGTAATTGAACGGTGTTGGAAAAAAAAAAAAAAAAAAAAAGAAACTTCGATCTCAAACGTCAATCCATATTACGATAGTACAACGTATAGATATATATACAAATAGATTAGACAGAGACGCCACGATCAGTCAATAATAATCGATATTATTAGTTTTCGTCGATTTAACATAACTGAACGTAGCTTCAGTTTTTTCTTTGACACTTCGATCGATCGATATTAACTTTACTCTCTGACGGCACAAATCGAATTCAAAACGATCGGTTCACGTGTAATTTATTATATTACGGGTGAACGAGAGACAGACCGTCGCGACGCCGACGCTGTTCGTCGACTTCAAAGCGCGCGATGCACACTGGGAACAGTTGAACTGTGAAATGTGTTTCGTGGAGTTTAGTGCGGTTTAACCGACCCGACGATGCTGATAGAGGCCTGATATTACTGGAGGGAGTGCGTAGACGGGAGTCAGGGCCGTAACAATAATTACGGGGTACACGAGTCAAGTAATGGTACGAAGGCGATACCGTTTGCAAATGTAACGATGACTCAAAAAAAGAGCAAATTAACAATATACACATACAGTAATTCCCCGCGTGGTAAAAATCACGTTTTATCCTTCAGGGCAAAAATTTTTATCAAGGATCGTCATAGACGCTGTAAAGTTGACAGAGAAAGATAAGCCAGAGCTTATCGAAAGTGGTTTTCCGTTGTTGCATTTCAATGCTATTACTAAGACTGAACGGATGTTACTAAAGTAAAGAAAAAAAGTATATTCACTTAAGAAGCGTTCGTATAGTAGAGTCTCAAAGAGAAGGAAATTTTGAAAAATTTATCCTAATTATTATTCCATTAGAGAACTAAGGACGTAAAGTGAACGTTAACGTTTCTTTTTTTTTTTTTCTATACAAAGAGAAACAGCGAGACCAGGAACTGACGTCCATTTCGATTTACGACGCTCTGCCGGTATATGAGAAGCGTTCATTAGGGTACACGTAATGGACGTAGGGCGCCTTAAGTAGATAGTTACGTGAATGGCCAGCTGGCGATATACAACGTTTGGTATCGGAATTAATATTCCCGCGAAGGAATAACCTTGAACCACGTACATATGTGCTACCTACAGTGTATCGGGAGATAGCGCCAAAGCCGAAACGCCGAAGGAGGAACGCACGAGCATCGGGTCTAACGTTAATTAAATTAATTGACTCTACCATTAATTGTCGTCAGCTGATACAACAGTCACCTTCACGTGTGTCATGCTACAGTGAATTTTAATAATGTCTATTGTCTCTAGATAAGGTTATGATTATTTTTTACTGATAAATTCTGCCGGTATCGAGGAGGATTCGGCACATTTGACTTCCGAAGCCAATCGGCTGCTGGCACTGGACCAAAGATCATCTCGTGCTTACGTCAGACGTATGTTAAAACATGTCAAGTCCATGTAAACTTCGATAAATAACTTTTACGAGTTTTATTGCCGCTCTGCAAAATGGCATTAGTGGGCATGATATTGGGACTGGCAAGAATTTTACTTTTTTTTATGAGTATCGAATTTGAAAACAAACTGGAATTGATGTGTCGATACGTCGATTCATTATTTTTATGTGAATCTTCGTTACGCTGTAAACAAATCGGAAGTCGTTGAAGTCACGTGCTAAATGGCAATACCCAGGTACCACGAGGACGATTGGTAAGCATCTGCATGATTTTTTACGAAATTCCCATCTTCGTCGCAGTGGGTAATGCGTTTTTTAATTATCTTGGATTGACTTACCGGTCTCCTCGAAATAAATAAACCATTTCGCAGCATTAAGTAACTCCGAGTGCACTGATGCTTTTCGGGAAAGTCGATTTTTACGTGATAGAGACATAAAATGTTTCGTGTATCAACGACACTCGCCACTCATCGTACAGATGGTACTGGCGAAATACGAAAAAGAAACACGAGATTCCTTCGATATCGAATCGTGTTTGATCGTATTTGCTTACTGCTCTATATCTGATGTAGATAATTGAAACGTCGATATGGATACGACGAAAGTCCACACGACAGTTCATCATCAGGATTTCATTGCCATGATTACGGCAACAGACGTGTTTGTGGAAGAGTTTTTCATTGGAACAGGTAAAAGGAATAATTAGTGATCTTCTTCGAGATGAAGGATGAATGTTTGGTTCTAGATATAAATAAAGTGTATATGCAGGATGACGAGTGGAATGATTAATGTACGTATTAATAAAACTCACCGTTCTCCCCATCCGTCAGGACGCCCATGTCGTCGTCATTCCTCTTTAATCGGTCGACTAAAACAATAATAATTGTGGCTTCGTGAGACAATTTTTAACGATAACTGTGTAATTTTTAGCGTTCATTATCTCATCGAAAGTTATCGTGGAGGAAATGTCATTGTTTAAATTATTATTGTTTATGGGATACAAGTGAAGCGTTATCGCTTGTATATAAATAATGCTGATATCCTTTGACTGATAAATCCATTCGGCTCTGAAGAAGACTAGGTAACATGATAGTAGGGTAATTAAATTTCTGCATATTGACATTGTATACTCACTGTGATGCTGGGGTGGATGCTGGGGATGATGATGATGATGCGAGGAAGTTTTTTTGTCCGACCGGATGCGCTCCATCAGCTTGCTGATTCGATCCCTTTCCTTTCTAACCATTGGCCCAGGACAGTTCTCCTCAACTACCCGCACGCACTGACGATGCACACTCAGCGAGCAATCTATGCCCAAACATTTCAATGATAATGATTGGTTTACATCGTACCCGCAAATAAGTGTCTAGATACATTGTGCAGACTCTCCCCATATTTCTTCTACTACCTAGACAGATTACATAACATATGCCAAAATACGTTAGAGTTTCGACTAGAAAACATACGTCTGTCCGCCTTTACGTACCGCAACACTGATAACCTTGAGGACCGATGCCCCCAATAATTAGTTGACAGTGATTACAGTATGTGACCGTAAAGTATTGTTGAGCTACAAAGTGATGACCCCTGACCGTCATTTTTCGCGTTTTACCAGTGAGCAGCCGCGCCTTGATATTCGATTTGTCTTTCGCAACGAAGGTGGGTACCCGATCAAGAGACACTGGTCGTACTTGGAAAATTTTCGTTAATATCGTCGCCAGACCAGCTGCCGTTGTAAACTGACGAAGATCGACTTGGTCCTTTTCGATGTCCTCCCTACAAAATTCATCAAAGTCACTTCGCATTAGAGATTGTAATACCCCAAATGTCCTGGAAACATTCCTGAGGTCCTTTGAACGTGCACTTTGCAATTGTATTGATACTCACAGATAGGGTTCCATCTTTGGTAAAAGGTACGTCTCGATGATTTTCGTCTCTCTAGTCTTGTCAGATGCACTTTCGTCCAGCTGAGCGTCACTCGGCCCGAATAAAGTGCCCAGACCGGCTGTTCTCTTCTGTTGAAAATCCGCCAGCTGTTCGTTCAGTTCCTCCTTCGCACGTGTCCTCGCCTTCCAGAATATCTGAAGTACACAGGTGCGAGAATAGTAAACATAATGCTCGTTTTCACGCGGAATCCCAATGTAAACTCACCTTTCGTAATATCTCCTCCTTGTCGGACTCCTTCAAGAGGACATCGTCGATTTCGCGAGCAACGTTCTCGTCCACGTTATTCAGTCGCAGGGGCTGCGTAAACAGACATTCGTATTTATTACATTAGCCAAACCGTACAAAACGTCACCAGCCGAATAAGCGAATAAAATACTCACAGCACCAGGTACTAGAAAGCTTGAGTGTATCTCATAAGCCCATTTTCTCATCTCTTTGGCGTTGCCCTCCTTATACAGATCCGTTACCAAGTAAAATAACTGAAACACGACGACACAAATTATAAGAAAGAACGCCGTCGATACTAACCGAAAGCAGTTATCTCAGTTCGTTGGAAAGTCAAATTTGAACAAATCCAATGCATAACTGCATCTTCAGACCATGTAAAATAAACCATTCGCGTTAGACAATCGCTGAAAAATCCCAATGACTGTCGCAAACACACAAATCCGCAAAGTACCGCCAGTAACGGCCAAGAGATAGAATTGACCGCGGGTCATCAAGAAAAGTATATTACACAATAAATCCATAGAGCGATAATAAGAAAGCGGTAAAGTACAATGATAGCATTGACTTACCAGACTGGAGGGGTCACTGTTTGACAGGACATAATTAATAAATACAGCAAGATGCGCATGGTGTTCCCATAATCTCGATAGCGACTTAAACGGGCCGTGATCTTCCAACTGTCCCTGTCAAAATATCAATCATTTTATTGACATAGTGAATCTGGCACACGACCCTGACCACTTCGTGCTTATTCGCTTAACAGCTTACCACTTCTTGATCACTCATATCGTCGTCTTCCATGGACATGATCGGCTGCTGAAGTGGCGGTAAACCGGGACTGCTCTCATTCGCTATTATATGACGTGGCGGCGAGACGGTGACGTAGCTCTCGAGTACACTCTGTGAAAAAGTAAGAATTTCATTCCTTGCGTGTACGATGTGAGAGAGAAAGAAATGAAGAGAACATGCAGCGTAACAAAGCAACAGATACAAATGAACTCGTCGCATCGGCATTACAAGAACTTACGTCGTTCAACGTGGAGGAAGAAATGTCAGTTCCTGGACTGGGTATAGGATAAGGCGGCGGAGGTGTTCCTGGCGGAGTAACGTGTGGAGGATCATCCAAATCGATTCCGCTATGCCGACCAAGTTTCGGCGGCGAAAGATCGTTCATCGACTCGGACGCTATCAGACGTCGGCTCGCTTCGGATGGTGATATCATTGTCGCGCCCAACTGTTCAGGACTCGATTTCGTTCGTTGATGCTTATTCAGGGAGCTCAGGGAACCCAGATTCGCACCCTGCGAAAACTATAATGGACTGAGTATATATTCTGTTCTCTCCGACGTTTCAAGTTCAGCGATAAGGGACTTCCGAAAATGATAAGACAGACAGATGCGGCAATTAATCATAAAGAACGGCAACGAACTTTTAACAAAATTTTTAAGGAATTTGACGAACCACATTAAAAATCGATACCGCGCTCGCGATCGACTTAAGAATCATCTTCTGAGAAGTACGCGAGGAGACTTTTTTTCCCATTTTTTTTTTTGGTCTACCAGAAAAGTTTTACGGGTTAATTCGAAGATACAAATTATATAATTTATCACTCCCGTGTATGACAGTACACCGTTAATACTTTATTTACATTAGTCAATACCAAGTCTTCTCGTCTTCCTTAGATAATAATGTTAGGGATATACAAATCGACACAGATGATTATTACATTAAGCGTTGGATAAGTATTTGAAGCATGTGTGTTCAGTGTATGACAATTGATAAACAATTTTTAACCTAACCTAACATCAAAACAAATTTCTCGTATTACCAGCAACATAGCATTCGCCTCTCGCAGGCTCGTGTACTTCAACAAATTCGTACCTGAGATACAATGAATACAGTAACGGGTCTTGTGTTTCGGATAAAGACTACAGTACCTGCGTACAATCCCATTCGATAGTTTAACATGAGAATAAATAAATAGAGACAAATCAAATAGGATAAGGATTGAAGACACTTTCGCGAGACCAACGAACACAAGAAAGTACAATTCGATGATGATTAGGTGATTAGACTACTTACAGAGTTAGGTATGCCGTGACTGGTGTTGGGGGGCGTTAAATGAGTCAGCAGTTGTCGCTCCAGCTCCGACTGAACTATGTTGTGCGTGTTTGAGGGTGGTGGTCGGGGTGGCAAAGGAGGCGGTGAGAGAGTTTGCATGGAGAGGGAATTGCGAGAGGGCAGGGGCGGCGGTACGTCGCCAGGGTTGCTGCTCAAAGGCGAATAATGCCCAGGAGAGGACGGGGTGTTTGTTACCAACGAGCAAAGCTGTAAGAGAGACACAACAAAAGCAGGTTATGTTAGGTTAGCAAAAGCCTATAAAAGATACGCACACCATTTACCTTGGACCACTTACGCACCGACTTAATGACGGTTACGCAGAGGCGCTTAGTATTGTATCCCTATGCTATTACTTGTATCCTTACTGACGCAAGAAAACTCCGACAAGGGGGGGGTACTTGTGTTACTGTGAATTATCACTTTCGCGGAATTACAATTAACACCTAAAATTTTCTGTCTGATATACATGTATATACACAGGGTGCAACAGGACAGTAGTTTTTTATGAAGGCTTATCGCATAAGGATTTGGCCAGTTATTGACATGTACTTTTAAAATTAAATCGTGAGACTTGAATATTCAGGCTCTGGCCTGTCGAATGCTTACTCCTCAAAGGGGAAAGCCCCAGCTGGATGAATATGTATCTTTAAGCGTTATTGGACCAGGCACCATTGTATTGGATAAGGTCAACAGGCTATACAGATCCGTTATATAATACTTTGACGTCTTGTGATCTTTGTAAATGGTATACCTGTCCAAATTTCCCAGCATGGTGCTTCGTTCAATGGGTCTGTCGAGTATATAGGTAATATAGGTGTGTATATATATATATATATATATATATATATATATATTGTATATGACAAATGATAATAATCCAAACCGATATGTAAGCGTGTCACAAAAGCGATTTGGTACCAATTGAAAACGGACCTGGTCGTTGGCAGTGATGGCATCGAGCTGCTCCTGCAACGTGCGCACTCTTCTCTCAGCCCCAGCAAGCTCAGCCTGCAGCGTGGCGGTGTTGTTAACATGTCCAGCGCCAGCTCCGGCTTTTGCAAGTTCGCTACGTAGGTTTTCGACGTAGCTCTTCTCCTTTTCTAACATCAGCTGAAACGTGTGAGCACGTTGCGTCTCCAACTGCCGTTTCTTCTCGTGCTGTAACGTCCAGAGAAAACGATCCAGGAATTACAATGAGGCGACAGGATTTAGGTTGAGACGTAACGAGAGACTCTGAGACTTGAGAAGTTGAAACGTAAGTATAAACAGATGAAGAGATCAAGTAAGAAGCATGAGTATAGTAAGAAAAAGAAGAATAAAATGTTAGAGAAAAAAGAATTGCATAACGTCACGGAAGTGTCAAAAAGAAAAGAAAAATAAGTGTGCCTTACGTGTCGCGATAGCAGCGGCGAGACTGGAGCCATCCACGTTTTCTGTGTTAGATGAAAGCGCGAGGAAGTAATGGGAGGTGAATAAGAAGAAGAAGAAGAAGAAGAGGCAGCAGCATTATCAAGAGAAGTAGAAGGACAGCAGATAGAAGACGAAGAAGAAGCAGAGACAAGAGTCGAGCGTGAAGATTCGTTAGGCTTGTGTGAGTCGCGTCTCAGGAATGCAACGGGGTTGCGGAACTTCCGGTTGGGACTAGGACTTACGTCGACGGGTTGGGGCCCGGTAATACGTGCGTTATATGGCGCACCGCCCGCAGGTGCCGTTGACGCCCTGTGAAGGGACGTCGTCGCGGGTTGCGGCGGTGACACCATGGTGGAGCCGGCCGACAGGCTGGCTGGTCGCTGATGTTGCTGACCCGTGAGGCCAACTTGCAGCCCAGCTGCAACTGGCTTCTGCTGCACCGTCAAAACCACCTGCGTCGAGGCTACAAAACATAAGTTCAAGGACGTCGGATTAGTCATCAGATATTTTTGCATGGTTATAAAGTGCGCGCGCGCGCGCGCGCGACCTCGTTGGAAAATTTTCAGAGAGACCGTCTTCTAGCACCACGTTATACAACTGAGATTACGAAGTGGGTCAACGTGAGTCCTGCTTGATTTACAAATTGAAAGGCGAAAAAAAAAATCAAAAAGGAAAATCACAATTAACCCAGCAGAGCTCTTTTCCCGTCTCGTATCCAGAAGACCCGAGACTCTAATTCCGCCAAGGTATAAATATTTATATCTCCCTGGCGATTATCTCGCTCGTGTGACGTACGAGTGAACGTCCTGACTTCAGCGAAACGTAATCCAAGCGTGCACCGAGTCTCGAATTCCGAATGTAAGCAGCAGCGTCTACGGATGAAGTCGTATACGATAACGATGATCTCCCCATCGGGTACGTGAGACCTTACGGATACCAAATCCAGAGGTTCGACGTGCTAACCAAGTGGAAGACGCAGCCGTGAAACGAGGTACGATCCGCCGTGTCTCCCGGACGATACGGAATGGCTGAGATATATCCCCGCAATGAGTCAGACACCGGGTAGGTCCCGTAAGGCGGATACGCACTGCCAATTCACCGTATCGCTATACGGATAGTATAATCTAATGTTAGTAATAAGACCAACACCATCGGGCATTATTAGATATTAGGAAAGCGCACTCTATACGACGAGATAGAACTGGGTACCCAAATAAAGCTCCACGGGAGCTTGGTCCCAGGCCCGTTTCAGGTCGTACGTCGTGGGCGTTCTCATGTAGAACGATGGGGGTTGTTTACTGGGAAATAGAAAGAAACGGGGATACGTTAAGACCGTGGACACACGTGTGAACGCCGGTTGGATATTTTCGCACGGGCCGATCGCGCGTATTCGACAAGCCGTGAGAGACTTGATCTTGTGACTCGTAAGCGTTCAAAAGACACCGCGACGCTCGGCGTCCCTCGCGAAACTGCGTAAAACCAAGCGCAACGCCTTAGGAAATCTCGCGTGGCGCGGGCGTTACACGACGTTCGCACGGGACTCGTACCGAGAACCCCAGGACCAGGTGGGTATTAATATGAATGACGAGGTCCAATGTTTACAGATTTACATATGACTATACAGCATCACGGTCAAACTATTGCTGATCCATGATCATTGGAGAGTGAGAGGATGAGCGTGGAACGACGGAATGGGGATGGCGCTGAGACAGAGATAGACGGAGACGATCGAGCTGGTACATATGGGGTGACGCTTCAAATTTACGACTGTCACTCTGGTATCCCCTCTGGTACATAACAGAGATTACGACGTTCGCCGAGATCCTGCGTCGAGCACGCTGATAAGGAAAGCTTTACGCGATCCTCGCAGGCGTAACAGGACTTTAAAGATAGTCTTGTGGGATCGTTTGAATTTTATCTACATCGCCGTCGACCTGGCTCTTCGACCGCGTATACAGTCGGTACGGTTTAACCGTGTCGCTGGATCGGCACCTCGTTTCCGTCGTTTGAGAATCTCTGCTTTACAGGAAGGCCAGAAAAAAAGAGTCGGAGAGCAAGCCAGCTCAGCGGTTATTTCCATCTTTTGTATCGTGATTTCTTAGACGGAGGAATTTCTCGATTTCGAAAAACTGGAAAAACTCTTCTTTCGAATCACAAAATTCCTCGCGACTACTTTTACCTTTCGCGTACACTCGAATTGTGCAACGATTCTCAATTAACAACATTCTGAATATTCCCAACCGGGCACGGTTAATCGTAATGCGGTAGACAATGAAAAAAAAAAGATTTATAAATATTCGTACGTTGCAAATAAAGAGCACAAAAAAAAATCGGCGATGCAAGTGATGCGCTCGAAGTTTATAAACAAAATCAGACATTGTAACCGTAAACGATAAACAAAGCGACAAAACCATTACAAACGTCGAGGTCACGCAGTGGTACGCGCTAATACGTATACAATAATTTCACAATGCATCGACAATCATCTTTAAATCCGAATAAATGATAAATCGTTAAATTAAATACATCCGTAACATCCCAACGGACTATCGTCACTCACCACCCATTTTCATGTCCCAAACAATGAAAGCCAAGTCTCCGGTCGCAAGAAGGAATTCTCGCATCGTAAAAAAAGTCTCCGAAAAAGAATCGTAATACCCAAGGAGTTTGACTCATTGTTTGAGGGGCTTTCGCATTTGTACGTGCTAGGAATTGCCGTGGCCCCAGAGATGCAGGTATGCATCCGACGTACAATAAAGTAAGATAGAAAAGCGAAACAGTCACCGCTATAAACTCACATGCTTACATCACTAGAGCCTGGGGCTTGTATAGCTATACAGATATATTCTATACATATATATATATATATATATATATATATATATATATATATATTGGCAACACACAAAGTAAGGACAACGTTAATCGCATTCAACGTTAAATGCGCGCTTCGAGCCAAGGAACGATATTGAAATCGTGAGGAGAAGCCACCGGTATAAAATTCTTTTTGCAGTCTACGTCGGTGACGTTCGAAAGAAGAAAAAAAAGCGTCTTCGCTCGACGTGGCGCGTCGTCCTCCTCCGTCTCTATGCACCGTTGTCTGTCGCAACTGGACGCTTATCGTAGCGCCGTCTGCGACAAGGCGTCTACGTCAATATACATCTGAGGAGTCGATGAGAATATTAATCAGTCCAAGGGATATATGAGTTTACTCACATTTGATCAGATCCACAACGTCGGTATGCGTCGACTGCATCACGTTCACGCCGTTCACCTGGAAACACGAGAGGAACGTGTGTAGCTGACATAGAAATGAATAACAAGAGTCTTATGAATTTCGATTCGACAGGACCCTCGAAGGACGTCTCCTCGAAGCTCCAGACTACTGTCCAGTAAGAGTATACGAATTCCGCGAGAATTATCTTTAATTATCGTGTACGTTGTGACAAACAGCTACGCGTTATACATCCGTACTTTAACGCACTTTCCTCTTGAGATAGTGGCCTGTTTGCCACGTTGTTAGAAGCCCGACGGTACTACACGAGCCCCCCGTGCATTTACACAGTTACTATACCAGTCAGAAGTAATCGTATTACACTGAGGTATATGAACGTAGAATAAAGCCGTGACGGTAGCCTGAAAGTGGCACGAGCTCCAATACTCTTAGTGCAACCGAACGAAGGCAAAAATTTGACGTACAGAGCTTCGCCACTGGAGCGTCCAGTAGATACGTGAAAACAGTCTAACCAAATGAACGCACCTTGATTATTTTGTCGCCGGCATGTAGGCCGGCCCTCGCAGCAGCACCACCTACAAAACACATAGATTTCAATGTTAGGTAATCAATAGACTCGATACGTGCTGCACGATACGCTTGCTTCCTTGGGGATCCTCGTGTAGCATGCAGCGAGGTTAGGCAGGAGTGAGGTAGGAGCAATGAGCGTTTAGGGAGTCTAATTTGTTACTAGGAGGATGATCCAGAAATTCCGGAAGCTCGTGATCGGATGGATATGGGTTAGATTCTGAAAGAATAAACAGTTGGGTAATGTTTAATGAAATTAGCGGGAGAATATGCTGTTATCGTTATAACTAATCGTAAATATTAATCAACCCTTAATGGACGAAAAGAAGGTCGTGCGTGTGAGCATGGGTGACCATGACAACAATGGCTGCACGCATCCTCTAGGAAGTTAACGGTTAATGCACGTACCTTCCTTGACAGATTGTACGTATACGGGATTGTCGCCGGAAACCTTCATCCCGTATCCGGCATCATCCTTGTAGACGACCAGGGTGGCAACCGGTGCAGGTTCACCCCCGACGCCGCCACCACCACCACCGGCGCTGCGTCGCAACGCCGTCGTTCCATTCATCCCTTACGGTCACCTCCTCCTCGGCTCTCTCTCTCTCTCTCTATCTCTCTCTCTCTCTCTCTCTCTCTCTCTCTCTCTCTCTCTCACCTCTGCTGATGCCGACCAACCGGTTGTCCTGCAACAATGACATCGGTAAATACGCGTCAGGGGTTCTCCGAGCGGAGTACAAGAGAAATACGAGGAATAAGTATCCGAGGAAATAAAAAGCTACGGAACCGGCAAGGACTTACGCCGCGATTAGTGATTCGCCTTGAGACTCAAAGTCGTACGAGTCACCCGTTAGAAGCGGCGCGTCGGTCGGTACTTTCGGATTTAAGGGAGCGTGTAACCGGAAGCATGTCGTGGATACGCGAATTCACGAAACGTAGGAAAAACTGTACGGGGAATGAAAAATATGAATAAATAAAGAACGAACGTAACGCCGCTAGAAATGGGCCGAGATGTGATCGTCGGGCCGAGAAACCGTTGAAAGGCTTTGAGCTTCCAGGAAATCCCTTGCGCGGCCGCGTTCCAGAAAGTTGAACGCTAGGCCGTCGGGTACCAGGTACGTGTATTTTGAGCGTACGCTAGAAGCGAATTGAGATGGCTTCTTGCGAGGAGCTTTGATAATTGACAATGGAATGGTCTTGCGGAGTCCTCTCTCGGACGAAGGATGTCGGTGAGCTACGCAGAGGGGAACCAATTGGAATTGAGAAAATAAAAGGCATCGTGTGAATCTTAATGAATTGCCTTCAGGAATACGCGTGGGCCGTTCCTTGGATGAGTCAGTGAATGGGCCGGGAGGAGTTTTATGCCACGGATTAGAATCTTCTTGCCGTTAAACAGAAGGCTTCGTATTAACGGTTTCATCGTTTCTCCTTGTGTTTATCCGTGCCTCTGTCTTTACGTCGCTCTCCTACTATTATAGGTTACATTTTTCTTCGGAACATCGGACTTGAGAAACTTTCCCGAGGAATGCTAGGAATGGTCGTGAGATTTCGCGCCTATGGAAACACGGGACTTACCCGGTGCGATAATTATAAATTACAATTAAATTTCTTTCCGCTTGTATAATAAAGGAGAGTCCAGGTTCTTATCGCTGGCAGGTGTTTCCCGCGATAACCATGAAGTCTTTACTTCATTCTGATACTAAATACAGAAACACATTGTATAGTCACTGAGGGATACAACGGCATGGTGACACTGATTGCGAGTCTCTTTCAGACAGTTTTATATGTATAGTCTAACACTTTTGAATCTACGAAATAACAATTTTTATATCTACTCGTTCACTCGGTTATTTCAAATTGATTAAATCGTACCGTTTTCAATTATCCATATTTCAAATTCAATCAAACTTCCCGCGCGAATACGTAGTCTCCCTCTGGTATAACTTTCTGGTAGTTTGCATGGGGATTCTCGATAATTAAAGATGGCGGCGCGTCGTCTGCCAGATGAATTTTGAATGCGTTCGAGTAACAATTGATATCTGTATTATACAGAGCTCGTACAAAGGAGTCGGGATGACAATGCTTGAATTTCGATAATCCAAGAGAAAATGCGAAATTCCAAAGTGAAACGAGCATTCGCTCGGACATGCTGTAAGGTTGAAGTGTGCATATGAATGGGCTGAAGAATGTCAGACTTCAAAGAGTAAATTATACCTGTCTCGTTTCTTCTTCTACAGCCTCGTATTTTCGAAGTATGAGACAAGAAAAAGAAAATATTTCCCGTGGGTTGAGCACCGTTATTTGAAGAACCTCAAATCTCCAAAGTAACTGCACTCTGTTGCGTATAGTAGAGGGAACGGACCTAGAGCGTCAAGGTTTTCCAAAGAATAAAGAGTCAACGTTTTGGGACGTTAGAAAAGTGTATCTATCCAATGGCAGTGCAATTCCAATGAGAAGTAACTAAAAGAAAGATGGCGCGGATAAGGAAACGTCAAAAATTGAGTTTGAAAATTCCGCCTTCTTATCTTTGCTGTACCTCATGGCGCAGAGGAAAATGTAAACGGCCAGTGGATGACCGAGGGAGCGTACATGTAAGAATTTTAATGACCGCATCGGAGTCACGTTACTCGAGCGAAGCCGAGCGCAATTAGTTCCGATCAACAGTCGGCACTGCTGTAATTGTTTATCTGTATTCCGCGAGTAATGAAAACTAATAAAGCTCGATATCGACGTGTACGTGCTGCGAGCTGGAATACCAAAGACTGAACGACGGTGTCGTACGACGTCGTAATGAGAATGATTTACAGTAAAATTGAAAAACAATACACTTCTACGGCAGTCACGAAGTCGTTGACTGACGCGGATATTCATACATATTTCTTATTAATTTTGTTTAAAATCGTGCACATTAACTAGGCATCGCGATATCCAAGAGACCACCGCTCGTCCAGAGCAAAAGTATGCGTTTGTTCGTTCGAATGTATACATGCAGTAACTTAGGAATGTACCAAAGGTGTAAGAACGTTCTTTCGAGTTAATATATTTTGTATTCAGTAGAATATAATCCATGGTAGTCATGACGGTTAGCGAAATTATATTTAACTTTCAGACTGGCAAAACAACATTTTTTTATAATTCTTATTGTCTCTTTAGATCCCATACAATTCTTAGCATTCATTTTAGAGAGTATCAAGGATACAGGATTCGTAGAGGCCATAGCAAATTTTGGACAAGGCACTACGTGAGTGAATATTGCATTAAAATGCATAATATGCAGATGATGATGGCGGCCGATGCGAATAAAAGATGTAATAAATGTGTTTTTCTTTACTTTTTCTGATTAGTTTTTAAGTTGTTTCAAAACAGGATCAATGATATCGCCGACAGAATCCGCGTAGTGCTTGATGCGGGCTAAAACTTAGGCGGTTAGTCGCCATTGTGTGTTTGAAATCATTGTGATGAGTTGTCGTTCGAGCGCGATCTAAGAAAGCTCTAAATAAGTTTATGAGAACGCACCCCGTGGTTCATACATACGAGTGGACAAGCGTGTTTCCACGTTGCGGCCTTGCAGCGCGGACAAAACATTCAGGAATAATTTACCTCGAAATTCTAGGTCGCGGAGGAAATCGACGTTGCTTGGCATCGTGAGGAAAGTAATGGCTGAAAGACACGAGTCTGAATTTTAGAGTGAAAAGATTATTTTCAGGCTATGACCCGAGTAAGGATGCTCTACTGTATTTTGATAACACCAAATTGGACTGGATTTATTTAATCCCATTTTAGAACACGCATTTGTAGACGTACTGTGGATGCGTCTGCAACGGTCGCGCTAGAGGTATTTGCGTTAAAGAAATAGAAATTTCTTTATTTGTTTATCGCGTCCTATCTATCACGATATCAATCGGAATGCAAAACGTTTTAAAACACGTTGCTAAATAATTTACACGAAAAAATGAAACAGTTAATAAAAAAAAGTATTAATTAAGGTCAGCATTTATTGTCGAACCATAGCAATGACTGAAAATATGACAGCGATTTGTCACAGCTGCTCCTTGATAGCAGTGTGATTCAAAATCACGAAGAAGCATGTGACTGATAAATTTGTCAATAAAATCTTACATATGCACATAGCGTCATAAATTTCAGACAATAAAGTCTTGACCAATCAAATTGTAACGAGTGAAATAAATTAATGCTAACAGATCAGTATGAGTTTCGATGCTTGGACATTTTTTATTACCATTAAATCGCCTTATCAGTTATGTCGTTTGGTTAATGCAGCTTCACCTTCCTAGATGGATTTAAAATTTTTTCCTCTTTCCTTCTTTCTTTCTCTTTTTCTTTTCCTTCCCCAACCGGCCATCGTAAACAAGCCGAACACCCTCGCTAGTTGCGTCCGTTGATACGAATATTTCTCTTGGATTGGACGCGCAAGCACTCACCGTGAGAGAAAACGGCTCTCGCCTGACAAAAGATTTACGGGATTCCTTCTATGAAAAGACATAAACATTTAAAAGACTTTCGAAACGTTTGACAGAAGGTACGGGACGTTGGTCCCGTGACAACCCGTACAAGACTGCGCGAAGTTCCGTTATCATGCTAATTATTATTACGCATTACGAGGTCATCTGATATATTCCTGAGGTTGTCAGTGAGACGAAAGATGTATTTTTTAAAGCAATAATCTCTAAGATAAACGTGTAGCATCATCCCGCTAAGCGTAATATGGTGCGATACAAAGTGGGAAGAAGGAAAAGCACAGAGAAACGCCTACCTTTCATTTAATTCAGCGTCGGCGTCTTGAGACTCCGTAGTAAATTCAGCTTAGCGGCTTACCGCTGAGAAAACGCACTATCACGATCTCCTTGGCACTATGTTTCACGAGAATTATATCACAATGTCATAACAAAAGAACACACATGAACATGGCTGGTGACGAGTAATTATCGTGACTACCGTACTTTCACAGCACATTGCGCTCTGTCGCGTGACGATTCATTGTAGAAAAGTGAGCTTCATATACAAAGGAGAAAAATTGCACATATACTATTTATATAAATGCTCACGTAGCGTATATCGGAGTAAAGGTACTGCGGAATATTTTTTTTTTATAACAAACTGCACGTTCAATCGAACAAAAATACACTACTAACAAGTGTCAGCCATCTTGTATCGGGCCAAAGCACAACCCAACGTCCCGTCGTGCATCACGACGACTTCGAGTACAACCGAGTACAACAGAATCCCGATGGCTTCGCTACAGCATTATACAGAAATATGTACTGCGTCAGCATGTCAGCTTCAGACACCCCAAGAAGAGGACAGCATCCTCTGGAATGACGTCATTCCAGGGCCCCAACTCAGACTCGATATTTAAGCCTGATTCTCATTCTAACGACAGTTGGTAAGTAAGAGAATGCCATTGGCTGTGCAGAAATTCCAATTTTATCTATAGCTAATAAGCGTCTCGTTTTCACCAATTGGTGATGCTTGTTGAAAGTTATATTTGTGGTACGTTCACACGTGAGCGATGACTAGTTTGAACGATAGTTGATACCGCGAAATTTGAAGTTCAACATTTAAAATGTTATGTTCATGTAATATTCGGTAAAATTTCATTAGACGATTTTATAATGAAACTTGTACATGAGACGGTTTTATTTATACAATATACACATTTTTTACTATTTATGACATAAAATCGAGTATCATTTACACAGTTTTTATAATTATGATGGAAGCAGCCCTAATGTTTGAAGGCAAATTTGAGCTGCTTCTGCTTTTGCCTGCTTTTTATTTGGACTGGCTACACTTGGTTTGTACTCAATACCGTTTACTTTTACCTGTAATAAATGAGTGTGATGAATTGGTTAATCATCGTTGTATTATTTTAAAATAAAATATATACTCACTTTAAACAAGAAATTCTTCATATGATCTGGACCACATTCGAAGCACAGTTCATAAACTGGTGCACCAAATTTACGTTTTGAACAATATTCCCCTAACAGAGACACTGGATGTTTTCCTGTAAAAATTTAATAGTCAATGATAATAAACGAATTATTACAGATTATTGCAATAGCTTAACAAACCTTCCAATGTCTTGATTCTTGGTATCACAGGCTTTGAAGTCTTCCCTGATTTTTTAGTAATATCCTGCTCAGAAACCAATCCTCGTTTATCCAACTTAACTTCCAGTTGCAATGGTTCCAAAGTACCTTCTTTGTTTTTCCCTAAACCCTCCCCAGGCCTCCAACCCATCTTCTGTAGTAAGGCCATACCCATCCCACCTGACACTGGTTGTGCCGACACTAATTGATCCTGAATAATTCACATGATCAGAAGATTTAAACAATAAAATATCAAACATGAATGATTTTGAAATTTACACATAAATATTCAATGTGATATAGGTCTTGTCCAATTGCTTGGAAATATAAAAAAAAATCAAACATTTACTCTTATAAAAATTACTTGAATACTATGAATAAGAGAGAAAGAACTGGTTTACAGTAAATCTAATCTAAATAATAAGATTAAAGGACAACTTTATGGTATGTAATGTCATTGATGTTTCTGTAAAATATGAAGATGAATTATTATGAATGATTGTAACAATTTTGGGAGGGATGGTAAGGCTTTTGCTTGAATAAGAACTTGCTTTCTTTCTTAAAATAATTATACTTACCAAGAAGAAGGTTTAATTTGGTCATCGGGCTGCTGAGGCTGACTCTTCTCTGATGTAGCTACGTGCCTGTAACAAATCCTCAGGTGGATGCAGACTAATGCTAAAATCCCAGCTTTATTGTCATGAGGTCATCACGCAATCGCTGAAAAAACCTTATGACAGCAAGCTGATGGTATTTAGCAATAATCTCACAGGGGTCCATTGCCATTGACAAGATTGACGCCAATAAATAATAATTCCTCGCCCCCCCCCCTCCACCCCCACGGTGAGGTTCTCCCGATACACAAATTTTATTACACAAATGATAAATATGACTGCGACAATGGTACTCTTGTGTCCGTGCAGGCACAGAGTCCACCTCTACGCGAGAAATGGTCTGTGCCTACAACACAGTCTCCATTAGACCAAAGATACAAAATCTAAATGGTCTTCACCGAGACTGTACCTGAAAACTTGTTACAGACAATGTCAGTTTTAAGTGATGTCAACAATATCTGTTTTTTTCTTAATCAATATCTTTCACGCAAATTCATTTATCATATGTATTTGCAGTGCTGTTCATGGCAATTTTGGGATAGAATTGGTGAAAATTCTATACAATATATGATATACAATGTAAATACAGTTTGACAAGTAATTTGCTGTATTCGATAAATGACTGTTAAAACAGGTATTGTGAAATGGACAGGCAGAAAAAAGGAAGGATATATTAAGCAAGTATTACAAATCAGTGTTGTTACCTTACGAGCCCAGGCTTGATAACCTGCAGAAAGTTCAGCTGCCGAGAGCACTTTAGCTCCCGTACTACCAGTAAACTGACCTGGCATCTGCTTACTCTCTGCCCACGTTTTCATCTATGAGATAAAACATAAATGAGTCTTTATTGATAGTATAATAGTTTGATATTTTTTATTACCTCTGTTTGAGCTCTATACATTTCACCAAGAGCCTGTACGTCATTTGGATTTTCTCTTAATTTTCTCATAGCTGCTAATCGTTGAGATACTATTGAACCTATGTCAACATTCTACAATACATATAATAATACAGTAGATATTTTTGTGAAAGAATGGTATGTAATAATCGTTTTTTACCTCTATTGGTGGAGTTTGTGGAAAAACTGCAGGTTGAATCACAGGTGCAGGAACTGGTGGTGGTAATATAGGAAGAGGTGCTGGTGGAACTGATATTAGTGGTGCACTAGCTGGTAGAAATGCTTTCTTTGGTTCTGGCTTCTTTGGGATAACTGGTACCCATTCACTCTCTAAAAAAAGAATTATATTCACGAAATAAGATTGCACGTTGTTAACAAAGATTAATATTACCAGTCTTACGATGATGCTGTCCACTTGAAACAGGAAATTGTAATCGTAACTGATTTGAGGATTCAGCTGTTTTCTCTTGGAACGTTTTAGTAGGCAATTGCTTAGCATCCTATGATTCAACATACAAAAACGTCTAAAATATTCGAATAAAAATTATAATGATCGTAAAATCAGAAAACTTACTTTAATATTCATTATTATAGAACTGGGTCTATCCTTTACAAGAAACGGGTGATGAAAACCTTTTTCTGAACTACTCCCATCATCGTCTGAAGAAATGCTCGACAATTCGCCTAATGCTTCAGACTTTGACAGGGATTTGCAGAAATCTATTTAAAAAAAAAACAGTCATTTCATATATAATATATTACAAGAATAAAATAATATTACCTGTCAGTTCATCTACAGACTTTCCACCATCCTGAATAGCAGCTATGGCTTTATCCTGCTGTGCAAGTGGCAGAGTCCCTTGTTTTATCATGTTAATTGCATTCCGCCTTGCAATTTCCAAAAGTTTCTTCTTATCAATTTCAATGCGTTCTCTGATAAAAAAGAAAAATAGTACTCTCCAATAATTGGATATACATGCATGCATGATTGTTTACAATATAAAGATACTAACTTTCTTTCTCTACTTCTGCTACGTCCTCTCAAAGATTTATTTCTATTCTTATCTTCACTGCGACTCCTATGCCTTTCCTTTTCATCTCTCGCATACTTTCTCTTATCCTTATTTCTTTCGTGATCACATCTATCGATACTTTTATCTCTATTTCGTCTTTCTTTACTTCGTCCAGTTCGTTTCTCGACACTTGTTCGACTCCTGCTGTGACGTGAATTCGAATGTGTTTCAGATTCTGAACGTTTTCTCTCACGAGATCTGCTGCTACGACTGTGCCTACTATCTTTATCCTTTGATTCTTTATAACTTTTGTTTTCTTTTCGATTACTTTGCAATCTTGATCCATTCACATCCTTCAACCTCTTCTTTTCCTTCTCCTTTAAAACGAGCCTCAAATCATGTACCGCTATTGGACTGAGACTCGTCTTATTAGATTTATTTAAAATTGGACTTATCAATCCAGTTCTTGGTGAATCATTTCGTGGTGGTGTTGGACTTAATGTTGGGGTTCCATTGTCTTCGCTACTATCACTTAATTCACCATCTTCCATTCGTGCAGCTTTCGCACGCTCTTTATTTTCTACTTCTTTTACTGTTTCATTATAGACTATACTATTTTTAAGGTCTTTTATCAAAATTTTTCCTTGAGTTCCTTGTTTAGGTTTTTCTAAATAGAAAAATTAACGTTAGTTAAGAATAATATATGGTAGACGAATAATATAATAAAGTAAAGGACACACCCAAAATTTTTGAAATTATAGTTTCATCAGATTCATCATCTGTCTTCTTAGAAATAGGGGGTAGTTGAGGACTACTAGTTTTCATAAGAGATTCATTGTCTTGTGGTTCTTTTTTCACTATTGAGTGATCCTGTAATTTTGTGTCTTGGACCAAAATATTTTCTATATTATTTAATTCCCCTGTTTTCTGTTCTGCATTGTTCTTCGAATCAGGAATATCTTCAACCTTCTTCATTTTAGCCTTGGGCTCCTCCGAATCTGATGACTTACTGGATACAGAGTCATGTCTGCGTTTAGACTTCTTCTTATGTTTCTTTTTCTTTTTCGTACCTGTTTAACATAAAATTCTCATATTTTTCTTCAAACCAGATACGTTTAGCCATTGTAGAAAATCAAAACTCTTACTTCCATTCTCCGCATCACTATTACTGTCTGATGAATTTTTTTTGGATTTTTTCTTATGTTTTTTATCCTTATGCTTATGCTTCTTTTTACTCTTCTTTTTTTTACTTTTATCTTGCTTTTCTACTTTTATTTCTTTATCTGGAATCTGAGTATCGCTATGTTCTGGAGATACTATTCCCTCGTCAGCATCAAATGTGCTGAAAAGTTCTGTCAAAATCTCGTTGGATGATTTTTGCGGCAAGCCAGGCTCTGGTTTAATTTTTACAGCGTCCACACCCACTGTGGTTATTAGGTTTGCGATATCGAATAAATCAGCCATAGTATTAAGAGAATTTCATATATCAACACTTAAATAAATGCATTAATAAAATTACACTTCTCTCAATTATTAGAACAGCGCACTCCACTCGCCATTACTGAAATCCATGATGTCCGCCACGCAGAAGTCAAATTCAATTCTACTAGTTGCGCCGGCAGGAACATTTATCTCTTTAATTTCATTTGTATTAAGGATAATTAAAGATATAAAAAGTAACGTTAAAGTTTACATATGAAGACACCTATTTATTGCTCTATATTCTATTCAGGGAAGGTTCGACTTCAAGGAATTATCAATCAATTTCATAAAACAGAAGCGCACAATAATACATAACCTGAGTATTTGAAAAACGTTTGAATTGTTGCTCCAAAAAAACTTGTCAAGCGGTGAAATTAATTTTAATTGCTTTTTTATGACAAAAAGCACGAGATGAAGTAATTATATGAATGATCTTTGAAAATTCATACTTTTCATAAGACGTTCATATATCATATATGAAATTAATTTTTTTTTTATAGGATCAGTGTTGATGGACTTATTGTATATTTTCCATATGATTACATTTATCCAGAACAATATGCATATATGCTGGAACTCAAACGAGGCTTGGATGCAAAAGTATTTTTTTTATTTGTTACGTTCCATGTAGCATAAATTTTTCTATAAGAGTTATACTCCATGCTAAGATTTATCTTTCATTTCAGGGCCATTGTCTTTTGGAGATGCCTTCAGGCACAGGGAAAACAATAACTTTGCTTTCTTTAATAGTTGCATACATGCTAGAGAATCCTCTGGATGTCACAAAGTTAATTTATTGCTCTAGAACAGTTCCTGAGATTGAGAAAGTTCTAGAGGAATTAAAAAAGCTCATAGAATATTATGAAAAAGAAACTAAATCTAAGCCAAAAATCGTTGGTTTGGTATTGAGCTCTAGGAAAAATATGTGCATTCACCCTGAGGTATGTTATTAAAATAATTTTTAATAAAACTATTAGCATTTAAAATGGTGATACTTAAAAGTAATTTTTTGCATTATAGGTGAGCAGAGAACGCGAAGGTAAAGTAGTAGATGGCCGGTGTCATGCCCTCACAGCTTCATATGTTAGAGAAAGGCACAACTATGATGAGACAACACCCATTTGTGCTTACTATGAGGGTTTTGATATGGATGGGCGTCAGGAGATGATGCCTCCTGGTATTTATTCTATAGATGATCTTAAGGAATATGGAAGAGACAGAAATTGGTGTCCTTATTTCTTGGCCAGATTTACTGTAAGTAGTATACATTAGCTGACAGTAAACTTTATTATGATTTCAACATATCTTTGTGACTACATTGCACATTTTCAGATTTTACATGCACAAATTGTTGTATACAGTTATCACTATTTATTGGATCCAAAAATTGCGGAAACAGTATCCAAAGAATTAAGCAAAAGTTCTGTAGTCGTATTTGACGAAGCTCATAACATTGGTACGAATGAAAAATCGTATCTCACCTGAACATTTTTCATATTGATTAATTTTCTCCATAGATAACGTATGCATAGATGCAATGAGTGTAAAAATAAACAGAAGAATCATGGAGAAGAGTTCAGCGAACATTCAACTGCTGGAAAAAACAGTAGCAGAGTATGTGACCCTCTTTACTAAATTATTCTACAATCGATACTTTAGGAATCAGTCTATAAAAAAATATCGATGTTTCAGAATGAGGGAAGATGACGTAAATAAATTAAAAGATGAATATAACAGATTGGTTGATGGATTAAAAGATGCGCAGGTTGCTCGAGAAACAGATATTATTTTGGCTAATCCAATATTACCAGACGAGGTGCTGGAAGGTATGCATCTTTAAAGGCACAGCCCTCATATCTTACAGAATCTAAACGCTGCTAAATAATTATGTTTTACAGAGGTAGTGCCTGGTAATATCAGAAAGGCTGAACACTTTGTAAGTTTTCTCAAGCGTTTTGTGGAGTATTTGAAAACCCGTTTACGAGTACAGCACGTGGTGCAAGAATCACCCGCTATATTTCTACGGGACATACAAACGAAAGTCTGCATAGAACGTAAACCATTAAGATTCTGTGCTGAGAGATTAGCATCACTATTGCGAACCATGGAAATCACTGATCTCACTGATTTCTCTCCACTCACTCTGATTACACATCTTGCGACACTGGTGTCGACGTATACGAAAGGATTCACAATAATAGTCGAGCCCTTTGATGATAAAACGCCAACAGTATTGAATCCTGTATTACATTTCAGTTGTTTAGATTCATCCATAGCAATGAAACCAATATTTGATAGGTTTCAATCGGTAATCATCACCTCAGGAACGTTATCACCATTGGATATGTATCCAAAAATTCTAAATTTTCATCCTGTTATAATGTCATCGTTTACCATGACACTAGCCAGACCGTGTTTATTACCAATGGTATGTTATTTATATTGATAAATTGTAACGAGAAATATTAAAACCATATTTCTTATTTTATTAGATTGTAACAAAAGGAAGCGATCAAGTAGCAATTTCATCAAAATACGAAACAAGAGATGATGTCGCTGTTATAAGGAATTATGGTCAGTTACTAGTAGAATTTGCTGCTAATGTTCCTGATGGTATAGTCTGCTTTTTCACTTCATACTTGTACATGGAATCTGTCGTTGCTGCTTGGTAAAATAATTACTTTGTGATAAAACAAAATTGAGTATTATACAATCAGATCTTCGGTTATTCTCTCTAATTTATTTGTAGGTATGATCAGGGTATTGTGGATCAACTTCAAAGATATAAACTGTTATTTATCGAAACTCAGGATTCGGCTGAAACAAGTTTAGCACTAACGTATTTCGTGAAAGCGTGCGAAAATGGAAGAGGAGCTGTTTTCCTTTCTGTGGCACGTGGAAAAGTGTCGGAAGGTGTTGATTTTGATCATCATCTAGGCAGAGCTGTACTTATGTTCGGTATACCTTACGTATACACACAATCACGAATTTTGAAAGCTAGATTGGAGTATCTTCGTGATCAGTTTCAAGTCAGTTATCAAGTTTATTCTAAAATCTTTCCAATAACCAGATACTTATGCTTTTGTCTTTATTTCAGATAAGAGAAAATGACTTCTTGACATTTGACGCTATGAGGCATGCGGCACAGTGTGTAGGACGTGCCATTAGAGGAAAAACTGACTACGGTATCATGGTTTTTGCAGACAAGGTAGTGTATAACATTCTTTTTTTTGTAATGATTAAAAGTTTAATAGTGGAATGTGTTTTTATAGCGATTTTCAAGAGCCGACAAACGCAGCAAATTACCCAAATGGATTCAGGAACATCTGACTGATAGCTTGTGCAATTTATCTACCGAAGAGGCGATACAGGTATTTGTTTTCGTATTTGAGATTAAACTGTGAATGAGTATTGAGGAATGTGATTTATGATTTACAGATCAGTAAAAGATGGCTACGACAAATGGCTCAGCCGTTCACTCGCGAGGATCAATTGGGCCTGTCACTCCTTACTAAAGAGCAGTTAGAGAAGGAGGAAGCTAGCAAAATAGAAGAACAAGCGCAGCAAAATTAAAATGTGGAGTTTTGTGATTATGCTCATGGTAGCTGTAGGTGTTGCTCGACAGTTTGCCTATTCAACGACAGAAACAATATATTCAGTACTTGAAGTATCATTACTGCAGACGGAGGAATACTTGTCAGACTTTTATACTCTACATTTATATTAATGTTTTTGTTTAATCTCTCAAATTATATCTTTGAATGTCGTAAGTGTACAATGTGCAAGGATTTTTTAAGAAAATCTAAGTGCGATTAAAAAAGTTTAATAACAAATTATGATGATGAATATTTAACAGTGTGGAAAATACATTTGTTTTTCTATAAATCATATTTATTCAGTATCACCACCGCACAAGCACTTGATCGCCATCTTGAATCGAATAATAGCTTAATTTTTGTAAAGGTTTGTCAAGAGGTATCTCGTCTCTTGAAAGCTAAAAAAATTGTTTTTTTAGATTATCCTCTATTTTTATAGTACTTATTATTAAGATGTATTTTATTGTACTTACATTTTGCTGCAAAAATGAGAGAACCGGTATTTTTCCTCCAGTCTTAAAAAGCCTTTGCGCGAGACCAGTCACTTTTTGGACTTCCATGTCTTTTAAAAGTTTTCTTTTGATTCCTTTATTCTGACCCTGATCCTTCGGACATACAAATTCCACAGATATAACGTTTGACATCATTCCACCATTTTTCTTTGATACTGGAATATCCGGCAATCCATATTCTAAAGATGTCAGGCAAAAGTTATTAATTTTGCATTGTTTATCCAATATTATGCTATTTGCATACGCACTCTGCACTAATGAAGGGTAACGTGGGTGATTTGCTATGAATTCATTCCTCTTCTCTAAATTATTTTCACTATCTATCCAATGGGGTCCAAATAATTTAAGATAATCGTATTCTGCACCTCTTCTTTCTCCGTACCAAATTTCAGTGCCATTTAGAATCTTCAGTTTAGTTATTCTAGCTATTATTAATTGTCGCGCTGTTTCTATTGTCTCGCCTTGCAACACAGGATTGTCTCTTAACTTCAATTCCTCTAAGTTCACAAGCTTTTCCAGTTCACTTATTGAACGCCACTGTGAATAAAGTATATTGTAGCTTCTCAGTTATTTCATATTTGATGATATAAATAACTCACTTCAGATATGTTGTTTTTGGATATATGCAACTGGCGCAGTGCAGGAAAAAGATTTGTCTTTTCCATAGGATGTGTAGTTGGAAAATATATGGCGTTTATTTTGTTTAGATTTAGATTAAGATATTCTAAGCTGGAAAGATATCAATTGTTATAGTTAAATGACAGTATTGTTAATATCAATTCTGAAGAAAACATTTATACTTACGATGGAAGATGACCCAACTTTAGTACTTCGTCCCAGCTTGAAATAAGATTTGCTTCTAACGTCAATTCAGTAATTTTCATTATATTGCTGTTCTTTGATGGTACTTCCAGGGTATCCACGATATTAAAAGAAACTGAGAGTTCTTGAATTGATGGAAACATTATTATACATTGCTGTATATCAAACCAATTGTAATTCATTTTTGCCATTGTCAAATGTTTGACATTTAGAAAAGCGTTTTTCAGTGTTTCTAGGTTCTGTTCAACTGGTAGATGATTTTCACTAAAATATATATAGTATATATAATAATAGAAAATATTTGATTCACGTAATATTTTTAAATGGATAATATACCTAACATTGAGTCGTGTTAACATACGAAGTTGACAACATATTTCAGATACAAATTTCCAGGAATTAATAAGATTTCTTGAAATATCCAGTTCATCCAGATTAGGACACAATTCCTCCAATTCCCTAGGTCTCCCAGCATCACTGACACATTGCTCTCTTAACCATATTACCTTCAATTGATCAAATTTACTTTGCTTTTTATTGACCTTGGAAAAGCCAACCATTTCTAGGAATGGAGCATTAATCTCTTTTTGTAAACTATTCAAATTATCTTTGTCAATGCCTACGAGTTCATCATTGATTAGACCATAACGTGCTCTAATAGCTTGTGGACAAGATATTCCCAACTTTACTTTACCAGGCCGTATAAAGGAACCTGATGTAGGACGCCTGTTATAAAAATCAGTATAAAATAATACAGTATTGTCTATGTGACATTAAGTTTATGAAAGCCAATACTTACCAGGTCTTAAAATATTCAACTCCGTCATATGTGCCATTGTGCTTTCCACGAGTTGGATCATCCCAATCTACACCTAGCCATTCACCTTTGGTATCACCAACAGGACCAAAATATTTTACTGTGCCACGATATCCATCGCATTCTATTCGGCTACCAATTTTATAGTTCTTGTCTTCTACCATTCTGACAAAATATTCAGAGTTAACTATAAATGAAAAGTAAGCAGCATATCACATAAATGAATGAAGGTAATACCTGTGTACTAAGCAATTATTAAAAACATCTAATGAGAAGAAAATAAAGGACGATACGTTTAATCGTATGGCAATTTAAATTTCTGTCAGATCATGTTTTTCGGTAACTTTGACAGCCTAACCTCAGGATGACAGCTGGGAATTGATTGTCATAATGTAAAGCCGAGAGAAACGTAACTTACGAGATAAGTATTTTCATAGAGGGTTCTCATAAAAAATATCACTCACACGAAATGTAGACGTTTGTGTTGATATATTTATATCAATATTATAAGTCATAAATACCAATTTCAAATTTCTCTATTTTATATTCTGTGAGCTTCGTGCTTTAAGACCTTCCTACTGCTTCCGTATGTACACTGCTGCCGGCTATAGTCCGTACACGTTATCTAACAGAAGTTAAAATTTATTGTATACATATGTCAGAACTTCATCTTCCTTTAATTTACAGTTTTTATATGAATAATATGGGAGTTAAGGTTTTTACTGATAGTACACAATAAACATAAATCGAAAATAAATATTTTGATTTTATTCCTTCATATAATAGTTGAAAATTAGGTACACTGGTTTTGTTACAAAAAACTGTATATGAATATAAATCATTGAATTATTTTCATTTACTTCAAGATGTATATTACTCTAAATCACTTTAGCCTTAGCTCAATTAAATATACGCTCGTTTTTAGTCACGAGTCTCTGACAGCGTTATTTTTCGCGACATGATTTCTGCTGTTACGTTATTAAAGGTACATTCAAAGTAATCTCGTATCTTGTGCAGCCATGATGTTAACACATTCTGTGTAGTAGCTGCTAATGAGATAGGACTGTATTTGCAACATTGCAACCATTAAATATTTCAATCCAATAGCCATCAGGATCCTTGATAAATGCAATTCCTTTCATTTTACCATCATTAGGTTTCTTTACAAATTCAACTCCTAATTGTTCAAATCTTTCACATGCTTTATTGACATCAGGTACTACAATTCCAATATGACCTGTAATAGAAAATAATATACTGTAGAAATTAGTAATAGGATGACATATTTTCTTTTGATAATTTTGAATGTTTACCAAAGCCTCTGGGATCAGAATTGCCATTATGATATTTAGCATCAGGATTAGTTTCACTTCCCCAATTGCTATAAAGAGAATTAATAATGAATTTCTAAGTTTCTTACAGTCTTATATATAAAGATGACTAACTAATAAGTTTATAGAGTTACTCATCAATTTTATATATATATATATATATATATATATATATAGAGCAATGACTCACTGAGTAAGCTCAATAGTGGCCTTTCTTGAAAATGTCCATTCAATACTTTCTCTTCTATCTGTTGGTATATCCTTTGCATTTTCATAACCAAGGAAATACAAAGAGAATTTCATTTCAGGAAAGTCCAGCTTTTGCAATAAAGTCATGCCAAGTACTTCAGTATAAAATGGCAATGACTTTCTTGGATCTTTTATACGGTACATTGTTTGCTGCATGATATATTCACTGGTAGCAGGATCTGGAGCACTACAAAGCTCTCTAGCTTCGCTGTTTGTTAATCCTGAAGGCTCCCCCATCTAAAAAAAATTATCGAACATATGTTTTAAATACGATACTTCAAATCTCCTGCTTATTGAACGATTTCAATAACATCTGGCATTTACTTGGAAATCATGTTCAGATAAATTTGTGCTACACAATAAATATGTTTTTGATACCTCTTGCATTCCCCAATGATGAATAGATATGAACAACAGTATAAAATATTGATAAAAATAATTTACCTTCACAAGAAAATAATATATAAAATCGTTGAGGCAGGGCGAGGTCGTGCAAAACACTCTTCAGGATTGCATAAACAAAGTGGGAAAGTTCCTAGAGCTTAAATACAACACACGTGAGGATGCTTTTCAATTGAAATATCACTAGACAAGTGTTAATATAATTTTATTTCGATCATAACGCAACAAACGTATATTGAGTCCACGATCCAATATACTGTTAAATACTGCGAGCAACGTCGTATTTTTATTTATCTGCATACATCTGAAACAAATGCCTATTCTCGCAGCACTGACCAGGGGTTGGCAACTCTCCTCTTGTGAAAAGTGAACTGGTACTCGAGTGCCATCTGTGCAGGGCAGCTAAAGAGAAACTAAAAATCAATATGGCTGTCCATAGAGGGTTATTCAAAAAGCATCAGGTTACCGGGTTTGCATTATTGAAGCTTAAAGGTTTTTATTCTTATGTATAGGAAATTAGGAGATAACGTTTTAACACAGCAGTAAATTCTAGGTTTTACGAGCTTTATTACGGATAGCATTCCACTTGCGAGATGCCTGTTTGACCATGACATACAATTATCCTTATTATTTAAACCATTGGAAAGTAACGCAACTATAAGATTGCACTTACTGCAATGTCCTCCTTCTTTCCATTCCTATCTCATTATATCGAATTTGAGTTTATTTATTGCTGAGACGTTGGTTTGGTTTGATCTTATATTCAATTACGTTGGCAGTTACATTTTTAAAATTTCAAATGAATCGGTTGAAATTTGCTTGAGTTATAAGTTCGGCCGAATTTAAAAATGTAGTTTTGAGATAAACGCGTTTAAAGTTTGTGGAAAATCAGGACATGAATAATGTTTCAATACCTAGAATACAAAAATCGAGTACTTAGGGATTTTTCACGTACATAATCTTTTGGAATATAATTCTATAGATACTAAGGAACTTTTTTATATAAAAAAAATACATCGATTTTTTGAAAATCCTACAGTGGCCTAACCCCTTAAGCTCCTGTATGGCACTATGTAAGATTCTTAGTTCTTTATCCATGCCATGTATCAAGGATTGAAAATGCTGGTTTGTAGTTGTGAGTTTGATGATAAGCGAAATTAAGTTTTATGAGCGACAAAATTTGCAACAAAAAAGGACCACGAGGCGCTCGTATGAATGCGCACGCCGACAGGAAGTTACGCACCAATGAAGAACAGCGCAGAATACACGACTCAGCGCTGTGCAAAATCACATAGTGGAATATCTAATGTTGTTACGGTATAAGTGTCTTCTGCTTTATCTGTCAAGAGTGACATAAGTTGATACGCAAAAATCCTAAAATATAGTATTATTATTTTAACTCATTATTGAGTTGTGTCCATTAATATTGAAAATATGGCTCACTGGTTTCACCGTAATCCTTTAAAGGCAACTACAGTTCAAAAGTTTGAAATCAAAGTTTCACAACCTACTGACGCTACAAAGAAATTATGCAGGTTATAATTTTCATCTGTTAACAAATCTTTAAACTCATTATGCACTGAGTTGGTTTCTATGTTGAAACTACCATGCTTAACAAAATAAATTTGAAAATTCATGAAACTTTTTCATGTTGAATTTTACTTTTACTATTTTACTTGTTATTGCACCTGTGATCTAATACACCTTTCAGTGATTTGAAGCTATCAAGGAGTCGACTTTTGGACTTGATAAGAAATGCGAATAATAGTAGTGATACGATAGAACCTGCATTTCTATCATATCTCAGTTTACTGTATGGATTTATATGGGAGGTCGAGCCTTCCGAGGAACAAGGACAACATGTCGGGAGGCCAAATCCTAGCAAGCTGCGCAATGTACTTGCATTTAAATGGACTCATACATTGCTTGGTCCTACCACACAGTAATTTTAATTATTGCAAAATTATTGATCCATATGTTGATAATAGCTTTAATCCTTTAATTGATTTACTTCCTACTAATAGTTCCAGTGCAGATGCAGTTTATGAAGCAGCTAACATGAGCATTAATATAGGATTGTGGTTCATGAAACATGCTGCAATGATTGCTGGCAAGGATGAGTGAGTGCATTTTTCAGTTATTATTTTATGAATGATACACATAATTTTGCTATATATTGCTACACAGTATTAATATGAACGAGGCCAAGGAGATGCACAGTATGTTACGTCGAGCTGCAGGAATATTTACATTCGTACAGACAGAGTTCTTACCACAATTAGCTAATCCTCCCATGTTGGGAAGTGATCTGGATCCACGTGTTATAAATGCATACTTGAATCAGTGTACTGCAGAGGCACAAGAAGGTAAGACCAAGGAAACTTTATATTCAATCTCAGTTCCATTAATGGTAGCAACTTGTTATTAACATTTTTTTTTTTATAGTTACTGTCGCCAGAGCTATTGAACTGAAACATAACTCAAATTTAATATCCGCCCTGGCAAACGAAACTAGCAAACTCTTCTTGGATGCTGCAAATACACTACGTCCTTTTAAACCAGAAATATCAGCGCAATGGATTAAATATTTAGAACTGAAAGCTGCATTTTATCAGTCATATGTAAGAAGACATTATCTTCACTCTTAATGAATTTTCTAGTATCCTCAGTTAATTCTATATTTTAGGCATATAATTATTGTGGTGAAAACTTATTGTCTATGGATAAATGTGGTGAGGCAATTAAAGCTCTTCAGGAAAGTGAAGCATGTCTGAAAAAAGCGAAGATACTGTGTCAAGAATATGGCAAGACACATGGTCCAGCTCCTCGAGTAAAACCAGATCAGCATGTCGTTTTCAAACGATTAGCACCAACCGTAAAGATCATGCTGGATAAATGCAATCGAGAAAACGGTTTAATGTGAGAATCATCCACTAGATGGATCAACGTATTAATGTTTTCATGATATCTGTATATAAAAATATATATTTTTTTACAACATATTTAGATACCATGACACTGTTCCTGGAGAAGTACCAACTCTTGATACAAAAGCTACGTATGGCCTAGTAAGTCCCATAGATTTCCAAATGCCGGCACGTAATTCCCTGTGGAATTTTGGTACCTATCGTACACTTCTTGGTATGTCAGCAGCCAAAACTGGCAGAGAATACGATTTACCGCCAGTAAACGAAGAGAAAATTCACCAGAGTAGCAAAGAGCCAACAAATGTGAGTGGCTGCACTCTACAGTAAATTCAGAAGACCATAGCTTTTATAAATAACACATAAAAAGCTTCTCTTACACTGCTTCATTAATTCGAAATCGTCATTGAGTTATCAAAGATTCGCATTTTTATGCTAATTCTTAAATTCTCGCCGTGCAGTATAATTTGTACTGTCAGTGTACACAGTATAGACAGATTATCGTGTGCAACCATAAAGTGCTCTTTTTATGGTAAATCTTACTAAATTAAATGATATTAACTAGTATTATTTGACCTAGTCAACATCCATGGATGAAAAAATATTTGAAAGTTGAACTTTATATTGCGTTAAGACGGAGCATCGATTAAAGCATTTTTACTTATATATGAACGACCATGAGATCCAGTGCAATTGAGAATTTTACTATTTATCTTTGAAAACCTATTAATATATACATACATATATTATCGATTGATAGTATCATTGCTACCAATTTGAAAAGTCGATTGAATCAGAAATATTTAATGTTTTACTAGTATATATCCTATTTATATACTGAACTCACTATTCTAAAAAAAGAGAAGAAATTCTTTTATTTTTTATATAACCCCTTTAATATGAATGAGAACTAAAAAGAATTATTGTTAAACAAAGCAATTCTACACAATGTAGCTATACAAAAAAATTGTACTCCTGAATATGTTCCTTAAAATAACGACATGCTCTGTCATTTTAATCCGGGACAAATGCTATAATAACATGTCAAGCTTGAAATATGTCGTAACACACTTGTACAACAAAACTACTTATACACTGAATAATTATAAGAGCAAAAATAAATATTTATATATGTCTCCTCGGTGCTCTCTTAGTTATCCTATATGCACAGTCACAGGATACAGTATAGAAGTTTTGGATGAAACAGACGTACTTGTACAAGACAATAAATTATTTCATGTAAAATCATTTAATAATAAAAATACAGATACAACATATAAAAATTGCGTACTTCCTGTACGTAAGATTTCTAGCAAAGATACTTTATGTTACTTGTAATAACTTTGTTCGCGTTAACTGCATAGTATACTTATAAAATGGCAGTAAATTACTGGCAAGACATAAGCTGCCACGGCAATTGGTTATAGGGATTACTATATACGAAATATTAATACCATACGCTATTAAAGAATTACTATTGGAAGATAAGACTAAATACTGGACTATATTGTACTTATTTTATAACTATACCTTACAGAAATACTTAAGAATGACGTGAGAGCTTCTCAAAGTTTCACGCGAAATCAAGAGTCACTGGGTTTTTTGTTAACTGTATGAAAAAAGAAATGTGCAGTGCACTTATAAATTGTAAATATAATTTTGATCATACTATGTTGACGCACATTTGCGCAATGCTGTGAGTTAAAAAAAATAGAAGATATATTTGTCTTCGTACAATTCCATTGCAAATAGTAATTTCGTAAATAGCGTGACACGATCACTTATCACATGCATAAGAATCCTGATTGAGTACTATACTAATCGAATAATCATTTGTACGTTTCACGTGTTAGATTATTTAACAATTATTTTACGTATTTGTACATAAAATATACGCATTGGTCAATTTATTCTTGTGCGGCTGCTGCACAATGGTAAAATGTTACCAATTTACTTAATGATTAAGTTCTGTAAAATACGGTATATAAATTCCTTCTATTCCTTACATACTAATTTACGTCACCGTTTTTATTAATTCAGTCTGTTGGATTAATTCCGATTTGTAAAGTTGGGCCCGCGTTTTCTGTGATCTATGAAAATATTGTTGCTTCAAATGCTCAACTTTTATGGGTATCATCGAGTTTCGGTTGAAAGTCAGATTTGCCGCGTGATAGTGTAAAACAGAATGTTATGATAAAACATGATTTTGTGAGTAAATTATGTACATAGACAGAATATATGAAAATGAAAATGTCAAAGCGGCTTGGGAAAAAAAGAACAATAACGAAATTAAAAGATCATTGAGAGAAAAAGAGAATAATATAAGGAGTGTGATGATATGGAAATAATTTACAAATATTATATATCTTCGTAAAAAATAAACTAAACTCTAATGATTTATCATTAATTTAAAGAAGAATAAAACGCTTTCCGTGTCACGGACTTAAAACATACACCGATTGTTGGATAAATACAACTAGAAGAGTTAACATCGCACTTGACTTTGTAGTAATGGCTTTGTAGCACCTATTTCTGTCACTTGTAAATGGAATAATATTATGCTACACATATATGAACTAATTAATAAGGAAATTAGAACTTATCAATAATAATTAGTAAGTGACCATTGCAATAGTAAGAATTAAGTCGACTGGGTTTGTGAGAAAAATATTGAAGTACAAAATAGTATGCTGCCTATACAATAACCGATGGTGAAATGTGACAAACTTTAATTTAAACTTTTTTAATTAAGTAAACAAATTATAGCTGCAAGGAATCAAGTTGCCAGAGCTTCGACAGTTTAATTCCCTTTCCATTGGATTGTGCTAAGATTGATTCTCGTTGTACACTGTTTGGGTATCAGGCAATGTCATTATAATGTAACTCATCCTTTTGAAAGAACATAATGTAGAAATCATCAAAGTGCACAGCTTACCTGGAGTTTAGCCAAGTCGATGGCTAATCGCTAACAATAATTTGTTTCCATGTTACGATGTACAGTGACAGGTGCCAGAACATGATGTGGAGAACCAAGATGTGTTGTTGGGGATGGCGGAGTGACAATTTGTCTCACGAGATCAGGCTCGGTACTTCCTCCAACGATGAGCAACGGCTCAGCAAATGGTTGTTGCTCGGAGTCATCGTGTGGTGTCATTGTGCTATAGCCATGATCACTATCACCACCAGGAGGTCTTCTATAATTGGTAGATACCCTATAAGGCGAGATTGGTGCTACAGCATCCCTAAGAAGAGAATCCAGATTGCCCTTTGTTTGATCCAATTCCATGGGTTCAGCATCGCCATCTAAATGTGACATGCGCAATGTATCTGGCGCGGTATGCACATGCAGGCACTGATGTTCTAATCCTGACTGGACGGTACGCAGTCTATAGCAAAAGAGCGTGATGCCAAGAACAAGTACAAAAGCCAGTATTCCACCGGCGACTGGACCCACTGAAGGCCACTCACGAGACATTATTTCATCTGTAGAATGAGAATCTAAAGAGGAGTAAAAGACAGAAAATGATGAATACTAAATTCTGTTTTAAAATGAGAGAATAAAATATAAGATAGTAGTAGCGTACTGTAAGTCCCATCTCCGTAAGGTATTAGAGATCCAAAGATCCCTTTGAAGCAAAGAGACATGTCAGAGCAAAATGGTGTCTGCAGTAAACTTTCACCGTCGCTGTCAATAAAACACCATTGACAACCCACAACTCCTAAGCACTCTTGCATAGTCTCATAGGCCTTGCAATTGAAGGACGGACATGATTTCAGTGAAACTGACTGTGCCCAGGGTGTTTGTAAACTTACTCCTTGTTCATACGGAGCTGGACAAGGTTCTAGTCCACTGATATTGTACTGGGTACAGCCTGCGGAGTACAGAGCACATTCGCAAGGACATTCACACTCTGTCTGTTCCATCCTTTGGCAATTTAAACAAGATCTATCCATTGTACTGCACGGGCAGAAAGCCCTGAGGATATTACAAGTCACGTTGACAACTCCAAGGAACATATTGGTGCCAGGAACAGCTGCAATTTGATACTTTACGCAATGTTCACCATGAATAATATTTGTAAGGACCTCTTCCAAGGATGTATTGAACTGATAGTATCTTTGTGTAGTGCCATCTAAGTAGCTAGCGCACAGTTTCTTCTTGACAAAGTATTTGTGATCTAAAATATCGGTAGCCACCAGAAGTTCCTTGTGAGTTAAGTGTTGCTGTTCCACTTTGCTCGTTGGATCCAGAAGGGACGGATGAGATATCAGGTATCCTTTGTCGTCCATTAGAAAACATTTAACATTCGAATTGTCGCAGAAGGGATACATCTCTGATAAAAGCCGTGAAATATAACCCATTGTTACGTCCAGTGATAAAACGGCTAAGATAGGGTCACTGCTAGTATGTGGCACATTTGAATTTTGACTTTTGTAAACTGTGTGACTTAATGTCACTATGTATCCTGCTCCACCAGCGTCTAAGTACGGTGTGCTCAAGACTAATTTTCCAGGATGTTCCATTGCTTTTCCATACCAAGCTCTTCTTTTTGGATCTAGACCAGAATCCAAAACCATACCTGGATACACTTCCAGTACTCCACTTCCTGTGGCAACTACGTACCTGCAATGGTCATTGTATATTTTATCAAAATATAATATTGAAAATAAAAGATGAATAGATTTTAGATTTACCTTCTAACAATAAACTTATTTAAGACGCTATCCATGTGGCGTTGTTTAAAATGATTTAAAATCAGGGACAACGTAGCTACGTCTGGTCTGACGGAAGGATGTAAACCAGGATTAGCTAGAAGCCTTGTGGAATCTTTTATATATGCCATATAACTTTGTACGGTTACTGCTGAACCAGTTTCCAATAATTTTAATTGCTCCATTGGAGATTGAAAACACCATGGTGCAAGATACACAACGCCTGTCGCTGTAAATTCCTTAAATTAAGTACTTTAAAGGAGTTAACGGTTTCTTTTGTATTTTTACTTACACAGTGTAGCTATTCTGTTCTGATATGTGCATAGAATATCCTTATTAACAATAGACTGTGACATTAGATCAAGTCTGTGATGCAAAATGTTTGGTGGTAAGGGCGGTATGGATCTCGTGACCAGTAAATTTTTATAATTTTCAGACACTATGCAAACTATGATGTCGTCATAGGATAAATGTTTCCATGTGAATCGTTTCTGCACATAAAGTACAGTGATATTAATAAATAAGAATAACATAACTTGCAGAAAGACAATCAAATATTTACCACAATTCCTAAATTTGTTTTAACATTAATGGAGCCTTTAAATTCGTTCATCATTTTTTGTATCATTCCCGGTTCGATATTTTCAATATTGCGCAAATAAACCTTTAATGGTTGCTCCATCATTGTTTCCATTCTAGGAAAATTCTTATGCATCCAGACTATCTCCTTCTTATCAAAGAGAATTCCATAGGCGTTTGAACCAGCGTGAAAGTAAGTTATGTCTTCCAGAAAGTCTCTTAACTTGACATCCAGTGATAAAAGGGCGACATTTGTTATTTGTCCCACAGATAGAGTCATTGTTTTACTATAAGGTTCAAAATATGGATCTGATAGGTAATAATCCTTTCGCTGTTCATTTATGCACTTTAGGCCAGAAAACAGTCTTGCTATTTCATATCCCAGTACATTTTGTGTAGGCAAAGTAATGATATTGTCGTTTTTGTAAATTTCCTTCATACGTGAATGAGGTTTCATATCTGAGAAGTTAATTACATGTTTGGCTTTAATATTTCTATAAGATATAGTAAGGTTTAATAAAGAGACTAGTTACCAGAGAGGATAAGAATTGTGCGTAAGTGTGTAATTAGTTTATCTGAAAACATTGTATTTATAATGTTTTTAACATTTGAAGTACTGTTCAATGTGTTTGTCAGATGTATTACAACTATTTCTCCTGTGATATTTTTCATTAATCTTTTAAAATCTATGCTCAGTGTTTCATTTGATTCTGAAATTAAAAAAAAATGTTAGATTTTGTATATTTACTTGCTTTGTATGAACAAACACTTACCAGTTCGCGTTATACTTTCAATATGTCTTGCTAATTGTAACTTATTGATATCTGTTGCTCTTAAGAGACCCTCTTTACAGTGTATGGATCCATGGCCTACAAGACCAACAACACTGACATGATCTGTTTCTGATAACATATCTACCACTGTTTTGGCAGTTATTTGAGCTAAGGCGAGATCTCCCTCTGACATAAATATGCCATGTTCCAATAACAAAATGACATTCTTAGAACTACACCGGGAAAGTAACAATGGACCAATATTATGAGCCAGACTTGGTGGACCACACATTGTTCCTGGCTGGTTTACTGGTAAAACATGCAAATACTTCCATTCTTGTCCTCTCAAATTTGTAGCTAATGCTGAAATATGAAAACAGATTCTTCATTGAAATACCATTTCTTGGTGTTCTCTTGCAATATCTTTACATTGAAGAACAATCACTTACCAGCTACAATTTGAGAACAAATATCGGTCACTCTATTCTGCGTAAGTTCGAGTCTAATATTTTGACTGGGATAAATGATATCATTTTGTTTTCTTAACAAAATTGGTTGAATAACATCATTACTACGTCTGATTAGATCAACATAGGACTTTAACTTAGCATTCAGCTTATCTACTAGTATACCAAGTTTTTCTTCTAAGCCAGTCGAAACATTGACATATTGCAGTTTGTCTAACATTCCTTGAAAAGCAGTCACTCCAAGTTCCTCATCACTGATAGAGCTAAGGGCTCTCGAGAACTCAACTACAATTTCTCGTAGGCACGTTCCATCAAGGGGTTCTGCCTCAATTTGATTACGTAGTGGCTTGCCAAACTGGCACTTGATTGTTGAATCTTGTTCATCATTGGCCTCGACATATATTAACATCGAGTATGCCAAGATGAAATAGAGAATTCCATTGACAGCCATCCTGTGCGGCTTTATTGAAGGTTGACAGCGTCTTCAGCGATCTCGTTAGGGGTTTTTTTCCTTACAATTATCGTGCCTCATGTTGCTTTCACATAACTCACAGGTTTTCAAAGATTGATACGACTGACTATCTTTTATATGATTTCTCGAGATCTCAGAGAGAGCTAAATAAAAACATTTTCGACATTCTATTTTTTAAGTATCTACGTGAACTACATATTTACTGATATTTACATACAATTGTTGCGCTGCCCTCTGCAGAATGGAATGCAAGTAGCGTTGCTTGTAGCGCATAATTTCAAAAGCTTGATGAAGTCAGTTGCCATTGAAGAAAAATATGCATTCGGTATGCGTATACATAATAAGTACACAGCAAAAATATTTTTAATAGACGTACAAATAAAAATTTGGGAAATCAATAGGCGAGTTTAGCAGGTTAACCGATACGTAAAGAATGCAGTTTATTGACTGATGCATACAATAGTTGGAAAATTTGACCAATCATTAAGAGACTCGGTCGAGTCTCGCGCCAAGTACAAGCAATCGGTTGTTTGGAATCAAATATCTTATGAACCGCTGAGATGTATGTATGAAAAAATGAACATACCACGGCAATTATTTGACAATAAATTCAAAATGAGTAGTACCAGGGAACATGTCTTGAGAAAAATTGAGAAGCTCTGATGTACCACACGAGTAGAATGTAGGTGAAAGTTGTAGCTCGTATGTACCTATATGATATATTGCCTGCAGTAGGATAGACATGGACGGAACCTTTAAGCAGTAAATTCATCGGATGATAGATGTCTCTAATTATGAATTTATATATGCATTTTGAAATCGCGTAAATACATTATAGGGTAAAAAATTATATCACATAAACAGATTTTAATTTACTCTATTACGACATGTAAGTACTATTATTTTTCTACAATTATTCAATGGTAAATTGATTTTACAATCTAAGTGGAGCTAAACCGGGAATCGAGTGTTGCGACTGCGTATTTCTTTTTTTAAAGCGGCCGGCAATGCCCGATCTAAGTTCAGTAAATGATAAGTAAAGTATCTCTTGAATGTTTTAACAAAGATAAGTTCATACGGGTCGCGAAGGCGTTCTGTGAAATCAAACTGTGTAAAAACATCAGAAGGAAACCGGATCTAGTCATTCTATATTACAAATTACGAGAAGCAGGTTGACGATGTCGAGATTTCTTGCAAGAAAACTTCTGGGATGCGGGAACGTCTTAAAAAAAGTCTCTCAGGTCGGCGTTGTGCCCCTTAGGCATTTAAATCTCCTGGAATATCAAAGTAAAATGCTTCTAAAAGACAGTGGTGTATCTGTGCAAAATTTTACAATGATTGACGACGTCAACAAGGCTGGTTCTGTTTTGGATAAATTCAGTTAGTATTTTATCCACGTGCTCTCTTCATTGTGCTTCAAATTAGATTTACGATTTGACTTTTCTCTGATTTTACAGAAGCTGATGAATATGTTGTTAAGGCACAGGTGTTGGCTGGTGGGCGTGGTAAGGGTTGGTTTGACAATGGATTCAAGGGTGGTGTACATATTACAAAAGAGTAAGTTTTGATCATTGAGAAATATATTGTTTGTACAACTTGTACAATGGTTTAATAATGAGTCATCATTCACAGTCCAAAGCAGGTACTTGACATAGTGAAAAAAATGTTTGGACACCGTCTAATCACTAAACAAACTTCAAATGATGGTATATTAGTTCAGAAAATTATGGTAGCTGAGTCCGTGGATATTGCCCGGGAGACGTATCTGTGTCTGCTTATGGACAGGCAGCATAATGGCCCTGTGCTTGTCGCATCGCCAGCTGGTGGTATGGATATTGAAGCAGTTGCTGAAGAGACACCGGAATTGATAAAAGCTATACCATTGGATATTTATTATGGCATTGATGATGAGATTGCTAAGGAGGTAGCAAATTTCTTGGGCTTCAAAGAGAAAGATATTCAGGAGAAAGCTATTTCTGAAATCAAAAATCTTTGGAGATTGTTTGTAGACATAGATGCGCTTCAAGTTGAAATTAATCCACTGGCAGAAACCACAGACAAAAAAGTCATTGCTGTTGATGCTAAAATATCGTTTGATGATAATGCCGAATTTAGGCAGCAGGACATATTTGCCTTGGAAGATGTGAGCGAAAAAGATCCACGAGAAGTTGATGCATCTAATTTTAATTTAAATTACATTGGCATGGATGGAAATATTGGATGCTTAGGTTAGAATATGATTCTATATTGTGCCATATATTTTTTTCTACATACAGTATTTAATTACAATAATCTGTTTAGTAAATGGTGCTGGCTTAGCTATGGCGACTATGGATATTATCAAATTAAATGGAGGTACACCAGCAAATTTCTTAGATGTCGGAGGTAGCGTTAAAGAGGAACAGGTTTACCAGGCTTTCAGAATTCTCACCGAGGGTAAGTGGTTCAGAAATAAAATGTAAAATAATCGCGCAATATCTAAATCAATTTCTTTAGATCCCAAAGTCAAAGTGATACTTGTCAACGTTTTTGGAGGCATTGTAAATTGTGCTACGATAGCTAGAGGAATAGTCTCAGCCTCCCGTAATCTAGGCCTGAAAATACCTCTAGTTGTAAGATTGGCAGGTAAGTCATCTAGAATTCTAAATTACATAACATAACTACAATTCCATACAATTACAATATTGATCAGGTACAAATGTGGAGGAAGCGATGAAAATTATTGCGGAATCAGGACTTCCGATTCTCACAGCAAATGATTTGGATGAGGCAGCTAAGAAAGCAGTCAGTGCTGTCAAGCAGTAATTCAGTCAAAGTCATGCTGCTGTCTTCAATAAAAAAGACTGAAGATATCTTCGTTTGAGTAATGGGTACGCATACGAAAACAATAAACATACAAACAGTGACATGCTATAAAAGATGACGTTATCAAATAAGAAAACTATATTTCACGTATCTTAAAACCGCGGTAAAGCATACGTGCATATAAAATATCCAAAGAACGTGAACTCTAATTGACCCAGAACAATTCCTTATCTTAGACGATAATTAGACGCTTTTAAGTTAATTATATATTTCATCGATTTCTCATCAGCTATCAGTGACAGAAGAAACGCATTATCGTTATCAAACTCAATTTTATTAACTAATGATTATCGAGATTGCGAGTGCAGTTACCTCCAAACTGATTACACTCGTTTCTCATGTTACAAAAACATCATGTTATCATTTGTGTAACTGTAGTGCTAAGTGTTATAAAGTACTTTGGCATTTTCTTTAAATAAATTTTTACAAAGGAAACGGACAGCGTTGCGCATTTATTTTGTCCAGTTACACACAGCATCACAGTCTACTCGCATAGGAACGTGCGTCTTAGTAATTTTTTCGTTTCTCTTTCTACCCTGTAAAACAAGAAAATTTACAAGTTTACTTATTTCTCAGAAACCAGAGTGCTAAACAGTAGCCACTGCCATTCAAAGCAGTCCGATCATTGAATTTCAACTTTCAATGACCTTATCAGGAAATTGTGCTCCTCAGCTACTACAACATTTGTGAGCTTTCCCGCAAGGATCTCTTGAAAAATGCATCTAGTCACAAGACAGATATATATCCAGTCACTTCAAATGAGCGATTCAATTTCTAAATCCATAAGGAATTAAACCTTTTGTATTGACACGCTCCACCAACGATCCCAAGTTTCTGCTGGTTATGCAATAATCTCCATGACCTACACAACCACTAAGGCCGTCCATCATTTAAACCCAAGATATTGACAAACACAAGATTATCCGTACTTAACGATTCTCTGTAATGAGGTAAAAATGAAATTTTCTATTCAACTATCTATTATTCTTCATCTCGTCTATTACTATTCAATTTTAAAGACTAATAATCACTGGCCTCACAGGTATAAAAGTTTTTCGAAACAGAAACGTGTGTTGCGGTCCCCTTTATCCCATTATGGTCTTGGAGACCCGAGACAACGTATCCAAACGCATTTGTACCGAAGCAAACCAACTGGTAATTCAGCACTCGTGGTGCAGGTATGTGTGGCTGATACAAGAGCTCCTTGGTCGTTTCACTGATGACCATATACGGTTCGCCGTTTTTAACTCACTTTCGAAGGTAATATATGTACGAGAGTAAGACGAGGGTACAGCTGTGAGTGGCATTTATTGGGTCAGGGAGTCAAAGTTATGCGAAATTATATATAGAGAGTGGGAGCAATGAAATTGAGTAGAATATTTTTCTTAAGAATAGTAAAAGATGAATATTGCAGAACATATATATGATGGATAATGTTTTAATTAATTGTTATTGTAATTTGAATTATTCGAGTAAATATATACAAGTGACTGATCAGGACTTAGAACAGTGTCATTTGCCAGATCAGGGGTTGAGTCATTTTGTGTAATGACGATTTTAAAGCGTGGGTGGTAAGAACGTGGTATGCTGGCGTCGTGACGCTCTTGTGTTCTGTGACAGGGATGGGTTACTTTGTTTTTCTATTATTGGAGTATCTACGAGGATTTATATTAGTATTGTTCTATAAATATATTATTGATATATTTTGAGGGAGGCGCATCCTGTGACTCAGAGTATTTTCAATGGTGAATCTAGTACTTCCTGTCTTGCCGGAAATGCCATAGGCAACGTTACCGTACATACATCTAGGTAAATAAGGTTCATGATTTACTTCTCGTTTAAAGCGACAATGTGGTATGTTATTTTCATTCTTTTTTTTCTGTTTTCAATGTTTGCACGCACACCACGCTATCTTATGCTGCCGATATACACGCCCCGGATACAGAGAGACTGATAAAACGGAGCAGGTGATTCGCAGACAATTTTTAGTGATACACGTAATCTTCCAAAACTGATATTGTACTGCATATACATATTTATACGTATTTTCCAAAAATTCTGTTATATCCAGCATTCTCTCTTACATCAGCAACATCTATAGTCTGATTTAGCAGAACAGTCTGGGTAGTTTTTGTATTTTATAGAAATTAATCAGATTCATGTATTTCAATTGTAATCAACTCTCTTGATTATCCTCGCTGATGCAAGACATCTGGCAAGTCTGTATGTTTCTTCAGAAAATTTTAAAACAAATTTACAAAATCAAGTTTCCTCGCTAACACTGAAGGAGCATGAACTAGTAGCCTTTAGTCGTGTCGTGCCAGCTTAGTTTCCTCGGTTTATACTTTAGTTTTATTATACGAATCCCCCGTGGTGTTTTGGTTGTGTGAGAGATGACTGTGTGTATATATAGATCCCGACTCCCTTCCCTTTTGAGAGGTGACGGAGGAGAGTAAAGGGGCTGTGCGTGAGGGACCCCGGACTATTCTTGGACAACTTCACTCAGATCTGCTTTCGCGTTCGCATCGACGCCACTAAACGGCTACCGATCCGTCCAATATTTGGCCACGACCGGCAAATTACATACAAGAAGTAACAATAAGAAACAACAAAAACAATTATAGTGCCTCGTGAGAACAAACAATCCCTTGTCCTCTATAGTGGACCAGCGCTACTAAGAGGTGTTTCCCGGTTCTTAAGGGATCCGGCCTCCTACTTAGTGATCATCAGGTAAATAAATGATACTAATTCTCGAAAATCATAACAGACTGACAGATCTAAATTTATAATTTCTTACGCGTACCATACAGAAGGAAATTAATTTGATAAGATTCTATAGATTTATAAATGATGTTTGCTTATCTTGTTCCCTCTTGTTTGTTTCTTCTTTTAACTTTGCAATAGATTCAAATTCAGTTTCTAATATCATCGTCACATTCTTTTCCCTCCTAAAGATTCATAACAATTATCCTTTTTTTCATATATTTAGCACACTCAAATATTTGTCCTATGTCCTTTCAACGATACATTTGAGTGACTTAAGACTTCCGGTACGTTCTGCAAGTAAAACAATTGTTGCACGTGGAGAGAGTAATCGCAGCGACACCTTGACATTCAAATACATTAACACCGTACCGTGTATTAGCATTTGTGTATTTGTAACGTGAGTCGTTATTACTGTCTCCCGCTCAGTTTCTATCCGCTACGTTAAATCTTCAGCAAACGTTGAACATTAAATTCGTATAAATTTATACTACGACTTTTTTTTTATGTTACCATCGCGCGACAAAAACTGTATTAAAACGATATGTGTAAATGCAAACAAAATCACTCTTGACAGAATAAAAACCGCATAAATATCTCAATTTTACGGTGACGTTTCCGCCATGACGCTTTCGTCAAGATAACGTTAAATGCAGCTTCCTAAATCGTAGTTATCGTATCTACTTGATGAAGTAAATACGAGGCACAAAAATTCTTCGACGACGTCTCAAACTAGACTTTGAGAATTCCTGGGACCCTCGTCCGCGACCGAGATAAAAAGTTGGTTATTTCAAAAATACCTTGGCAGTTAGCCGCCGACTTCCAATTAATCATAGTGAAGTTAGCATAATACTTTTTGTTTTTTTTTTATTTTTAAATATCTTTTATATCAATTCGATATTACAACAGTGTAGCACGAACTGTAAATAAACTTAATAAATATTGATGGAGGATGCACAATGAGGGAACCTTGGAAAAACAATAGGTATGTATGTTAATTCCAAAAATATCTTGGCAGTGGGCTGTATCCATCGAGAGAAGGCTTTTCGTAGGTTCCAATTAATTTTACATTATTTGCTCTCGTTCTGCTCTCTCGTAAGTCTCGATGACAGATCGAGGGCTAATTTTACTCATCCACGTTGAAGTCACGTTTGTCTTTGCATTAAACGAGCAAAGTATTGAACATTTATGAAGGACGTGGCGACCCAATTTTGCATAAATTCATTCATGAAAGAGATTTAATATTATTGATCCAGGTATATAGATCCACCTGCAAATAAAATTTTATTCTTATTGTCGTATACAGATTGTATTCTTATATTCAAGATCACTGTATTGTTGCGTATATTTAAAAATGGAGTCTTAAATATGTTTCAAGGTCTCAAGTCAAGCCATATGTAGATACTCAACTGTTTTCTGACTTCAGTACTACGTTGCACTACTAGAGTCTATTCTTCTGTATTTTATACGTGGCTGCCATCTTGAATTTTAAGAGAATTTTTCAAAAGCTTGGTCACTGTGAACGCGAATTAAACGTTTAGATCTCTTCTGTCAAGAGAGCAGTTGGAGTAAAATAATACATAAACAAATTCAAGAGCTTATATGTATCTTCAACAGTGTTTGCCCAATCTGGATAATGATAAAGATCAGATTTCACAAGAGTCTGAGAAACAATCACTCTATTTTAGGCAATGCGATTGCTACTTAACGCTCCGAGTAAATGTTGAGTCTAAGAAAAAAAATAAATAGTCAGAAGTAGCCATCAGATTTGATCGATCTTAGAAACGCTAGAGCATCAATACCAATAGACACTTTGAATAAATATTTCTACAAAACCGTCTATTAATAATAATCTATTAATACACGTCCAAAACACAGTAAACGTTAGGGTGGGACAGTGTCTATACGTTTATGAATTCTATTTAAAAACAATCCACCTGGAACACGACAGTTGTATTTACTTTGTTATACTTACGAATTACATTTGTGCATCATATCAATAATCATGAACTCGCAGAGTAAGTAGTAATATATAATTTTTTATTTACAGCCGTCACCTCTAAATTTCTCAAACGGAAAAGTGGTCGAGGATTGATAAGGCCCAGGAAGTGGTACCACTGACAGCCGCAGAGCCGTACGCGCCCTGAAGGAAGTCTCACTAGTTTCACAATAGATCGCGCGAGTATAGGCCCCCCATCTAGGACTTTATAACCCAGCTGATCAAACTGCACTAACGACCGAGTATCTCCGACACGTATCACCTTCTATCAACCAGAGTTCACACACTGAACTCGGGTGGACTTCTACCGGCACAATCACCGGTCGCACTACCGGTCCCAACAAACCAGACTTCCACCACCACTAGGCTTAACAGCCACCTCCATAGCCACTAAAGTGCCTTAGCGAGCCGGCCGATAAAATGAATGACAATGATAAGTCAGTCGAGAGCGGGAACCCCGCTGAAGACGACGACGAGATGATGGAACGCGAGCTGGCCGAAGATGCCCAGTGGAAGAGAATCCAGCAGAATACCTTCACGAGATGGGCCAACGAACATCTCAAGTCCTGTAACAAGCACATCGGCGACCTAGAGAGCGACCTCTCTGATGGTCTTAGACTCGTCAGTCTCTTAGAAGTGCTCTCGCAAAAGCGTCTACCCAAACACAATAAACGACCCACCTTCCGTTCACAAAAATTGGAGAACGTATCCGTCGCACTCAAGTTCCTCGACGATCAAGGAATACGTATTGTTAATATTGGTGAGTGAGAGGTTTACGTTTTACTATCTTTCTTCAGTTTTTCTTTTTAATTATTAAGACCTCGCATACTAGAATTTTATATATCGATTCAAATATGCATAATGTAATTATTATGACAGGGCAGGGGGGGGGGTAATTAATTTTTTAAGATGTGTTATTGCATTCATTGTTGTTAATTGTTATTTGAGTGCTGTCAGACGGTGCACTGTCAGATTTCATTTCTAGCGTGGAATGTCAATGAGGGTTAATCGAAAGCATTTGACATTATTGTCCTATCCGTGTGGTAGTGACAAAACGAAGATTCCACCAGGAGTAAAAAAGAGTTTCTTCGAAAGTTTTGAAAGCCTCTACGTTCTATACGTGAAAGTTATCCTGATCGTGGCTACTTGGAATACCTTGGATCTTGACTACCTCTTGCTGCCTTATGCTACTCTAGCAATATAACGTTCTTTATTTGGCACCTGGAAGTCTCACTGATAAAATTTTCGATAATGTTCCTTGTTTATTTAAAAGCGATCACTAGATTCTTCCTCTATGCTGAAGTTTGACTGTCAACGTTGACATTTATAAATCAAGAACAATTTCAAGCTTAAAATATCTGCACGTCAAGTGTACTGTGAATTTTGACATTTTTATTTTAATTCTAAAATCTTTGTTGATACAAGTGCTCGCAATGTATGTGTGTTTTATATCCATTCGTGGCAAACCAAATACTCAAGTCTTTTTTTAAGCGATAACACTTTTTTTCGTTATTATTAAAAATGCACGGATCTACATTCCCTTAGGATATAACTATTTCTAAGACTGATACATTTGAAAGCTTTTGGGATTGATTTACAAAGGGACTGCTGTTATCATTATTATTCAGCACGTGCGCAAGCGCCACGTGTTACCAATGACAACTCGTTGATTTTTAGATTAGCTTTTTTGAAATATTAAAAAAAAATCTTTCCGATTCCACGTTATATTACACTACTCGTATTGTATTCTCAACTACTGGAGAAATTCGAGATTCTCTTGCATTGCTACGTGACACGTACTGCATTGCGTGGCTGTTATTTCACACAAGAACGATGCGCAACGCTTGTGTCATGCTTATACATAGGCGTTATTCTAACCTTTTTAAAAGGAATGCCACTGCGATAGGGTTTTCATAAAAAATATATATCTTAAAAGAATTAATTATCTACAACACTGTTATGGCATATGCCACGTTGACAAACGCAATTTCCCAAACCGACAGTAAGCATCGCGCAGTAATGACCTATACCCAGGCTAATGGAAAATTTACAGCCCTTAACTAACTCTGACTCATCCAGTCCCTGACACCCTTATCCTAGTAATTGCCAAAATACAGTGCATACTACCTTTGGCAAATTACGAATCCAACCACTTATTCCTTCCTTCCTTTCCTTATGGCTGCCTCCTCCAATGAGATGTGTCAGTTGACGACTTATTTCTTATCCCACTAGCCTGCGGATTATTATTACAAATACAAGGGAGCAGAATTTCCCTACTGCTCGGTTCTACCACTACCCAAACTATGACAACTCTAGGGATATTTGATTTCCTGCAATATTTTGAAATATTAAAAATATGAGCAATTTCGTGTTCAAACGGTAGTTTCTTAACAATAGACTAAAAATAAATGAGATACACTCAAATTTGATGTATCACACTGTACGTGTGTCTCTTGCATTAATGATCGAGCCGTGAAACCGTGCAACCTCCAGCGCCGTAGGAACATAATAATTCAGCATTGTCTAGACCGGAATTCACAATTTATTTCGAACCCACCATACAGAGACTGAAGATCTCAAGGCTTCCAGTTTTCAAAAGCAATTTACGCCAGCCTTGGTCTTCTCTGAGTTTTTTTTTTCAGCCAGACTAAAATATATAAGATTGACAAACATGAGAATCGTACTTAACAATATAGAGACTCTCGTAGTAACGAAAGATTCGTCTGTTCGTTCCAAAGCAAAGATGGTTAGTATGAGGGCGTCATGAGAAGAAGCAGGATGACGTTCCAACGCTAAGAGGTACACTGGGGCAAGCCTGACCTTCACCTGGTCCCTGGGATCCGCCCACTTTCTCTCGAGGACCGGAACGCAGTTCCGAACGTGTTTTGCGGCGCTCCGGCCTCCGTAATGACGTACTAGAAGCTTCCGTTGATATTCGGTAACCGACTAACTCGTTACAGATTCCTCTTACGGTTCTGTTACTTCATTTTGTCTTTCTTTCTTCTCTTTTTCTTCGTACCAATCAGTCCGGACGAACTTACCGACCGTAACAGATGTGAGAAATTTTTATACGTTATTTATATCGATCGAATTAGAAATCATTGTATTTAGTATCGAGTTCATATTTTATCTCAGTACAGATTGATGCTGTGTAGATTGATTTCTGAGTGAATCTCACTCTTGGAAGACTGAGTATGCGTGCACGAATGTTGATGAGGTAATCGTTTAACAATCAGTGACGTCATCGTCTAAAAGCGTGTCGACTGCTACAAACGTCACTTGGTCGCAACGCATGTATGTACGTACACGCGCGCGCGGCGTCCCTCGTAAGCACAATGCCGTCATTCAGCGCCAGACGGTAAAAGGGATAAGCTTGTGGGCGGCCTTCGATTTCTAAAGTTACATAGATCGTAGGAGAGGTTCCCAGACGATTTTTTCTATCCTTCTCTATGCTATCCGTAGGAACGAGGTATCTGAGATTCTGAAAGTGACGTCACTCCCCTCCCTCCTCTTCCGGGAACTGGCATCCGGTCTCTATGCGAATTTTAAGTTGGAAGTATTTGTCCTGTATATTTTAACAGACGTACTGTTCAAGAATCATTTGAAAAAAAATTTCAATTCGAATACGAGTAGCATTACGAATGCCAAAGGATTCGTCGTTTGAACGTGAAAATTCAATGAGATTTCCATACGGAGGTTTTACGTTATTCGTCACTCGGATTGTAGTCACTCCAGTCGGAATTAATTAAAACAGTGTTTAACGTCAGACCCTCGGTTCACTTTAATCTTCATTTACTGGTACAAGATTCCTCAGATTCGGGAATTGGCGAATTTAAAAATTCTCTCGTTTGAAATCTAACTTCACGGCTATAACGTGAAGCCGTGAAGTTTGCCAGTGTAAGTTTCCTTGTGCCGGCACGATAATGACAATGGGCGACTGCCGCTTTATCGTTGTCGTATTGCGGTTACGTAGACTCGTTGTCGTGCGCCTTTATTTTTCACGTGCTACTCCTTCGCCGTGGGTCAAGCGAAGTATGCGTTATAGAAATTTCGAATTGAGTCGTTCCGTACTCGTTGGAATATTTTTTCGCATTTTTAACCTAGTGCTACAGCCTATGAAAGTTTCCGGGTTAAAAATTTGCTGTGACAAACTACAGTGTCGTTTGGCACGTACCTAACCTACAATTCACTGTGTACAACGACTCGCACGTGGAAAGATTGTAATAAGAGATACCTACTCTTTTGTTTACGACAGCAAAAGGCTCATCCGGGATATTACTGCTGGTATTTGATATCCGACTGTGTATGTATATATATATATATACACACCTTCTATTGAAACCATGATACTGTCAAACGAGCACTGAAATGAGTGCCTTAAAGTTTGACCGGTTGCAAAAATGTGCAGTGTCTTAATTTTAGCAACTGTCGTTTTATGCATATCGTGTTCCTTGGGCATTCTTTTCCCAGGTTTTGTAAACTAGCGGGAGTTTCGAATGTTCTCGATTATTCTTATTTTACCGCTGGGTCTCGTCACGTGACCAGTTTTCCATGTGGCGGCTCATCCGAATTCAAACTGATCTTAATGACTCAACGTGGCAGGTCGAATTGTCAGGTGGTTAAAAATAATTCATTGCCGAAGTAAATAGAAGTGAACGTAGGCGAGACTGGCCTAAGAGGACACAGTTATAACGCACCTGTCAGCCCATCAGACTATTAGTACTATAATATTACAATAAGGTAAGAGAGATCAGATCGTCATAACCTGTACGCTACATGCATATGATACGTAAGATATCAGAGAAAAAATTACAATATACTAGGCGTAGGTACGAAATTACTTATCAAAACGTACAACTCGAATTTGACAGCTGTCACGCTATTGTGGTTGTTCCTTAGAATTTGGCATCACTATACCGTTAAAAGTAAGCAAAGTTTCCGATGTTCATTGGCCGATCGCCAATTTTGATCGAGCGATAAGTTGAAGAAGTGAATCGAAAAAAATGGTATTCTGTACCGCGGAGCGAGTGCGAGAGAGACGGAGTTATAGGTTTTTACGGGAGCAAGAGAAGGACAGACATACCGGCGAATCGAAAAGTCTAGAGAAAATTTATTCAGCTTCGAACTAAGACTGTTTGAACTTGGTAGGCCTGCAGGTATTCTGACCTTTGAAAAATCCTATAAGATAAATAATTATTCCAGTAAGGCAGCTATGACTCTAGGGCAATGTAGTATGTTGCGCAAGCATTGACGTCGACAGCAGATTTGTAACTGTTGGATGAGGTGGTTGATGCTTCGTGACTTAATAAATAACAACGGAGCGCAGCGGTGGATGCTCTTGGTAGAACGGCGCTGACGCCGAGTACGCTAACCTACGTGTTTTCGCGCTCGTGACGTCACTGTTCAGTAATTGCTTAAAATAGTTGAGATGAATCGCCAGCGGGCATCTCTCGGTTTCTTGGGAATCGGCGGGGTCTGTGTCTATCTCTCTTTATTCCATATTAATTTTTTCTTTCCTCTTTTCTCTTTTTCGATACATCTTTCGTATGGAATCTCTTGAGACAGTTCGACGCTAACAATAGGTATACTCTGCAGCTCGTTATCTTTATTGATTCGTGATCGTTATTTCGTATTGATTAGGGTGAGACGAATTTTTGTCTTATCACTGAAATGAATATCCGTGTGTACCGTTATGAATTTCGAAAAAGTCAAATTTAAGAAAATTAATGAGATTTCTGTTTACGTGTTCGAGACATTTTTTTCTGCTGATCTTCCACTGATGTTTACGCCGTTATTAGTTTCTTGGAAATATTTTAACGTCCACATGCTAACGAGCGCCGACTGCATTAACATCTTATCACAGAGTCTTATCGACTGATGGTGTCCAGAATTTTATTACATTGTACAGGTAACTGTCAAGGATATAATGTTGACAATCTTAATATTTCAATTATTTATTATAATTCTTACCGGTATTTCGATTACATAAATTCAATCCGATTAGTTCTGGTACAACAGTCTTAATTACCTGTACTGGCGTACGAGAAGACGCCATTGGATAATTCCTTTTCTTCCTATATATATATATATATCTATGGTGTGTATTTATTATTTTCTTAAACCAGTTTTCCTTCAAACCGTAAATGGATAAATTCACGTAACCAGGATGATCTCACTCGTCCATGAGATACATGTGAGTTTTCTTTAATAACGTAGAAATACCAATGCTATTCCGTCGCCATCTTCATTATCAAACATCAACAGTTTCGTCTTTGAAATTTCATTTAGTTGATGCTCTATTCTTTCTATACCCAATGGCAGACGAGTTTCCAAGTCTAGCAATGGCGGACGATCCGTGGCAGAAATGTATATCAACTTATCCATCTATCAATCTATTTATTCACATAGGTTTCTTCTTCGTAACTCATCAAACTTCAATCTCTACCTTAAGACTAGTGCTAAGAGACGACAAAGATACATATTTAACTGTAGTACTTGCTCTTACGTATGGATGAGTCAGAATCTTGAACTTGTGCCAGAGAACATGAAATTCAGTTGATAGGCGACCTGCCGGGCTAATTCTTCATGGACATGGCAACTGTTTTGCTGTAAGATTTTAACTTTACCTTGGTCAACGTGTGGATATTTAAAGAAAGGTTTGTTATTAAATAAGGGTACTCGTGCTTGTTGAAGGATGGTAGAAAAAGAGAAAGAAAATTACACGTCACTCCTCGAATGAAAGTGCATTAGAGATTGTCACGATTTTATGTTAATTTACTGACATACAGGGTAGTGTGAAAAGTACGTGAATCATTCTTGACTAATTCGCGATAAACATTTGTGCTATGTGATACACGATGAGCAATAGCTAATTATCATATTCATTTCCGCTCATGGTTAGTCAATAATTAATAAGCTATTTCCGCTTGAAAGATGTTATACTGGGCGTGTATTTCTTTTGGAAATCAGATTCTTGCAAACGTGTAGCGGTTTGTGGTATCCCTGGGAATAATTAACCGGGTAATTAACACCCCGGCAATCTTCATTGGAGCTCGATGCTCTAATGCAGCATCCGTTAAATTAGTTCCACGTAGAAAATATGATATCCTGAGTATCAGTTTGGTGATTGATCAAACGATTGATTTTATGGTTAGGATACTGACAATGAGTCGATACACTTTTTGAATTTCCCGCGGTTTTTGTCTACGTGTGTAATTCACGTTTGCCCACAGTCGGTATCTATCGGATTACGAGCGGCAGCATTAATTATTCGGTATAAATTCATCCTCTTCCAACTTTGACTCTATTTGTGTTACGATATTACGCAATAAAAAATTGAGAGTTGCTAAACGTTTGGCACCAACTCGCGGGATACGTGAAACGGCTGTTAGGAGGTTAGAAATGGCAGTTTTACGAGGATCGCAATGAAACTTAGCTACGTAAGAAAATTATGGAATTTCGTCCACAGGTTTTGACAGCTAACAATTTTCTTTTCATTAGTAGATTTACAGGTTTAGGCAGTAAAATGAATTTTTCAATTTTCTGTTACTTCGAGCGTACTTTGGTAAACTAACAAGTGCACTTTACTCGCTCTTTTTTTGTCGACGCACTTCAAAGTCAGTGGTAGAGACATTAGGCGTATAAATATCGTTGAACAGAACGTCGACCATGAAGCATCAGCACGGAACCGGCTTTTAAACATAGTAAAGGATTCAGTTCTCGAGTTTCCTTTTGACTCGAGAGCCTTAACTCAACTGAATACGACAAAACCATCGAAATTTAACTTAGAAAATAAGACAAGAATAACAATCGGTTGACGCTAAATTTATAACGATGCACACTCGTTTCCGTGACCAAGCATATAATCAAACATGATTACGGTCCTCAATTTGTAATCTCTTATGAAACTCAACACTGATAAGAATCATCGTAAAAGTTCGATTGACTTCGGCCCGAGTAATAGTAATCAATGACGTAGCCATCTATCGGTATACAAAATTTGTAGATATCATCAAGCGTCCTTGATGATTCGAATTGCTTGAGGGAATATTGATTGCGCTTGTTAATTAATGTCATAAAATTTTTATAACAAACATTCAGATTCTACTTTTGTAATTTGTTCCGTGTGGTCTAATGATAATTTACGAGTGCGAATTTCCAGGCAAAACTTGACTCCGGGTCATCGACCGTTTTTTTGCAACATTATATTCGGCAACAAAAAAGGGAAGTAGTTGTCGGCCGCTCGAGTTTATTGGCCGCTTCGGAACAGCCATTCCCTACGGAATTGCGACGTTAGGCCACGTGGTTACGTTTGCGAAATTTCTGCGTCTGTCAAACCGCATACTTTGTAAATCATCAGCAACGCTTTATGATTTATTAACGCGTCTCCTTCGCACCTCTTCCGAGCATACTGAAATTCCTTGAACAACTGTTACATAGCTACTTATAATATAGCGAATTCTGATATGACGTTTGAGCTTTCAAAAAATGACTTAACAACCTCCCAAGTAATTAGTCACTCTTATCACAGCAATATATCAATTTTAATTCAGTTTCATTATCAGCTTGAGAGAAATCAATGACTTTGTACTTCCAACTGGAATTTCGATAAGTCAAATCAATTTTAAAAAATTAAATATCCATTCGTATTTGCCTAACGTGTACCAGACCTTTCTAATACACTTTCAATCGTTACAGATTCCTCAGACATTGTCGACTGCAAATTGAAACTCATCCTCGGTTTGATATGGACCCTCATCCTCCATTATTCCATCTCCATGCCAATGTGGGATGGCGAAGATGGCGAAGGACCGGAAAAGGGCGCAACCCCGAAACAAAGGCTGATGCATTGGATCCAGGCTAAAGTTCCTGACCTGCCAATTACCAACTTTACCTCAGATTGGAATGACGGTCGTGCAGTTGGTGCGCTTGTGGATGCAGTTGCACCGGGTCTCTGTCCTGACTGGCAAGATTGGAATCCTAAGGATGCCGTGCAAAATGCATCCGAAGCTTTGGGTCTTGCTGATGACTGGCTTAACATACCTCAGGTAATTTAAAAAAAAAATTTTTTTTTATTATAAAAATATATTTCTCTTATCTTTTAAAATAAATCATCATCCTCTTTCATCCCACAGCTTTTCCTTGTATCCAACGCTAGATCCGCACACTTTGGATCACCTTGATCCCGTTCCCATTCTAGTCAGCGCATTCTATTCTTGAGTGCACCTTGTAATCGCGTCAACGACACTACTGTGAAACAGGCTTAAAGTCTGTTTGGCCGGAAGTCGATATAGAACGGGAATGGTAACGAAACTAATTATGCATATAGGATTCTGATTGCTACTATGAACGCACCTTTAATTTCTGTATAAATCGTATGCCGACTGTGCCAAAGATGTCGAGAAGAACTGATTGTATATGGTGTATGTAACACATGGTACATATGTAGAAAGGAACTCAGTCATGTATAGTAATTACTCTTTGCAAATGACCAAATGATTGATCACGGTTAATATACAGTGAGTGTAAGTTATGAGTGACATCACAATGTAGAGAAAACCAATAGGATGAGATACAATCGGTACTTTTGAAATAAAAATTAGGTCGCTTACCAGTTAGTGGTTTTTTTTTTTCATTAAGAATTTAATGAGGGGTTTCGTACTGAAATGCATTTTGTATGCGTCTGCTGGATCTTGTTGGTTATACATGAGATGCAGTTGGGATAATGTCTAGCCTACTTTGGATCGATGATTACATACGTATTAACGATCGCATTATACATATGCGTATGTCCTCAGGCGTTGAATGAAAGAATTTCTATATATAAATGTCTGATGTATATAATCATCCTGGAATTTTAGATTAATTGATACATATTTTTTTTATAATAATATAATCATGAAATTCTAATTAGTCTCTTATTGTTTCAGCTCATTAAACCCGAGGAAATGGTCAATCCTAATATTGATGAGATGTCAATGATGACATATTTGTCTCAATATCCCAACGCCAAATTGAAGTCCGGTGCGCCCTTGCGCGCTCGTACCAATCCTAACAGGTAAATTGTTAATTCTATTCCTGGCCGTACATACAAATTTTCTGCGATTTTCGACTATTCATTGTCCCAAATTTGAGATTTAGAATTATCTCGTGAAACATTAAACAATACAGTATTAATTTTTGTGCATCAACGCACAGGGACCAAATACGAGAGTCTGAAATCAATGTCGCAGATTATTAAAGAAAAAAATATATAGAGTATGTAAGGAGCGATAATGATCTTGAGACTTCATGAAAATTATTATCCGAATTTAATCGTAATTAATCGATTTATTTCATTTCTCGGTCGCAGCGTGCCACCGCCGCGGTAAGTCGCGAAAAACAAAAAAAAAGTGTAATGTTTGAGAAAATGGTTTTGCATCAAGTAATCCTTGGCCGCGAGTTTATTTGTACCTTTTTTTTTTTAAATTTTTCTGTATAACTTTCTTTTTGACCATTTTTTTAATTTAGTTTTTTCTTGGCCTTTGACATTTTTCGTTTAACAAGCGAATCTTAATGCGCTCTAATCAACGCGCTATACGTGATGTGAACAATTTGGTGTGTCCTGTGTGTGCAGCATAACATTTATTATTCGCAGAGAATAACGTGTACCAACCTACAAGCAATAAAATTAGAAAAATTATGCAATTTGGAATGGCTTATCAAAAATATATTTTCGTACACAGACACTTTACAGAGTAGATCATTCTGCAGTGTCATTGAACAGAATAAGTTTTTACGAGAAAGCACAGATAGTGAAAAGCAATAAGAAAAAATTATTAATGCTTATTAATTTTCATTGGCAGATAATGCAGCTACTTATGCGATAACACCGGAATGATGTTTACAAAGGTTTTCTCATTATACTAATCGTACGATTAACTGTTAGGGTACGTGCCTATGGACCAGGAATCGAACCAACTGGACCAATTGTTGGAGCACCAGCTAACTTCACCGTCGAAACATTCTCAGCTGGAAAAGGAAACGTGGAAGTCACGGTGGAGGATCCAAAGGGAAACAAAATTCCGGTACATAGAAATATTTCATTGTAAAATTAAGAGATTCACTGAGCCATTTGAAAACATAATGTAGCTGCATATTTTTCTTGTCACGTTTCGCCAGTGTCCGAGGATCTCATCGAGACTCATTATCGTACCATGCGTTATTTATAGACGGTGAGCCACGAGTAAGAAATAACAGATAAATAACACGAGGTTCATTGCATTTATACGACTCTCTTCTGAGTGGTTTGATCATCGAAGTGGCTTCACGTCAGCTTCATAATATCGAGGCTACTTGTACCTCGCGTGTAAACCTGGCTTTAATGCTTAAATATTGGCATTTTAATATTGATACTTGGATAGGGGGTCTAGAGTAGATTTTAGAACTTGAAAATGTCACCGTGTCAATGATTTTTGATATTTGGTAAAAGTGGAACATGTTTCTCTTGTTTTTTCTAGGTCGATATCAGGTTCAACAAGGACCGTAACCTGACTTACTCAGTATCCTATACACCAAAGAGCGAAGGACCTCACAAAGTAAAGGTCCTGTTTGCAGGACGAGAAATCCCGAAGAGTCCTTACACTGTCACCGTCGAGGGACATGCTGGAGATCCTAGTAAAGTTACAGCTAGTGGTCCAGGTCTTCAGCCTGATGGTGTCGTTGTTAATAGGCCTACCTTCTTTGACATCTTCACTAAGGATGCTGGACGCGGTGTTCCCGAAGTCATCATTCTGGATCCCCAGGTATTACTCAGTTCCTGGTATACGTCTTGGGTATCGTAGATTCCTCAGGACGTTTCTGAGCTTCTGTTTTTTTTTTTCAGGGTTCAAAGACTACAGTGCCAGTAAAACTCCGTCAGACTTCACCAGATGTATGGCGATGCGAGTACGTCACACCGATGACGGGTATGCACTCCGTGAACGTCTTCTTCGCCGGGAAACTCATTCCTGGAAGTCCAGCCGGGGTTCGGGTTGCACCTGTCTCCGATGCGAAAAAGTGCAAGGCGTACGGTCGTGGTCTTTTGCCCAATGGAGTTAGGGTCAAGGATGATGCTGATTTTACCATCGTCACTAAGGATGCTGGCGAGGGTACACCAGAGGTTCGAGTCATTGGACCTGGTGGTGTGAATCTACCTATACAGTAAGTATAAGACCTTCAAAACATATCGTTTTCAAGGAAGGTGCAAATTTACAAAAGAAATTTTTTTTTAGAATGGTGAAAGTCGATGCCACGACCTACAAGTGTACCTACAACCCGGTAAAAGAAGGTCGTCACGTAGTGATGGTGACCTATGGTGGAAAGGAAATTCCAAAGTCTCCATTCGAGGTCAACGTCGGTCCCTATAAAGAATCCAGTATAAGGGTTTTCGGACCTGGTCTCTATGGTGGCGTGGTTGGCCACCCTGCCAAATTCACAGTCGATACCAACGGTGAAACTGGCGCCCTTGGCTTCTCCATCGAGGGACCCTCCAAGGCGAAAATAGATTGCCAGGATAACGGTGACGGTACTGCGGATGTTTCCTACGTACCTACTATGCCTGGTCAATATGCTGTTCATATCCTGTGTGATAACGAGGATATACCCAAGTCGCCATACATTGCCAATATTTTGCCTAAGACCGACTATGATCCTGATAAGGTTACTTTTTTTTTATCTCTTCGCATAAACTACCACGATCTCACTGATGAATTATATCGTTACACGTGGATATCTTTGCGTAGGTGGAGGTCCACGGACCGGGAATCCAACCGGAAGGTGTCGCAAGAGACAAACCCACTAACTTTACTATAGACTGTAGGAAGGCCGGCCAAGCGCCTCTGGAAGTCGTTATCCTGGATGCTCTTGGTAGATCCGTGCCACTTAAACTTGATGACAAACGTGATGGCACTGTACAAGCTCATTATACACCTACATCCGGTTCCCAGCATACGATCCAGGTTAGATATCACTTTCGGTATCTTCCCAAGAAGACGTGGAATTTCCTAGAATAACATACATTCACTAATTACCATGCGTAGGTGAATTACGGTGGTGTAGCAACCAAGAAGTCACCGTACAGAGTTAAAGTAGCTGCACCCTTAAATCCTGCCATGGTATCTGCCTTTGGACCAGGACTGGATAAGGGCGTCAAGTCAAATACTCCAACTCATTTCAATATAGACTGCCGAGAGGCTGGGCCTGGGGAACTTGACGTGACCATGGATGCTCCAGATGGCCGAGATCTGCCTATCACATTGAGTGATAACGAGGATGGTACATACACTGTGGATTATGTTCCACCAGCACCTGGAAATTACACAGTGAATATGACCTACGGTGGCCTCAAGGTTCCTAAGTGTCCTCTAAAAGTGAACGTGCAGCCACACATTGACGTATCGAAGATCAAGGTCGACGGACTCGAGCCCAGTGAGTAATTCTTATTTGTATTACTCTGATAACACTATCAATCCAGTCAGGTCATTTAACGAGATGCAGCAAAGAGAACAGGATCATACGATGATTTCAAAATGGAGGGAAGGTCCATAAGCTTTTAGCAGAGCAATTTAATCGCAGTATCATTGACAAATGGTCACCGTAGAATGGCTCTAGTTGCCAAGTGGACTTTAGACCAAGAGAAGACTAAGGAGGACGGAGGAACGGATGCAGTACTTGGCATCGGGAGTCGTACCCTATCGTTTTCTAGCTTGGACATAACTGCGGACGTGACTATGAATCACCCGGTCCCGACGAACATGGCTAACACGATGCACTTGGTGATTTAACGCGGATAATAATTTCCTCCGATCATCATCATTCATAACTGTGCTTAATCCGGAGGTCCGAGAGGGGTTACATCATGGGCCATAAACCAGCCTAAAAATAATCCAATAGTAATCTCCATCTGTTCCTGCTCATACATGAAAATTTGTCTAAACGGTCTCTATATCGGAGGATACCGATTTTTTAGTTCTCCGAATGAGGTTCATTTCAATTATAAGACAAGGTCAATAGTGGGTCTAAGAAAAATAGTTTCTGGTAGTATACCGTGGTGTTACGTAGTTTTCATGAAATATAGGTTAGAAGGTCTCCTGGGATGTGTGACTGGCATGAAATTCCGCTGGAACGGAGTCGACGTTATTTTTAGCATATTGCGAATTCCACGGTTCTACCGAAGTTTCGTATTTCATCTAAAAATATTATGGTTCACGCTTTGCATCATTTCACGAATCCTCGGTAGAACTCTTATACAAAGTTTATGAGTGCCCATGTAAACGAAGGGTATGAGTTTTAGGACAAGAACAATATTTACTTGAATAGTTTGCCTAAAGGCGACTCTATGATTAAATGATAAAAAAAAAGTATTTATATAAATATATATGTAAACCGCGAAAACCCCATAGCCGCCCCCGTGAACAGCCTCCAGCAGTTCCGCGTGATAACGCAAGACGCAGGAAAGGCGGACTTCCAAGTAGCGATCACGACCCCGTCCGGAAACAGAGTGAAGGCCCACATAGTACCGACCCACGAGGGCTTCCTGGTGAACTTCACGCCAACGGAGCTAGGGGAATACCTTCTGGGAATAAGCTTCGGTGGTGAACCGATCTCGCCGCAGCCATATCGGTTGACCTGCGTCCACGGAAGTGATCCTGGCAAGGTCAGAGCATCCGGTCCAGGATTGTCCCATGGCATAGTGAACAAGCCTGCCGAGTTTGTAATCGATACCAGAGGCGCTGGTCAGGGTGGCCTTGGAGTCACCGTAGAAGGACCATGCGAGGCTGCCATCAATTGTCGTGACAATGGCGACGGCACCTGCTCCGTCGCTTATCTACCGACCGAACTTGGTGACTATGGGATCAACATCACCTTCAACGACCAGCACATTCCAGGATCGCCGTTTCAGGCCCTCATCGAGTCAGAGGCCGACCTCTCGAAGATCAAGGTGTCCGGAAACGGGATACAGCCCCACGGTCAGCCGTCGCGTGGATATAGTTTTTAATCAGAGACATTTATAGCATGGGATGTCCGCTCATTGTCTAGACGATAGAGTCGGAATTTTGCTACCGACTGTCCCGCGGGAACCAAGGGAGATACTTGGGGATACACGAGCCACTATTAAATCCTTGTCAGAGTATCACAGGACTTCCCTTGCGAGTCGGTTTTAAATATGACGTTGTACCTCCTACAGTCGCCATATTTGATTTTTTCTTTTAATCGATTGTATCATTGATAATACGTATTACGATCACAGGGAATCTCAGGGGGATTATTTGTTGTCTTGCAATTATTTACAAATTTGTATTCATCTTATTAACTTTTAAGCACAATTTCATTATATGGATTTAAGCCAATAACGAACTCTTGATAATTGTATAAAAACTTATATCATTATATTATCAAATTGAAAAGCTTTTGAATTATCATAATAACCAAGAGGATTCATTTTTATAATTTGTCTTTTACTTTTCTTATTTTAATTATTCGCTGCGATTCGCTGACCTCCATTGGTTCCCATAACACTAACGGACCATGAAGCATCTCGCCGTTTATTATTTGCTGTGATTTTTATATCGGATCATTCGATCGTCCACGATAGTGTAATCGAATTTTATTATAAGTATCGATGACGATCGAGTCATCTACTTTCTTTATCACTAACAGTACTCGGAGTGCGTGTGAATCTTACTGTATCATAGACTAGTCTAATACTCTTTTATGAAAATTAATCATGATAGTTAAAATTAATTTATTATAAAATGACGTAATTGGGACGGCCGTCGTTGATCTGAGTATTAAATCATTAATTGCATGATCCATGTAGACCACTGTCTTGGCACGTTGATTAGACTGAATGTTTGTCCAAGTATTTCAATCTGAATCATATTAATTTATTTAATCGATAAATCAGACCTTCTTGAATATCGATTTTCTTTCAGGTACTCTAGAAAGCACAGAATTCTTTCTGGATGTTTATTTAATGTCTTTAAATAAGTGATCTTTTTTTCTCTGTTCGTTATAGGTGTTTACGTGGACAGTCCGACAGATTTCACCCTGGACACCAGAGCCATCGCCAAGACGAAGAGCGACGATGGGAAGATCTCCTGCACGATAACTAATCCAAGTGGCGGCAAGACTGAGAAGGTCATCACGCCTCAGGCTGATGGTACCTACAGGATCAGTTATACACCCTTTGAAGAAGGCAGACACACCATTGATATACTCTACGACAACGTCCCTATCCCTGGATCACCCTTTTCCGTTAACGTTAAACGTGGATGTGATCCTAGCAAGTGCAGAGCTTATGGTCCAGGTCTCGAGAAAGGATACGTTAATAAGCCTAATCAGTTCACAGTAGAAACTACAGGTTGGTATTACTGTCTTATCTGTATTGTTGTTTGATCATATCCAGTGGATGATGTAAAAGATAAAAGAATGATTTGTTGATCAACAAACTTGAGAAGGAGAGAGAATGAGCTTGCGATTAATTTATGGATGATTACTTTCTTTTTCTTTTTTTTTTTTAAAGGTGCTGGAAATGGAGGCTTGGGTCTTGCCATTGAAGGCACCAGTCAGGCTCGTATGACCTGTAAAGATAATTATAACGGATCCTGCAGTGTGGAGTATATACCAACTGAACCTGGTGATTATGATGTCAGTATAAAGTTTGCGGATCAGCATATTCCTGGATCACCGTTCAAGGTCCAGGTTGACCGTATAGTTGACAGCAAGGATGTCACTGCCTATGGTCCAGGATTGGAGCCTGAGAAGGTTCGCGAAGGTATCCCTGCGAAATTCATGGTGGACACTACGAAAGCTGCTCCTGCACAGTTGGATGTTAAACTTAAGACGGACAAGGGTCATATCCAGAAGCCAGAGATCAAGGAACATGGCGATGGTCTCTATGAGGTCACCTATCAGCCAACACCAGCTGGTAGTAACGTTCAAATTGGTGTTACTTACGGCGGTCAGGATGTCACTGGAAGTCCATTCAAGATCAAGGTCAATCCTACTGTCGAGCCTAGCAAGGTCGTACTTTCTGGTCCAGGGGTAGCTCCAAAGTGCACCGCTTCCTTCCCTACCGAGTTCATCGTGGACACTTCCAAGGCTGGATATGCTGATTTGGAGGTTCAAGTTTTGGTAAGGAGCACGTGACTTTATTATTTCTAAAACAAGTACTCATACGTGAACTTCCGGTTGACTTTAAATCCATCTACTTCTGCTCCAGGGTCCTGATCAAGTCCCACGCAATGTCGAAGTCCAAGATATAGGCGATGGAAAGTTCAAGGCCAAGTATTTGCCTGACGATTGCGGCAGGTACAAGGTCAATGTGAAATATGGCGGCAAGGAAGTACCTGGAAGTCCAGCTAGTGTGCAGAGCGTCTCCACCGGAAAGGCTGATCAGTGCAAGATCAAGGAAGGCATTCAGCGTACCTTGGCCCAGGGTGAGGAATACTGTATAACCGTGGACACTGAAAATGCCGGCCGGGGTGCAGTCACCTGTCGCATCCGTTCCAGTTCTGGAAGGTAAGTGTATTTCTGATTTTCAAAATCATCGGTCAAGAAATATATCTAATTACTATCTAGCTGTATTCCAATTTCAATACTTACGTAAGCCTGCTCTGATGTTTTTCATGAAACAGTGTAAGGAATGCAGACGTGACGGCACCGTACTGACGGCTTTTTTTTTTTTTTTCTTCTATAAATGATATTTCCATGTGGTTTCCGGACGTTCGGACATACATAAAAATGTGTATTTTTGAATCGTCTCCGTGACCCTAATACCGCATTTATTTTTAATCGGCAATCACTTTCTAACCTAACCTAACCTACCTTTATCTGTTAGATTCAAAGAAAATCATCCACAAGTATTTGTTTTCTTCTTTGAATCTTGATATTTGAATTACTATCATCTTATTTTCAAAGTCTTGTCTTCCCTCTGGTGCCTGGTCGTTAGTTGTATCGGTGTACATATGTTTCTGACAGCCTGAATATATATGTACACTAAGAGGATTCCAATCCAGTGGGTGGAGTCGGAAGCTTAAATTTAAAAGATCTCTTAAACACTTTCATCCCACTCGGCGCCACTTGAGCAGAAGCATTCGCACATCGTAAATCTTATGAACTCCGTTCTGTAATGATGACTGTTCTATCTAACTCCTGTTCTTTAATTGTGTTCTAGATAGATAACGATACGTAAACAATTGCGTTTCCATTGGTGAAAATATTATCTGGTTTAGAAATTTTTATTATACAACTGACCATCTAGCCTGTAAGGTTGCAGACTTCGGTCTTGCGAGTAACATTCATGTTGGAATTTTTATAACCTTTTTTTTTAAAGATCATATACATATCATCCACCTTAAATTACCAGACTCAGGATGCGCCATGATGAATGGTGACCGAGTGGATATCCTGTTTTTAAAAGAACGGGAATAGCCGCAGATTCAAAATGAAATGTTCTTGTGGACTAGGTAGTAAAAAAAAAAGGAAAAAAGGTTCAGCTAAAAATGTTTCATTTCAGTAAAATCCAAAATAGTACTTCCGGTAGCTATATTAATTATATATGATTTCTTTCAGAATTCACTGGTCCTGTTACTCTCCTAGTCAACTCCAGTCCTTTGCCTCCGACTCCTATCAGACTTTTGGCAGAGATCACTGTCATTACTTCTCAGGGATTAGTCTTGTTGCACTCTGATTTCATAGTACCGGCACGAAACTACGTGTAATAGTTGATGACTCTATTCGTCGTCGCACACTGTCATCATTGCTGGGACTGAACAGGTGGAGCATAGTTATGGCAGATAATTTTCGAAAATTCAAACGAATAGTCTTTAATAAGAAGGATACCAGAAAGTCCAAGTATTAAAAACTGCACATTAAAATCAGCTTACTAGTCGCAGTGTGATGTTTAGAAAGATTTATTTATCTTAATTTTAATTAAAATTCACTCCGGCGTATAATTATACCGAGTAACCGTACTCGATGACTGTATATATTTAAGCGTGAATCTCGTTTTAAAAAATTCCTTATATTTATCAAGTTTCAAGTAATACGTCTGTCGACGCCGTTACGACGCGTAAGCATTATACGTCGATCGTCGTGATGATTATAAAATTTCTGCGTGCGTTCTGTCGCATACACAATTGTATTTTTAGCCGCCTAACACTGTAAGCTTGACTTTGTAACTTTATAGCCAGTCAGAGTTACGATTCGGACTCAGTCGCCGGCCAATACACTATAACGTACGATCATATGAATAATCTGACAAGTACAAAATAATACCACACGCGTCTAACCTATCAGCGTATGCAAATACTTAGCGAAAGTTGTGAATTACAATTGACTAATGCATTTAATATGAAAATCTATTAAGCTATATTTTATTGAGAAGCACAAAGATCAAAGGAACGCAGTAATATTCAAAGGATAACTGTTCGAAGATTCGTTACAATTTTCCTTATTTTAACTCCAAGCTACCAGTTACTAATTAAACCGCTAATGGGTTTGTTTGACGACGGCACACGTCTACGTTCTGCATTGCGGGCAACTGTCCGGCATGTAATTTCGCAGACAGCTGTCGACACCCGTCCTCCAACTACTCACTGCGAATGCACTGTATTTCTTTTAGTCGAAGCGTGACTTTTTAGGTTAATTTATTATTTTTCTACTTAGTCGATGCTTATAGTATATAATTCAACGTATTTTTATTATTTACAAAGCCACGCGCAGTCGCATCGCTCCGTTGTACAGTCTTGTCTAGGATTCTACAATCACGTGTAAAAAGTCATCAGATCTCGACTGTGCAACGACGAATTCTCGGCACCTGTCGTCTCGTTGATCATCCCAAGATCTTTTTCCGTTTATACAAGCAGCTCTGCCAGCTTGACTTCTTCTTGAATTATCTAGACAAACCACGTGGTAGTCTAATCCATAGCGTTCTTGTAATTAATTGTTATTTTTTTACTCGGTATAGAAAATATCTACTGCGCAGTATCTCTTGAGCCTTACGTAAGGTTTCTGTAGTTAATTGTTTATTCCGGCTCGATATAGAAAAGGTCGATGAAAACCCGTATACCGTTATCTCGATTAAATGAATTGTTATTGTTTCCGTTATGCGATTTCGCCATATCAGCCAGAGCGTAAGGAGACCCCTTACGTGCGTGCCACTGGAAAATTGTTCTGTGAAACAAACGATATTCCAGTTCTATTTTCGACGTCCCATAATCCTGTGCGCTATGTTAACACCCAAGGCCGTGACGTAAATTTTAGGCCGTAGCGCCGTTTTCGTTTATTTCTCCAAAAGAGTATTCCTGTGGCACTGGACGAAACACCGTGAACCTTTCATAGTCAAATGAGCAGCCTCGACTTTTATGCAAGAGTTTTATATTTTTTTATTAACAATTTTTTTTTTCTTTACAGCGAAGTCCTGGACATTGATATTGACGACAATGGAGATGGTACCGTGAATATTTATTATACTGTCGCGGATGCTGGCGAGTACACACTCAGTATCAAGTTCGGAGGCCAGTCCATTCCCGATGGCTTTTATACCTTTACGGTGAGTAAATTTGATCTTTTTTTTGAACGAATAAAGAAATGTTCGTCATATACCACAATATATGTATATATCGCCATACTGGCTATACAATAATTATATAGAAACCACTAGGGAATCTGGGACAACGAGCGTGGGCTAATTGGAACACGTGCTACGACATCGTACGAGCCAAGAATCTTTCCCGATCGACATGTTCTACAGGATTTTCGGACAAACGTTTATTATTAGATTACAAGCTCATTGCTTATCATATAAGATCGTACGATACGATGAAAATAATCTTACCATACAATTATCTAATTTCGCGAGCGATGCGAATATGATATTTAGTAAAATTCTTATACTGCGAATTTCGCAATTTAATCCAGGTCGAATACCACGTAGCATCTCGGTCCATTTGTTTCTCTTACATCAAGAGGGATGCCTGGATGCTGGGACACTCGAGAATTTATAATACTTAGCTCTGCTACCGTCCTGAGACCATGTGCCAGTCATATAACTAGCTACACGTTACTTAATTCATACATAGGGATTAATGCATAAGAGATGGATTAGACAGGTATGACAGCTGTCATTTGACAGTTCAGGTTAGATAGTATTAGGTAAAATTGTATTGTTCAGCCCGATTCGAATATACGTGGATCCTTGGACAATGGCCAATTCGATGGAAGCGATAAAATCAGTGGATGTGACGCGTATCGACAATGTATTTGGTAGAAATTTCAAAATTTTTCTATTTTTCAGAAGTATCCCAATATACGAAATACCAACGAGCTATTAAGCCAGTACGTCAACGTAACGAGTTTCATTCGGAGAAAATTTTCGTGACGAGCACGTAACGTCGGAGTCGAGGATGCAGTGGAAACCGAGCCAGAAATCAGCGACACTTTCCTGGAATAATTTTTGAATGAGTCTCGGGTGGTCGTCGCATTTATCCAATTAACCGAGTTGTCGGAGTGCTTGCGCTCTTGTCAGTCCTGCTGGGAGACAACTTCAGCCAGGAATTGCAACGTTAACCTAGAGCTGGTATGGCGGAATCAAGAGGAGGAAAAAAATGAAAGAGAAATGTGTAACGTGTGTTCGCGCGATTCTGATGGCTCTTCGTGATCTTTTGGTGGTTTTCGCTATTCGCCCCCCTGTGAGCGGGTGGGGGAGCGTAAAGCGTGTCTAACTATAGAGGCTAACACGTACAGGATATTGTCGCGAAGACTCCAGCGACACAGTTCTTCCCGAGGGCTCAACCTGATCGCATCAGTCGATTCGTTTATACATAGTAGCATCCTCGACCTCGTCTACGGCGACGTCGCCATCGCGAGGTACCCACGAGACACGTTGACGTATAAATATTGTACACGTACATTGCCAACTAATAATAAGCTTATATATACATGTACACGTATATACGTAGGTTCATGCGTTACGCTTAGCTATGAATTAAGATCTGATTTATAAGTGGCGACTTTTTACTTAAGCGCGTTAGGGCCCTTAGGGTCTGGTTGTGTTTGGACTTTGACATTTAAGGACCTTTTGTGCGTTGTACTTGCGTCGAGTGCATTGGCGCTCTATTGGAGGTTTTGTTTTCTGGTATATACACAGTTTTAGGTGGTTCAGTTATTCTGGGGGTACAAGGGATTGTATTGGCGAGTGGGCGTATCAGCGGGCTTTTGTTTCCTATCGTTGGATTCTAGTAGTGAATATCGCATGGTATAATTAGACAGCTAGGATAGACAGTGCACACCTTGTTAAGATACTATACGCTTTTACAAGCTCGGCAGAAGTTGATGCGAGACTGCAGGATACGTAAGTAGAAATTGCTTGAGTGGGTCAGACAGCTATTAGAGGCGAGAAGTGCGGGTCTAATATCGTTGGATGGCTGTGAAGAGTGCGAAGACAGTGCTTGATAGTTTTTAGAGTGGGTATACGGCATCAGTGCTTTTTTTTTTGTATAAGTTTGACGTGGCCTAGAATGAGGAAAAAAAATAAATAGAGAATAGTTAGAAACGTATGAATTGTGTAAAGAAGACAAATTAAGGTAAATCTAGATAGATGGTTATTTAGGTTTGGCGAGATTTTTGAAAAATATTTGACCCCTTCGAAAGGCTCTTTGACTGAGACTGCAAAAAATTTTGTCATGTAAAATCATAGTCATATGTGCGACGGTGGATTTTAATGGCGAGGAAGGAGAAGAATGTATTTTTTGGATTTTCAAACGTGTTTAAAATTAGGCTAAAAATGCGAAATTTATCTTTACAATTTTTTATTGATTTATAGAAAATCAATATCGGACCTTGTAACGGGAGCTGAAATTCAATCCATCTTCCTTGGAGCAGAGTTAAGGCGGCTATTGGTAGAAGGCAGGAACCCACTAGATCCCAAGACTATTTCGAGTTGCTGTTGGTGCTTCGTAAATTTATTAGCTAAGCTAGCAAGAGCAAGTGAGGAGACATCAGTGGCACAAGGGTTTACCAAGAGAAGCGAAGAGAAATAGAAAAGAGAATAAGAGAGCAGTAATAGGCCGTAGGTGGAAGCCACGAAGAATCGGATTAATGTCCATCCAGTTATATTAAACGTCTGGTTACGATTTTTGGAACTATTTTCTTTGGGTATACTCATAATCGGAATTCCGTTTACAGTAGTTTATTTGTACGGCCACTCGGTATTTAGTAAAATTGTAATAATAGCCTGAAAGAAGTGTAAAATATTTTAGGCCGGTTATTGCCTAGTACCACGAACCCGGACATTATAGAGTCTCGAGGCTACTGCTCTTCAGGATCCCGATGATGAACTTTACCGAGGAACGGGTACGGCAGCTGCCGGGGAAGACGTTGCTTATACTACTCTCGTGGGAGCAATGTGAAATATTCGAAAATAGCTAGAAATGCCGCGCGACTCCTAGTGCGACTATCTGATTGTGCCGTCCGCCTCCACCGCCTTCACCGGGAGACCCTGTTTCCTGGCTTAGCTATCACCCTTTACCCTTTATAATAGTCGCTGGTGGGGGGCTGGGTAACTATTATAGTAGCATTGAATTCAGCATTGTGCGTTCAGTTGTTGAATTTGCGCGATGCGGATTTGTAGACAGTGCAGTTACAGTTATCGTATTTTCATATAGATTAATAGTTGAGGTAATAGAATTTTTATAATAATTATAACAGTTTTGTAATTCAAATTAGTACCTGAGTCGAATATTAGTTGGTACTGAAATGTTTAATAATGATAATAGTTTTAGGACATTCGATGATTTTCCTCGATGCGCCATTTTCCAAGGATCTTTTGACAGTTGCGTAATGAATTCCACGTATGCATGTTTATGCACTTTGGCTGGTCACCAGCCCCGTGATATCTGGGTCTCATAATCGAGATCCATTCCTAATGCTGGTTGTCTGAACCCCTTGGCAGGATCATTTTTGAACAATCCTGTAGGATTTAAAAAAATATATATTTACTGTTTATGAACATTGAACGACAATCGTTGTATCGATTATTTCAGGCTTCCGAGGAATACAGGGAACACAGCACCCACAAGACTCACCGTGCGAAAAAGACTCAGCAGCGTCAGGAACAACGCGTTGTCGAGCAACACAGCACAAGCGTGCAGGAGAGTTCGAGTGTGACAACCAAGCGCAGCACAACACAGCAGGAATCGTCGAAAAAGAAGTTCAGGGACGTACAGTTGAACAATATTGTATTGCCATCGACAGGAGGCCGTATCACCGGTGAGTAAACCTAACTTACGATATTTGATTTCTCAATAAAGTCAATTATTCAGATTGTCTACCGCGTCGCCGCCATCTTGTTCCCACTACTATCGTCTATGGAAAATTCCGCCAACCACGTGTCCAGTCGGTATACGCGACTGCTGCGGATGTGTGCTTTTTACGAAATTCCACCAAGGTAGAAATTCCTGGCGGTCAATAAGAGATCGCGTGCTGCGCCGTTTCCATGTTTTATAAATACACCCAAAGGAAATAGCGGAACGATTTGAAATTGTACGGGGCGACGATCGGGGGATGCTTGCGAAATCTAGTGACTTGGCTGGACTTTATTTTCATTGGAACGTCTCGAGAGTCTCGATGTTTTCTCCAGCCGTGACGGTTACTCCCTGACTACTCGTGCGGCTTCGCTATTATAGTACAGAATTGAGCAATGTTCAATCGGTTGTTTCGTGTATAAAAGTTCGGTAGACTTGACTGATTGTCGGACTGTTTGAACGTGGCTGCGCATGCGCACAACGCTTTTTCTTGGTTGACGGTTATGTAGCCTTGTTAGCTACACTGGTTAGTAGCAATAAAACGTAGGAAGTTACTTCACATTAATGATTCTCGCCTCCGTGTCGAAAACGCGTCTCGTGACGGACGCGACAGGTTCGCACTCCTCGGGGTTGTCGGTTCTCCTTTTCCTCGCCAAAAATATGAAGCGCCCGGGCTCCTTGCGTCTGGATGGTAGATGGTGTCGGAAGCGCAAGCTGTTCGTGATATTAATATTGGGTGATTAAGTAGCCCGGATGCGCACTCGTGGTTGGCCAAAATCACGGCAGAAACCTCGAGTTTTCCGCACGGAAGGAGATTTACTTTTATTTCCGTTTTATCTTGCACCGGTCAACTTTTGGCTAGGTTGATATTTTAGAAAAGTAAATCACGATAAAACGAACCTGTTAAAAGTTAACGACGAAAAGTTCTACCACTATTATTTGAACGATCTCTGATATACTTTGGCGATTGCATAATTTTTTGAAAAAATCTCAAATAGTCTCATTCTTTTTTTCTCTTCACCTTCTCTTCGAGAGTAACATTGGAAAATACAAGTTTCCGGTATTAAGCTGATATGTCATCGAGAAAGACGAGACTTGGATCTAAAATGACAAACGGCGGACAGCTTGTCCGGTCACCAATATAATGGCAGTTGCTGTCAGCAAACGAAATTCGTCGTTTCCTCAGGCTGCGACTATAAAAACGTGCGGTCGGGTTGCATGACTCGTTGAAAGCTTGAATAAAAAAAAATTGCCACCGGTACCCAAAAATCGTGCCAATTTCGATTTATTTCAATCGTAAGACCAATGGCGGTCACGAGACAGGAAATTGAAAAGAAGAAAAAAAGTGTCGGTAAACAAGAAATCTACAACGACGAAATTTTCAAAACGTCCCGCGTCCCGATAAACAAACTTTGATAAACCACCAACATTATGTCCGATTCGCGTTATTTGATCGTGCATTAGTCCGTTTCACGGGAGTCGACGAAGAATACTGTTTATTTGACTTGGATCAATGCTACCAGCATTTCCACATAAAATAAATCGCATCCACACAGAATCCACAGTAGCATCTCCAGCACCTACCACGTGCCGATTTGTATTACAATTGTATATTTATTCAAAATAATCCAAAAAATCCCCTAATTAAACAACTTTAGCCCAATTCAAATCATCATAGTCTGATCTTGCTCGTGAACAAATATTCCAAAACGTCGATGATCGTCTTCCTGGACACGTTGGAAGGTTCACGTATACACCCCCTTTACCATAATTCATACACCTCCGCACCTGTTCTATATATTTTCTTATCCCAGGTGAAGACCCACCACCGCATGAGTAACAACAGTCCTCGTCATCATTTCCGCGATTCCTGGGTGGCCACAGCTTCCACCACCTAGTGGAACCCCTTCCTCGTCCTCTTCGCTCCCTCTGGTGCTTCTTCCATCTTTCTTCCTCTCTTCCTCTCTAACCCATATAATCCAAGTCGACCTGGTCTTGGAACCCCTGGGAGGTAACGGCGCCTGCGTGGGACCCTCCCTTCCCCTCGCACCCCCCTTACCCAACCTCAACACATGACGAGTCGTTTAATAGACATAAGCGCCCAACTAATATATCACATCCTGCCTCTGGCTTCTGGAAAAGAATTCGCCGGGTAACGTGTGCGGCAATCGGGGCTGCCATCTTGATACTGTCCCACCTCGGAACTGGTGGCATCCTCAGTCGTGCCGGAGTTGCGCCTCAGAGTGGTACCGCTGGAGAATCATTGGAGAACGTTACGATTTGATTGAAGAAAAAAAAATTTTTTTTTTTCTCTGTATCAATCCGATACATCGCGTTGAATTGTATTATTGTATTTTTATTATTTAATTCGTGATTGGTCGTTCGTTCGCTTTTGGTTGTTTCTCTTTTAAACCGCGTATACCGATATCGGGTTGAGGTGCACGTGTCAACGTTTTTTGGAAATGCTTTGGGAAGACTCCGAGGAAGTGGTCACCACGTGGCAGGAGATATCAACCTATTATAGAGCTTGGCTGAAAAATCTTACCTGCAGCGAATTCGATCGTGCCGAACGCGGACCTATCTGTTACGCTATTCAGGATACGAAGGAATCGAACGGACCTGGACTGGACTTCGCGCCGTTGGTCTTTCAGAGTCTTTACTACGTTCACACGCGAAAAGGTTTTCTTTTGCGTATCTTTTACGTGATACAAGCAGTATGGTAGATACTGGAGGGTAGAGTAGCTCGCGAAGGGGGGAGACTTTGAAATTCGTATAATAAAAAGACTCGGCAGAGTCTGGCGCCTAATACAAGGCAACCGGTTGTACAGACTTTTTTTAAGGCTTCGGTTGAACGATTCAAAATTCCCGCGCTTTCTAGATCAGTTTCTTGATAAAGGACTCCGATATGTGGGTCGCGTCTATTTTCTACAATAGGAAAATAGATGTTGGAGAAAAACAAGTATTGTTTACGATTATTTTCCATTCGATAACCAATAAACAAGATTTGTTTATATCGTTTAAACGGGAACATCTGTCGTGTGTTTATAACCTTTTTTTTTTTTATTTTCTAGATACCAAGATGCATGCGTCATTCGGTGAAAGTCTTTTTTTTTTTTAACCTTTTCTACCGACTAGATCGCAGGGCGTGAATATTATTGGGCAAGGGTTTTGGCACTGAATTGAAAACAGCGTTGACATTATTTTTTTCACGTCACTCATGCTTCGTTACTCAGGATCCTAATTCGTGTCTGTAAAATTGTTCTCCTTGGATTTCCCAATTTCTCGTCCATTTTCTATATTTACTCGTTAAAATGCATCTTTTGGAAATAACGATCAATGTAATTGACATCGTTTTTGAGAATTTTATAAGGTCGGGTCGAGTTCATAAAAATAGGGGCTGTGGTGACGGAAGAGTTTTGGAGAGGGGTGGTATGAGGGGGGGGGGAGGAGGAGGTCGCCGCGAAAATCGTGGGTGGATAAAGTCAAGCGGATCGTGAATTTCGAATTTTAAATATAGTTTTGGCTTAACAGATGCGTTGGAGTCTCCAGTGAAAATATTTATTCTTTTTATTTTATTTTTTTGTTTCACGCGCTTATAAGAAAATTATTTTTATCCAAAATATCCTTAGTCGTGTTTATTGCTTGCAGTCGTGCGGATCAACGTGTAGAATTTTCGTAGCGTAGTTTTTTTTAAATTTATTATTAAAATAATTTTTTTTTTATTTATTCGATGTTTATTATACTTTTTGTCGTCTTTTATTTTTTTTATAAAAAAAATTTTTTGGTCTTTGTTCTAGCTGAAGTCAAAATGCCTAGTGGGAATGTAGATAAACCAGTGATCGAGGATAATCACGACGGCACTGTTTCCATCAAGTATGAACCCCGTGAAGAAGGTCTTCATGAGGTCTACGTGAAGTTCAACGGAGAACATGTGCAGGGTAAGGTTATAAATTTTGGATTTTCTATGATAATTGACGTGTGGGATCTTAGAAAGATAATTGATGTGTAATTTTTGTTTGCAGGATCTCCATTCAAGTTCCACGTGGACTCTCTGTCCAGTGGATATGTCACCGCATATGGTCCGGGCTTGAGTTATGGAGTCTGCGGAGAACCTGGAAACTTCACTGTATCTACTAAAGCTGCCGGTGCTGGAGGTTTGTCCTTGGCAATCGAAGGTCCTAGCAAGGCTGAGATATCCTGTCACGATAACAAGGATGGTACCGTTTCCGTTTCTTATCTTCCTACTGCTCCCGGAGAATATAAGATCTCTGTGAAGTTTGGAGACAAGCACATCAAGGGCAGTCCCTATGTTGCTAAAATTACTGGTAAGTTTTTGGACTTGCGATCCTTGACTTGATGACTCTTAAGAGACAAAATTAATAATAAATATTTTTTTATACCTTAGGCGAGGGCAGGAAGCGCAACCAGATCTCTGTTGGATCATCCAGCGAGGTCCAACTTCCGGGTAAGGTATCAGATACCGAAATCCGCTCCCTGAACGCTTCCATAACAGCACCAAGTGGTCTTGAGGAGCCTTGCTTCCTGAAGAAGATCCCCAGCGGTAACATGTGCGTCTCCTTCACACCCAGAGAGGCTGGAGAACATACGGTAGCCGTGAAGAGGATGGGCAAGCACATTCCCAACTCTCCGTTCAAGATCGACGTGAAGGACCGTGAAGTGGGTGACGCGAAGAAGGTCAAGGTGACCGGAAATGCCCTTAAGGAGGGCAAGACTCAGCAGGAGAACACATTCTCGATTGACACCAGGAACGCTGGCTTCGGTGGACTCTCCTTGTCAATGGAAGGTCCCAGCAAGGCTGAGATACAGTGCAAGGATAACGAGGACGGCACTCTTAATATTTCCTACAAGCCCACCGAGCCCGGATATTACATAATGAATCTCAAGTTCGCCGATCACCACGTCGAGGGTTCGCCGTTCACCGTGAAGGTCTCCGGCGAGGGTAGCAACAGGCAGCGGGAGAAGATTCAGAGACAGCGGGAAGCTGTTCCTATAACTGAGGTCGGTAGCGAGTGCAAGCTCACCTTCAAGATGCCCGGGATAACCTCTTTCGACCTGGCCGCGACTGTGACGTCGCCAGGAGGCGTCACGGAGGACGCTGAAATTAAGGAGGTCGAGGATGGCCTCTATGCAGTGGCCTTCGTACCCAAGGAACTCGGCGTCCATACCGTATCCGTACGGTACAAGGAGATGCACATTCCTGGATCACCCTTCCAGTTCACCGTTGGTCCATTAAGGGATGGCGGTGCCCATAGAGTTCACGCCGGCGGACCAGGATTGGAGAGAGGAGAGCAAGGTCAACCCTGTGAATTCAATATCTGGACCAGGGAAGCTGGTGCTGGAACACTGGCAATTTCCGTGGAAGGACCTAGCAAGGCTCAGATCGACTTTAAGGATCGTAAGGACGGTAGCTGCTACGTTAGCTACACCGTATCCGAGCCTGGTGAGCATACGAAAACTATTGCTAAAGATACCGTAGGCGTTCTAGAATCTCTAGTGCTTTTAAATATATATTCTTTTTCCCTCCAGAGATTGTAACAGCCACGCTTCCTCTATTTCTCTTTTTGTCTCCGTCTAACAACACGTGGATCCTTTCCTAAACCATTAAAGACGACAGCTGCGGTAACACGATAGTGGTACTAGCGAATTTAAAAGCAAATAAACATGATGAAATCGAGGACATTCATAATGGGAAGAGCGATGGTACTTTATGGATCCAGATATACTTTGTATTTGATAAGTGACTTGGATGCTGTTCAGACGAACCTGTACTATAGATATTTAGAAGCATCAGGATACACGTGGGTACGCGTTTATCAAAGCAATAGAGCAAAGTTAGTCAAGCAACAAGAATTCCAATCTAATTAGAGTCACCAATCCATGTACTAATACCGTGTTATTCCCTGGTAGTGATTTCCAAGACATCGCTCATCCTGTACTCATTCTCAAGGCATCGATCCACATTCATTCGCGCCAGGGTCCAGCCGGCTTAAGATACTCCTAGTATATTCAACAGACCATTAATCTCAATGTGTGTACACACTCTGGTATTTCCTGTCTCTGAAAATTGCTTCTTCTATACTGGTACCACCGGTACCACTGGTCCTATCGCTTGGTACCGCTTCCACCTAGTTCAACCTGACCTGAGTGAATTTATCACCAATCGGACACATATCCTCCTCGCGTATGTTGACGTCTTTTCGAGTGGGTGGTACTGTATTCCACATATGAAGTGAGAGAGAGAGAATTATTCATCCTCTATCGTGTGTGGGCTCCATCTCTCTCTCTCTCTCCCTCCCTCTCTCGGTCGTCCAGAAATATCGCCGGCTATATTTGTTAAGGGGATTCATAATTTGGCGCGAGTGGACCGCCGCCGGTCCACTCTGCTTAGTGTGCTTGCGATAGGGTGATGCTGGTTATATTTGGGTTTTGGTGTAGGACGAAACGGAGAATGAGAGACGGGGAGAAAAGGCTCCTCTGAGTTGGTTTTGGTGAGGCATAGTCGATGGGAAGGGAGAGAGAGAGAGAGAGAGAGAGAGGGTTTATTGGATTTACAAGAGTGGGACAGAGACAGATAGAGAAGGTTGAAGGAGTTTGGAGGTGGTGGGACCATTTTGGTTCGCCAGCCGGATTCTCATAGAGGAAAGTAGTGGTGCGCGACCAAGCTTCGTTGGAACAGCTGCATTTATTAGATACATTAGAAATCTTTATATCTTTTTTCTCTTCTTTTTTATCTTTCGCGATTTTTTGTTTTTCACATTAAAATTCTTCGAAGCTCCTTTGCGTTTTCGTGAAACGAGCTTTGAACTTTTTTTTTCTTCTTTCCTCCCCTCCCCTGGTAATACACCTCACCGGAACAGGATGTCGACCTTCACTGCTTGCAAGAAAATTGTTCTCGCCGGAAATGGCGTCGCGGAAGTCCAGGACGATGGTCAGTTCAGTGTGGATAACGCGACTGTCCCAGTGACAGTAAGCTTGGACGATTGTCACGCTACCGTCGACCTTGAACTTGCATGAACTCTTGGATCTATATCAGGGATCTCTATGACAGAGATTCCTTTCTTTGGATGTGTGACTGTGACACGTGAATCGTGGATGATGATTTCGTTAATGACAGCCGATATATTTCTTGTGAAATTTCAGGCGAATACAGAGTGGGCATCAAGTTCAACGATCAACACATCCCTGATTCACCCCATAAAGTCTACATATCCCACGCCATGGGGGATGCTCATAAGCTCGAGGTCGCTCAGTTTCCTGACAGCGGGGTGCAACCTGACAAGCCAGCCACCTTCCTGGTCCGCAAGAATGGCGCCAAGGGTGAATTGGATGCTAAGGTAGAGTATTGTAAAAAGATATTCAGAAAAAAAGAAAGAATTTGCACTATCGTATACAGTGACCACCTGAAATCACCCTTGTGGAAGAGAATAATTTCTTTTTGTCTAAGAAATAAAAATTATGACCAAGAACGTTCAATAAGCGGCTTGGATGAACTGTTTTTATTAGTATCTGAGGGAATTCTCTATTTTTCTCAAATTCCCAAGATATATCCACGCTCGGATTTGTTGCGCAAACCAGAACGAAAATAGCCTGGCTGTTGTGAAACAGTCCAATGCTACATGATGGTGCGTAGGCACGAGAAAATATGTAACAGCCTCTATACTTATATCTTCCTTTTGAGAGACTGATTAGTTAAGTACATACTAGACAATGCCTGTGTACGTAAAATCTTCCACTTGCCTTTTGTATTTGTATGAAGTCTTCAGGTCTGTTTATTTTTTCAAGTACACACCCTGTATATTTACACACGGAGGCTACGGTATCCGTCCCTATAAAGTATAGAGAGAATGAGAGACAAGATTTGAAAAATGGAGCATAAAAGTCAAAGGGAGTTAAAGGGAAAAAAGACAAAGGGTCTGGCAAGGGCCCATCAAGAAAACGATCTCTTCCTGATGGAGAACAGCTGTGGTCCATATGGCTGGGACCTTGACAATGCGTCTAAATCTAGCTGGTGACTTGATGATGACTATGGAACGTGGAACGTAGTCACCCCCTGATGATTTGAATAGAAAAAGAAGGCGGGAAGCAGAATCTTGGTAATTTCGTTAATTGTTTGTTTTCTCATCAACAGATAATCTCACCCAGTGGCATCGAGGATGATTGCTTCATCCAGTCCATCGACTCGGACACTTACTCAGTTCGCTTCATGGCCCGTGAAAATGGCATCCATAATATTCACTTGAAGTTCAATGGCGTCCACATATCCGGTAGTCCTTATCGTATAAAGGTCGGTAAGGTCGACGCTGATCCCGCAGCTCTGCATGCCTACGGAAACGGACTCACCGAGATCAAGACGGGACAGAAGACGGACTTCATAATCGATACCTGTAACGCCGGCGCTGGAGCACTTGCCGTTACCGTCGATGGTCCCAGTAAAGTAGCCATGGACTGTACCGAGGTCGAGGAAGGTTACAAGGTCAGGTACACACCTCTGGTACCTGGGGATTATTATATCAGTGTCAAGTACAACGGTTACCACATTGTTGGTTCACCCTACAAGGTCCCATGCACCGGTGAGTACTTACATCTAGACATTCTGCTGAACTGGATACAAGCTCCGGGGCCTTATTGGGGACCTTTTCGCTTGCAGGTGCGGATCTCGCTGAGAGAGGGGCCCAGGAGACGAGCTCGGTAGTCGTGGAGACTGTACAGAAAATCTCAAAGTCCAAACAGACTGGACCAGTCTTGCCTCTGTTCAAGTCCGATGCCAGTAAGGTCACCAGTAAGGGAATGGGCCTTAAGAAGGCTTATATTGGCAAGCAGAATCAATTTAGCGTCAATGCTGCGGATGCTGGTACGTATACTGGAGATTTATTGTATCTGATCTTCATTTATCATTATGTATAACGAATGTTAATTTATTATTTCTTATTCAGGTAACAATATTCTCTACGTTGGTGTCTACGGGCCCAAGGGCCCCAGCGAGGAGGTTCAAGTGAAACACGCAGGACGCAATAATTACAACGTTAATTACGTGGTGCGAGAGAGGGGAGAGTACATTGTAATCGTTAAGTGGGGCGATGAGCATATCCCGGGTTCACCTTACAAGGTTGATGTTTAAGAGTCTCGAGGACTTTTTCTTTTTCATAACAGTGAGATTGTTAATATTGCCAATTCGTGAGAGAGTAATCCAGTCGACTTATTGTCCAGCCTTGAGTTTCGTTAGATTTTACTTGCGACTGGTTTCCATGTCTCCCCCACTTCTTTTCCCTCCTCGCTCATCCCCTTTCATCCCGAGACCTTGCGCCCACTTGCTACTTTGACACCTTCCGTGTTAAAAATTTGATAAAGCTGTTTATCTTATGTAAATGGCGCGTCTATTCGGTATATACGTATATTGCTGTGTCAGCGATAAATTGACAATAAATTGACGCGATGTCGGATAATTATTGAAATTACGCGATATACAAATTAATTATGTGAGCGGAAGTCACCAAAGTAGATGTAAAGGGTGCGCACGTGGGTGAGTTACTCATATGCGAAAATCGACGTGCCTTTCGATATCCTATTTTATTATAAACTATGCACATGTCATGCCATACGAATCAAATCCTAATTGCATTATATAGCATTATAACTATGTTATCGGTAATTATGTATAGATTACATATATTGCATATTGTCTATTATACATTAATGTAGAAATAAAAACTAATATATTTATTAAGACCTTTGTAACGTTATTTATTAACACCTGGCCCCTTATTAATTACAGGGATGAACATTGTAGCGAGCATGAAGGAGAATTATCTCTTGTACATAATGAGGATATTTTAATCGATCCTTCATGTCTTGGGGAGATGAAGGGGGGGGATGATAAATTGGATCTCGAGAAGCCGACAGCTATTTTTTTTGTAATCTAACCGGTGAGGTACGTGTAACAATTTTTTTTTTATTTTCAATAATTTCAATACACCTGCACGCGTCGAGGCTGCAGCTGCAACACGAAGAAATATAACGTTATGACGTGGAACACGTGGAAAAAAAGAAGGTAGGCGAAACACGCGAAAGCGTCCATTTTGAATTTCTCATGAGATACCAATGACGTTTCAATAAATTACGTAGGAGGGCAGACTCTCAGGTCGATCGAAAGAGGGGGGGCTCATTTGATGAAATTGGCGCAGGGGTAAATCACCCTCATTTTTTAGATGCCAGAGGAGATTTAGAAAATTCGAATTCTCTGATAAAATCCATCCCACAGAAAATCGTAGCCTAATTCATCCCTCTGGTTATCGTACCGTTTCTCCGTTTACAGTGGATATAAAGCATATCCTGAACCCAGACAGGGAGGCTTGGAATAAGCATACGTAAAGCAAGAAGACGGTAGAAACATCCCCTAGCTGTTAGGGGATGTTAAGGACATTACGAAATAAGCGCACTCCCATAACTTCACGTCACGCTTAATCGCACCTGCTGAAAAACACCTGCCGCCTAGACGGGGTGCTAAAAACGATGAAAAAAGGTCATCGGAGAGGGTGCCGCAGGGGGATGGTCGTAGCTACTGGTGCCTGGTGGTCTTGGAAGGGGTTGCGTCGTGGCCCAGTTCACCCGGAGTTCGGAGTATCGACTCGATGAGGTTAAGGGAGGGTCGTAGGTACATAAAATCCCCCTGTAGATGTGCTTACTGGGTGAGGTAGGTAGGTGCGTCCCTCTTTTATAGGGTGGTTCGCGGAACAATACAGAGAAATTACAAAAGTCCCTGTAGGAGTAGGTACAACCTATACCTACTGTGTGGCGGTTGGAGAACCTCAAGAGTGCCGGCTCACTGTTCGTGGCTTCGATAGGACGGTAGGCGGCGCCTGCTGAGGTAACCTCCAGGTTTTGCGAGCAAGTTCGCAGGCGTGAAGGTAGCTGCTGGAGTTGCGCCGTTGGCTAACCCATCTGGTTAGAAACACGCCCCACCATACTTTAACCAACGGCCCTCTGTATAGCTGTCCTTCCCCCTCCTCAACTGGCTATTTATATTCCCGCTAGGACCCTCTGGTGGCAAATTACTCAATCACGGTTGCTGTTTCCATGGTAACAAACAAACTTTCGAATTATCGTCTCTACATGGAAGATCATAGCACAGGTAACCTGCCGCAAGATTTTGATACACCGAAACAATATATTTCTCTTGATTTAACCTAAAAGTGTAGAGAAAAAAGTGGCCGATCGTATCTCAAGTACTCCTCGTAATCATAGGTTATGACGCTTCGTGAGGTTCCTACCAATTCTCATGATTTCCTATGGACGGTAAGCGGATTTCGTACGTGTCTTAACGTCTGGACCAACCGGAGAAAAGTGTCTTATATTCAGCGATGAAAGAGGCTGCGTCAGCGCAGGTATAATAGAAGTCGCCTTTATGCTCTCGTCACTCCTGTATACATATAGAAACGCGGCGGAAGCGAAGCATCGTCCAAGGAAGCGATAGGCGGAGCTTTCCAATTCTCAGCCTCCAGCTACAATCCCACCTTTTATATATACGTCCTACCAGAAAAGGGAGATGGATTTTCCTCAAACTCTCTTTTACTTTCCGTTCTGTCTCGCTTACCTGCCAACTATACGGTACAACAGCCACAAGCTCTGCTACGTGGTAATGGGTCTTCTGTCTTATATACTGTATACTACGAGTACAAGTGTATACACTTGGCAAAGGAAATTTTCAACAGCATCACTACGGTACCACCTTCTGATCCTTTAGATCGTTAACTGAACTCATAGCTGTACATGTTTTGTATGCCAAGTATACATGTAGATATACACCAGCGCCATTTTGTCTGCCTTCCTTTCTTCTTTTTTTTTGCGTCTTGTTCTTTTTTCTCGAACCACCATTACTCTCCTTTCTTTTACCTTAATTGAAGCTTCTTACCTTACGGACGCGTCGGGAGTCACGAGATAAATATCTTTTTGTTTACATAAATTTTGTTACGGTTACGTAAATGCTTCTGGGCATCGTGAATATTTGGCTTTTTTTTCCGATTATTTTGCTTTCGGCGATTCGTGGAGATACAATAAGAGAGATCTGTTGTTACATTCCATGGTCGTTTTTATTGAGTACAGAACAACTTTGTGTTTATAACGCATCGTAGCGCCGTGTATTTACATGTTAGTTTTTTTTTTTTTTTCGAAATTTTTAATAACTGTTTGACATGTCCCCACGTGCGTGCTTCTTTTTTTTTTTTTTTCGACGCATCACAAAACGTACAGTAAGACAATTTTATCGCAGTTAAAGTAGACGGTCTTTTGTTATGTATACGAAGTCTTAGCAATTGTTAAAATAAAGAAAAAATGATTGTGAAAGTGCAAAATGAAAAAGAAAAAAAAAGTTATTACGTTTTCTGTAACATTTTGAAAATCGAGTCAGGCTTTTGCACGCAGGGGAAATACGTGATTCGTTTCTCTCACCGTATACGGACGAATCAGGCACGAAATATCGTTTTTACGCAAATGCAAAAAGTGCCAAGTTCGAATTTCCCGCTTGACAATTACAAAATTATCAGCGACTCGTAACCAGCAAGGTTCAAGAACAAAGTTAACGAATACATCGAAAAAAAAAAATGTATTACACTTTTTTTTTACTGATCGAGTTAAAACACAAAAAAAATATCTTTATCCGTACAGCTTTGTGCTGCCTTGAAGTCGCCCTTTGTTATTTTCATTTTCTTAGATGCACAGCCTCTCCTCAATTTTTTCCCTATCGTCGTACGTCACTCGATCATTCACTCATTCGCGAAAAAGGCTCAAAAATAAATATTCTAGAAAATAAGTTAATTCGCAAAAATCTTCGACGCGAAGGAACCTTCATTAGGTATTTTCATCGTAACGCACCTTTCGGGGGAAAAAAAAAACGTCCAGCGTCTCTACTTGTCATTTCAAACGTCACACGTGTTTAAGTACTTGAGGCATTGGACACGTGTATTTTCGAATTTATTATCCTCCTTTTTTTTTTCATTTTTTCCCTTTTTATTGATAAATCGGTGCACTAAGAAAAAAATTTCACGGGTGACAGTGCATTTCCGTTGACTAAATGGTATCGATCAATGACAATAACAATAGTAATGAAGAGTGATGTGATGGTGATGAGAACAGTGATAAGGAGAATGGTGAAATTCGTCGATAACAACGATAATAATAATAATAATAATAATAATAATGAGAGAACGGATCGATGACAATAATACGCGTTCACGTTACAATCTAAAAGTTAATTTACTAAGCGCTAAATACGTAACGGTATTTAAATCGTTAGTTTAACGTAATATACAAATATACAAGTGGCGTGTTTCCTTCTTCTTCTCTTTTTTTCATACATTTTTTGACAGGTCGATCAAATCTCTCGATCGATCGATCTCAGGTCGAACGAGCTTAGGTTCCTTGATAGGAGCAAGGAAACGCGTGTAAATCAGCTCTCGCGTGACGTCATTCTTTGGAAGGTTTCACATGTAAATCCGTCGCAGATCCGCCGGCGACGTAATCATGTTACATTGTGGACAGAGCTTTTTCGCGCCCTGTAATCACAGTGGGACCAAAACGCGATGAGGATAGAATGATTTAAATAAAAAGAAAAAAAAAAAGGAATTTGATTTTTGAATAAAAATATTTTTTTTTTAGTATAAAAATAAAGGGACTCACCAGCGTGTGTAGCCAACACTGTTCGCAATGCACGTGCCAGCAGCATACCGACGTCACAGGCTTCTTGTATTGCTCCTGAGTAAATGCAGGATATAACGATGATTAAAGTTGAACCGAGCGAGGTCAAAGGTCACGTAAGTAATATCAGGTCGTATAAAATTTACCATGCAAATGAGACACTTGAACGGCTGTCCACGCATTTCAGCTTCCAGCTCGCGGATGCGACCTCTCAGTGCTTCCACGACCGGAGTCTCACCGTCCCTAGGTACTGCCGGGGAATTCCTCTCGGGTTCCTCGTTCTCGTTCGGCTGCGTCAACGGGGTCGTGGTACCTGGTTCAGGTTTGACCTCGACTCCAGTCGGATGATGCTGATCGCCAGGAGGCGTGTGCGGCGTATGCGGGGCATTTGGCGAGATGACGGCTTCCCGTAAGGCTTCGCGTTCCTTCTGTTCACGAGGAGTCCCATCCACCCGGGGAGCTACTACGTCGGCTTCGGAGTACTGGGCTGGTCCGAACTGGGCAGCATCATCGCCGTCTACCACGAGGTCAACGTCTTCCTCGTCCTGCTGATTCCCACCGCCACTGGCGCTGCCGCCGCGATTGCTCGAGGACGTGGCCAGACCCGCAGCTGCACCAGGTCCAAATATTACCATCCAGAAGATGATCCCAGGTGCAATGCGAACGGATGACGTTTCTACTCACCGGAAAATCCACCGACCAGCATGGACGTCGCACGAATTCTTCTCTGACCAGCCCATTCGTATTCCTCGAAGGTCTCCGCGTCACCCTCCACGTCGACGTCCTCGTCGTCCAGGTTGGAGCTCTGCCCTGCTGGGTTCCCGTTGTGCTTGTTCAAGCACCTCTCCACGTGCTGGTTCAATTCCTCAGGAGTGCCTGAGAGTCTCTCACTGCAAACAGGACAGGATGGCTCGTCCGCTTTTCTCTTACGATTTTTCACACGGATCCGCGCCTGAAAATTCATCCAGGAACTTGAAGATCCACCCCAGCACCAGCGAGGTAACTTAACTTAACTCTAGGGGTAACTTGATATTGTGAGGGCTAATACTTAAATCTGGTTTTATAAAATCAAACTCACCTGTCTGTTCGCTTTGATTCTCTTGTACGTCTCCCATCTACCCTGAGGCGTCCCGTCCGCTGACGAGGGTGCGTGCAGCATGGGTCCATGCGGATGATCCTGAGGATGTCCTGGCGGTGCCGTCGAGCGTGGTGGTCTTGGTCGTGAACTGGCCGATATTTTATAGAGCCGATCCATCTCCTGGGCGAAGTGCTGCTCAAGCTCCTGAGGTCTCACCGTCACCCCGCACACCGGGCAACACGAAGGATCTGACGGAAACTTCTTCTTGCCTGTGGAGACACAAAAGCAACTTTTATTTCTTCATTCCCCTTCGCTCACTCGTCAATGCATATCCGGACGAGACCTTCGGTTTCTTTGTCATTTAAATGAAAGTTCAAAATCTTGACGTACTCCTGAAATCGGCTACAAGTCAATCCAAACGGTCGAAAAACATGGCGGTTCTGCGTATATAAGTTTATAAGCGTCCACGGCGGGTGCGGGATGCTCGCAGCTGTAGCGTTTCACACAAATGTTTATTTATTTGCAGCCGAAGGAAGTAAGGAACGCACGCACAACTAGCGCGAGAGTAAAGAAGAGGAGTCCCGACATACGAGAGAAGCTTATAGGATACGTTAAAGGAAAAGCAGTCGAAATAAGAGACGAGAGAGAAGAAAAAAAGAAGCATCGTGAATATCCCAACCGACCGCATAGTTCAAAAACACCAAGACCAAACAGCATAACCGCATATCCGGAAATCGTGAGCGTATCGTCCCCTTGTCTATTTTTACAAGAAGATCCTAGCCCCAGGGTTGTCCCGATTGGTCCACGAGTATCTGTCGACGTGGCCCAAGAATCGGTGGACGTGAAACATTTGCTTTTCCTTCTGCCTCCCTGTTTTCGACTCGCCGACATAACCTCAATGGTCCTCAAGAGCCCGAGTATCGCCATAAGACAAAATGCAGCGGAGTAACCTACTTCGCTTGGAAATAGCCAGAACCAGCGAATTCTAGAACACGACGTATATCCTAGTGACTTTTTAACTAAAAATTCCCTATGGCTCAATACTTATGCAGGTTAAAGACACCGGAAAGGGAAAAGGTAATAGATGTCAAAAAGATAATTTTTTTCTATACAAAAGTGCATGCATACATAGAAGTGGAAGGATGCCACTTGGACCACGTCCCGGGTTCCTTGCTAGGGAGTTTCAGTAGTAGGTACAGTGCCGTTTGTTCGTATCTCGTTTATTTGGAGAATGCCCGGCTGGAATTCTTGAGCCGTTTAACATATCCGTGTATCTGCTCGCAGAGTATCCCGTCCTGAGGCGTCCTCTTTTGTCCCGTGACCTCCTATATCACCTAACCCCCTTTCCTCCCTATACGTATCCACTGCGTTTCTTTTCTCCTTTCCCCTTTCAATTAAGTGCGCCAGCAAATTTATGTCTACGCCACTGTATTCGATATTCCTTTTCCTTCCTTTATCGAAGGGGCGTACAGTCGCGCTTGAAAATTTCACTTATACTTACTAGAGTATGCAGGGACGTACTATGCGACTGTATATATGTATATACAATACGATAGAGATCGTTTCATTCGCATTGGACTTTGGGGGTTGGGAATGAATTTTTTATACAAAAGATGAAGATTTGAAAAAAAAATTTTTATTTACATTTCTTTTTTCTTTTATTGTCTCTACTGTATTTTTCATGGACGTGGAGGGAATTGGTATTTGATCTAGCAGGAAGAGTCTCGCGTCCGGTACCGTGGTCGTTCGTTTAGCGGCTGGTATAATTAACGAGTACGAGAAAGAGAGAAATAAGGGAAAAAAAGAGAAGCGGCATCTTGCGCGAAAATTTAAGTCTATCCAAGGAGTCAGGGTAGCCATTAAGGCAGATGGCTAAGCCAGAGTGTATTCTCTTCGGGATTTTTATCTTTTTATTTCCTTTCGGGACAATGCCTTTTTTTTTTCTCTTGGCCTATCTTCTCCACTTCCTTCTGACCATAACTGTGCTATCATTTACACTTAGCCTCCGTATCATCCTGGGACGCGAAATGACAGCGAGAACGTTTCGCGGAGAGACGACGGCCAGGGAGGCTAAAAAGAGAATGGGCTCTCGAAGAAAAGATAGAAGCTTTCGCCTGGTGTGATATCTTTAATTAAGGACGAAGACCGGGTCGTTTCAAAAAATAAATAAGAGCTCCGTCTCCTATCTGAATATTAAAAGTGACACGGGGATGGTGAGAGGGTAAAAAAAAAAGAAATTGAATAATAATCATAAACAGCTCCCATAAGAATGGCTAGGAGTCTTCTTTGAGGTAAATTTAAAAATCCTGTAATTATTTCGTATTTTATCTCTGTTCTCAAGCTGTGATGTCTTATCACTCGATAATTGGCCGATTACGCGTGAGAGATGCGAACGAAGCCGACAAGGCGCGAGCCTTTGCGAAAGCACGGAGCGATATACGAGTCAGTTAAAATACCCCTTGGAAAATAAAACTCGTTTCAAGAGTAATAAAGGGGTAGATAAGAATCCTAGGGACTTAATCGTAGACGGCAGTGAACGTTTGCTAGGGGATTTTTAATCGCAACAGTTGCCAATCCACAGCTACGCCCTGAGAGCGGGGTAAGGAAAAACGTCATAATCGTCATATCTGTACGAACGAAACGAAGAGTCGTATTAAAAAATTCATATTTGCCTATACCTAAATTTATTTTAAAAAAATTTTTTTTTCTTTCAGAAAACCCCAAAAGACGGACCACACTCTTTATCGACGTCCTCTCGCCACCATTTGGCCGCGTCTTCAACTTCCTTCTTCCCTTTACGACCAGCGATTTGAATTCCGCGCGCATCCGCCATCAGGAATGCTCCTTTGATTTAATAGAGAGCCATCAACGCTCGTGAAAAATATCCAAGAGGGTTCCTCGATTTTCTATATAAAGGGACGACTTGTTATTTCGAACAAAGAGATAAGAATTCGAAATAACGATTTTCAAAAGTTTCATAACCCTTAATTTCGTCCTGTTACGTTTTACATGTAAATCAGTCCAATCGGTGGGACATTTGCGTGCACTTGATCCGTATCCAGGCTATTAGTATAACCTAACCTGTTATAATATACATATATACGTTTACACTATACGTCGACAGGGAGTCTCTCCTAGTGCTCGGAGAAATATCAAAGTTACAAGGTGGCAGTGGTACCAACCTATACCCCACAGTTTCCAGCATATAATCCGGTTTTAATTAAATAACTGTACCCGGGTCCTCCGAAACGCCCACGGCAGCGAAAGAGTTACGTTCAGGCGAAATCAGCCGCGGGGGTTGTAGGTAAGGGTGGCCATCAGGCATTTAACCACAACTGTTGTCACTGGATGGGGTGGGTTATGGGGTCTGGAAGTTGGCAGTACTGACACGCGGTTCTCTCTTGATCCGTTACACCGCCCAGTGTATATCTATATAAGCAAGCATGTGCTCCAGTCTTGCAACCCCTTTAGCTCCAGGGATTTCAACCCCTTCGAAATACTTTGACTGATTTTCTATGAATTATTATAGCACGGCTATTGCCGTAACAGATCTCGCCGTTTCCACGGTGCACAAGGGAGCCAGAGCCCGATTCGGATAAAATTTCGAATTGGAATAAATTTTTGAAAATTTTCCATTTTCCCATCGAGATCTCAAGCACCTACAGATACTTAGACCTACTCAAAAAAATATTTTCAAAATACTTGGGCAATCGTAAAAATCCAAATAGGCTCGGAGCAAGCTCAGGTTATCAGACTCGACGATAGCTCACTGTAGCCCATACCTAAAATGGCTGGATCATTGATCCTAAAATCCTAGTGTAATTCTGAACTAGCATTAGGCGGTACTCATTGTTACACCCCTAAATGAATAATCCAACCAGCTCTGGGGTTGCACGCAATGCCAGTATTCCAGCGGCAGGCGCGAAACGGCTATTTTATTAATAACGTAATCCCTGGAAACAATGTAGGCGTTACACGTATTCTTAACAATTAGTCGGCTCAAGCGCGCGTAATGAAATGATAACGACCAGAGTTAAACCCACCTAATGGTCCAGTTAGCCAGCCCTATCCCAGCGGTACTGATCATGGATGACTAGGAACGTCTTAAAAAATGGAGTCCATGAAAATTAAAAAAAAAACAGACAGTTACGAGGCATAGATAAATATGAATATTCCAAAAAAAAAATTTTCAGTTTGTCAAAAAAAATTTGGTACAAGGGTGTCTTGGTTCGGGCAAAAGGTATATTACAGTCGCGCGTGCAAGTACCCAGCGAACTAAGGGGGACGAAGAAGGGTGGCCTCTGCTGCTGTTCGCTGGCTGGCTCGACTATAAGTTCGGCAGTTAAGGATATAAGGGCGACGGAGGAACATCTACAGGGTGGTTCTGAAGCAGCAACCCCTAAGAGGGTCGGGGGTCTAAGGACAAGGTCCTTTCATGCATACCAGAGTATCTCAGCTCTTCTCATCTCGAAGATGCTGCCGAGGTAAATCTCTCATATCGTAATGCCTGGTACCTACTCGCGTAACCATGATCGTACGAGGACGCCATAGGGGATGAGAGTGTCTAACGCGATTTTACAGCCCTGGAATCTTCTTAGAAAAATTGAGCATCACCTGAGACCGCGCGAGACGAGATCTCCCGTAAATATCGAACCGGGTAATTCTGGACCGACGATTAAAATTATCGACGACTGTCTGTTGTGATAAAAAAAAGAAAAAAAAAAAAAAAATTCTTTCTCAACCCTCAGATTCAACCGAGCTTGTTTTTCAGTTTTGGCATAGACGTATCCCAAGGATGCTAATCTTTCCTTTGGCCGATGTGCAAGATCACGCGTCACCGGGTTCACGGTTCTGTCGACCTTCATATAGACATTCCTTTCCATCCGTTTCTTCCTTCCTACCCCCAGCCAGGGAGGTTCAGGGGCTGAAAGGCGACAGGATCCCTTCGGCGCTTCCTCCCTCTATCTTCTTTATCCTACGAGAGACCTGCCCGTTTGCCCGGCAGTGATCGCTTTGTGATAGCGATCGTCGAAACGAATTTATTGGCCGAGGCCCGTTTGACTGGCCGTTTCCGGAGGCGAGAGTGAAAAATTGTTTCGCCAAAAATTCCAACCTACGACCGCCAGCACGTGGTACGGTTCAGGACGTGTATAAAGGTACTTGTATACTCGTGACGCTCCTCGGCTCTATCTCCTGTTGTGCCAACGACGGGCTCGTAAAGAAGACCACGTAGTATCCTCTACACCTTGGACACCTACCGACGTGGTTGGTGCCGTCGGACCCCCTGCGGACTGGGCTCCCTTAAATCACGGCTGTTTGTAATTAAGTGAATGAATGGCCCGTATCAGAGTTAATATTTGCGGGATGACGTATGCCGTGCTGCTGCGGAGACAAATCCCTTATATATCATGGGTACAGCTTTATATAAGTGCCTAGAACATAGTGGTATCGAGTATGTTTACCGTGGCTAGACTTCACCTGTGAGCGGGGTGAGAGACGTGAGTGACGTCACGTGACGAAATTTTTTTTTAGTATTGAAATTTGAAAAAAAATTTTGTGGAGTATATTTTTTTTTTTTTTCAAAAATTATTCCGGATAACGGTCCTAGAGACGCGGGAGTAAATTGGCTGTGTGGGATACGTGGGCGGGAGGAGTCGATGAAATAAAATAAAAGAAGAGGAAAACGATGAAAGATTAAAAAACGTGAAAAAGAAAGAAAGTCGAACATCGTATCTTGGGCTGTTCTTGCTTCTCTCCCGCAGACCAAGAGAGGCCCCGCTGAAGAAAATTACAAAGCAGCCGCTGAACGCCGAATTGAAATTGATAGCGGTGGCTCTCGCGATGGTAAGCGGCTACCAGGCGCGTACAACCGGACGCACCGCGCCCTTTTGAGCGTCCCGACGCATCTGCAGGTATTATGCATTACGTAGCTGCGATTCATCCGGAGGGAACAACAAGCGGCGGTTTATGTTTTTGTCTTGCTGGGAAGACGTGTGTGTAAATTATCATCGATGTAGACTGTATGGTCAGTAGGTAGTGTATGCACAGGGTATATGGACAGTTGCATGTGCAACTGCAAGTGTATGGATGATATGCCAATATTCATAAACACATCGTGCTTCCAGACGATATCTTACTCAGCGAGTAGTCTACGCGCGTCTGTGGTCTTCCATTTTGTATTACGGATCAGGAACAGTAATAATATCTTTTCTTCACCTCCCACCGGTACCCACTTTAAATATTCTTGATCTCCCGTCGACCTTACCCATATCGGATATTTGAATTTCCGTTTAAATTCCCGCGTAAATCCCGCCGTCCAATCGGCTGGACGTGGGCGAGAAGAGAGAAAAAAAAGGTATATAACAAAGAGGCCAGTTTCTACGTTATCCATAACAAGAATACCAAGCTACCACCTACCGGTATTATGAAGTGTCCCAGTAATGGAGAGCAAAAGATAAGAGTCGGTAATGACCTGACTTAAATTTTCATCAGCCAGGCAGAAAGTCGAGTATGGCGAAGGGAGTGGATATAAAGATAAGGCCGCGTACGGGCGTCGCTCCTGAGAAATTTGAAATAATTGAGAGTCCTCGGACAAGACACGCGATATACTCTGATTCAGTTCCTCGAGAGGTTATGTTAGTCGAGTGCGTATCCGTATGGGAATACGGTGACAATTAAGCGGCCGCGAGGAAGAAAAAAGGGCAGCGACAAGCTGCGAGTTAAGATTTACTAACCCGACGGTGAGCCAAGCCGTTTGCCAGTTGGGGAATTGGCGAGGACCTCTGCCGCATAAAGGTGGCCTGGATAAAGGAGGAAGAGGGCGGCAATAAAGAGGATGCACAGCAAGATGTCGAGCCTGGAGTGCGAGAGGGAGTAAAGGAAGGTTTACTTTATGAAGTAGACTCGTAAGGGGGATACGTTATTACATTATCGGGCAACACGCACCGTCAGAGCCCGAAGGCAGCGACTCCTGTCCCGCTCCTTCGTAAGATTCAAACAAACGGTACTAACCTTTATACCAATACAGCAACGCGGTCGGTATTAAACTATGTTGCGACTCGCGAGACAGCTTATGCAACGTACAACCCCCTACATACAGATGGATCTGCGAATGAATGGATATATAAGAAGTAAGGACACGGAGCGTATGGAAAAGAACGACGCGCCGTAGCGGAGTTTTAAGTGACGGTGGCGACTGCAGCGCCATCTGCCATTAAACTAACTCCGGGTAATTGGAAGCGAGTTAAAAGAAACTCGGCTCGCGGCTATCTCCTTAATAAATACGTTGCTACCGTGTGTGTTGCTCGAGTGATAATAAATATATTAAATAAATAATAGCCCGTGGGAGATACGCGAGTAATTGCGAGTGCCGGACTTTACGTGTGCCATGGACATTTTTCAACGACAGTCCCTTACCGACTGACAGGTCTCCGCTGGGTTTGAGGTTAAGCCGTGCCACGGGATTACGTGCGTGAGTCGGAACAGTGACAATTTACTCTCAGTCAATTATTTCTGTAAAGACGTCTCGTCGATCTAACCTCGAAACTACAAGGATTCTCAGATAGTTAAACGGTAGTCTGGTGCGTGTTTGTTCAGTCATAATAGCAACGTAACTCGGGCACCGCACACGCAATACTGTAAACGTGACGGCCGACGAGCAGTTCTTTGATATCGCTGAAGCGTGAGGACGTTTTGGTAGATGGACGGACAGACGGATGGATGGATGGATGGATGGACCAGGGGGTCTGGTTATGATTGTGATATTACAGTTGGTTCGCAGCCTCTCGGAATGTATCCCTCATCTCTCTCTCTCGCGCGCTCTCTCCGGTATTCACTCACCTTCCACTCTCTTCGCCTTTCTCTCTCTCTCTCTCCCTCTCGCTTTCTACGTGTGTAGTTCTACGTGGATGCATGCCTGCCCATCAGCTCGCGCAACGGAGAGCTAATCAAACGGGCCAACCCGCTGTGCGAATATTAATTAAACTCTCTGTTACGCCTGAATAGCACATACGTACAGAGAGATAGAGAGAGAGAGAGAATATGAGTGTGAGTCCTAAAAGGGTAGAATAGACTGGGGTAAATGGAAAGAGAAAGGCCAAAGGTAAGGTGCCAAGTTAGAGATAGAAAATTGAAACCTCAAACACCTAAGCAAGGTATACCTATATATATTTTTAAATTAACGTCTTCTCGCATATATATTATAGTTATATTTTTCAGATTAATAAAACCAGTACCAAGATCAGGTGTCAAGTGGGACTTTAAAATATGACTCGATACTCATGATCTCCATTCCCTATCAAGTACTACCCATTCTCAAACGTATTTCCAACTGAACGTGGAAGTGGGGAAAGGCGGGTGATGGCACCTACGCCATGGGGCATAACGACCCAGAAGATGGTGGCTGTGTTTTATCGCGTGGAACATAGTAGTCTCCGACAATAATATAACATTATCGGCATAGCGAGATCTTCTCTCGCCTCTGTAATTGTTACTATTGAGATAACCAGAGTGTGCAGTTGGTATGTGCTATGTGCCTTGTAGACCGTACGTACCATCGCGCCACATAACTAACCGCAATAAGATGCGATTTAAATAAATTCCACATACGAGAGCGTATAACAGGGAGCGACTCCGATGGCAACTGGCTGATGTTATCGTTCTTCTAGTTCCTTCGATGGCTGCCTATAGATAGGACATTCTTCGAAATCGCGGAATACTTTGGGATCCTTGTCAGTACCGTGAGTATCTTTGAAAATTTAATGGAGGAAGAAGTATTGCGTGGCACTCGTCACTAATTATTGGTCCACGGTTACAAATTTATATTCTGGACTTTTTACACCTGCGAGCTCGCTCGTTATATCGAACGTTTATCATATTTATTTTTTTTAGCTCTCTTCACTCCCTGGCATCACTTTTGCGCGACTCAAGATTTTCATAGGTCGCTCGGTGAAACTGTTATATAGATGTCAGATTTCAACGCTGTAAAACTGTATATGGCCGCTGTAAAAGCGGCGCCTTTGATAGCCAGGTACCCCATAATGCGATGATACATACACGAGGATGCCCTGTGTCATAAATACCTTGAGATTTCTTTTTTTATTATAAATTGGGTCCTGGCACCGATGGCTGATGGGGTAAACTTTGTCAGTTCAATGATACCCACTCAACGTCACTCGGACAGTGCAGTTTGGTCCCATAATTATGGGGTCCCATAATAATTTTGTATATCAGGTACGTAGTGTCAACGTGGATCTCTTCCTTATACTAGAGTTTGCTGTTTTGCACGTGAACGTTAGCTATTCTTTTTTCCAGCGCTTTCCAACAGTGGGCTGATCTTATCTGCTGGGATGCTGGCAAGTTTACTATTATTCCTGGACCAGTCTTATTCGCTGCTCTTCTTCTACGGCGCAGCACTACGGTTTCCCCCTTTTAGTAATGGCGCTTTGTACTTATGTAAACTGCCCCATTTGTAAATTACGAGGTTGCTTACTGTGTGTTTATGCTCGTAGGGGATTTCCGGGTTGCGCAGTCGTCGTTTGCGCAATCAACTACCACGTGCTCGCTGCCTATGCCAATGGCGGCTGTACTAAACAGCCGTGGATAGGTCAGGATAGAATAAGACGAATGGACTGGCTTTTCTAGGTATCGTCGGATATAATGATTTCCTTACTGGGAACAATTTATACCACGACTTTTAGGATCTCATTGAGGTTCGTGATGTGAACTTACTGTAGAAACTCCATAGCAGCGAGACGCTCATGTTCTGGTAGATTCCTTCCATTTTTATCAAGCCGATAATCACGCCGATACTTTGACAGGTAATACAGCACTCACTGGTGGCACAGAAATTCTTTTTTTTTTTTATTATTTTTGTCACTACCGAGGAATAACCGTTCAGTGCGACGACTGTGAACCTACCGTCCGTCCTGGAAAGACTGACTAGCCAGGGTGACTTTTACCCTGGTAAGAGGGAGGCACGGTTACCCAGGAAAATCTCTATAACGATGGCTTCGACACCACTCACGTTTTGGGGCTCTTTTAATTTTTGCCAAAAATTACGGAAAATCACCAGAAAAATCAGGTACGGTAAAGCAGCTGCTATCCCTCTTCACCGCGAGCAAGGATATATAGAATATGTTGAAAATTTATTTTTCACTTTCAGATCCTAGCTACGGGCATTCTTGATTGGTCTGTCGGATTTTCAAAGCCATCGCTAGCATCCCCTAATATGCACCCTAGCGTAGCGCACTCGCTAAAGAGCGACCACTGACAGCCAGACAGAGAGACCGACTGACTGACTGACTCTTGTGCCGGGCCAACAAAAGACTGGCATTGTGCGTACCTACAGATTAGTGGACTTATACAAAAGTCACTCGGATCGTAGCAACCCTCCCCTTTACCATACCAATTCTAAACCACCCCTGTACCCCGGCCCTGTAAAACACCCCTATACAGTTCCTGGTTATCCTCTATACCCAGAGATCCGACACTCTCGGCATCCTTCTCTCTGCACACCTATCCCACACCTCGGGCCGGCAGCCTGTGTGTCACGTACTGAATTCTGCAACCCCCCCCCCC